GTCCTCTTCTCTCACATAGCTTCTGTGCTTAGACTATGATTTCATTGAAAACGAAAGAAGCCAAAAACTTAAAAAGTAATGCTTTTCTAAAATCTTTATCCTTATCTCTGTATTTTTCCTTATTAAAAATAATTTGAATCTGAAAGTAGAGTCCTACTTTATGAATCTGGTCTGCTGCTAGTATAGAGGAAGACTAATCTACAGCTCGGATATAGCACTCAAACCGTAAAAATGAATCAGTCTTTAGAATGGGTCCAAAAAGACCTTCCCTTTACACAGCCTCTTGGGAACTGTGGAACTGACACAGAGTTTTTCCCCCTCATTGTTTTCACTTCCCATGAGCTCAGCATGAGCTCAGCCAGGAGTGAACTCTTCCCCTCCCATCAAAGCCTTTTGCTGGGAATAGATGAAAAATCTTCCAAAAGCTCTGACTTCTCTCTAAGGTGGATCAGTGCAATAGGGCTTCTGCTGTGTACCACCAAATTGAAGAGGAATCCCCATTACTCTGTACTACCTATCTACTGCCTTAACGATGGGTCACATGCCAGGTACTCCATTAACCCTCAGCCTTTCTCCCACTCTCCTTCCAGGCTTGCCTTGTCAAGCAGCAATCCACTACAGATAAACACGAAGTGCATGTGCCCAGTTGATCAGTCTCTGGTTCCAGCCTTCTCATCCGTAGTGTTCATGGTGGGAGGCATATTCTTAGAAATCTGTGAGACGGGTTGGCTATAACAAGCAGCTAAGCAGCTACTGAACTCTGGGTATTACTAGGCAACATACTAAGATATAAATAAAATATAGTAATGCCCGGTAATTTCTTGAAATCCTCTAGCAACTTAAAATTCAGGATCACTCTAGATACCAACAACTAAATAAAAAGATGACTTGGCTTCCATATCCAAACACATTTATGCCTGCCTATAGACTCTTTCCTATATTCTAGCTCTTATGTAATGTAAATTTAACAGGGTTATTTACTTCATTTTCTGGTTTACTAAAGATTAGAAGAGAGGAGTAGGTTGCTAAAAAGGCAGACCCAGTGCCAGCAGTGAGAACATCTGATACCATGGTAATGGAGGCAAAAAAAATCAGAAATTACCTATTCCCTTCCCCTAAGAATACACAGTCAATCCAACCATTACAACAGCGTGGAAACCTCATACAAGAACTGCAATACAGAAGTCAAACTGCACAGTACACAGGAACATTTAATGCAAAGCAGCCCCAAATGTCTCTAATAGCCGTGAGAGTGTCACCATAGTAGAAAACAGCACATTACCTTTTTAATAATGTTAATATGTACACATTAAGAAAAGCTATGCAACATATAGTGTTTAGAATATTAGGAAAATAAAACAAAATATTCCTATATAAATGAGAATCTGGTTACATAAAACTGTTTTTTGAGCCTAGAAAGATACATTTCAATTTTTAAAGAAACTCAGTTAGTTAGTTAGATAAAATTCTAAAATAACCTGGATCTGAGTGAACTAAATAATGTAGGCATACTTGCGGAGAAGTCACTGCTTTCAAGGAGTTTACAACGGAAAAGGAAAGAAAAATGGCTAAGCTGAAATAAGGACAACCATTCAGCTAGGAGAATAGAGGTGTGGGGGTTTCTAAGCAGCACAAAAATTGGCTCACAGATTTGAATTTTCTCTACTTACCATTCCTATGTGGGTGCCTCAAGAAACCCAAATATGATGACTTCCACTGTTCTAAACTGTACAATCAACAAACATGGTAAGGGGGCTTTCTGCTAATGTTCCACTTCAGTGCTGTGAGCTCCGAGAGGGGCCTTTCTAAAACTAACCCTTTCTTGGCCGGTGCTGCGGCTCACTAGGCTAATCCTCCACCTGTGGCACTGGCACCCCGGGGGTCTAGTCCCGGTTGGGGCGCCAGATTCTGTCCCGGTTGCTCCTCTTCCAGTCCAGCTCTTTGCTGTGGCCCGGGAAGGCAGCGGAGGATGGCCCAAGTGCTTGGGCCCTGCACCCACAAGGGAGACCAGGAGGAAGTACCTGGCTCTTGGCTTCAGATTGGCACAGCACGCCGGCCAAAGCAGCCATTTAGGGGGGTGAACCAACGGAAGGAAGACCTTTCTCTCTGCCTCACTCTCACTATCTAACTCTATCTGTCGAAATAAATAAATAAAAAAAATAAAACTAACCCTTTCTGGGGCTGGCATGGTGGCATAACAGGTTAAGCCACCACCTGCAGCAATGGCATCCCATATGGGAACTGGTTGGAGTCCCAGCTGCTCTACTGCTGACCCAGCTCCCTGCTAATGGCCTGGGAAAGCAGTGGAGGATGGCCCAAGTGCTTGGGTCCCTGCACTCATATGGGAGACCTGGACAAAGCTCTTGACTCCTGTCTTTTTAAAATTCTTTTTAATTTTTAAAAGGTTTTATTTTATTTATTTGACAGGTAGGGTTACAGACAGTGAGAGGGAGAGACGGAGAGAAAGGTCTTCCATTCACTGGTTCACTCCCCAAATGGTGGCGATGGCCAGAGCGGCGCTGATATCTGAAGCTACGAGCTTCTTTCGGGTCTCCCACATGGGTGCAGGAGCCCAAGGACTTGGGCCATTTCTGCTTTCCCAGGCCACAGCAGAGAGCTGGATTGGAAGAGGAGCAGCTGAGACTAGAACCCGCGTCCATATGGGATGCCAGCGCCGCAGGCAGAGGATTAACCTACTGTGCCACAGTACCGGCCCCTTGGCTCCTGGCTTTGGCCTGGCCCAGCTCCAGCCATCGTGGCCATTGGGGGAATGAACCAGCAGATGGAAGGGCTCTGTCTGTCCCTTTCTCTCTCTGTAATTCTGCTTTTCAAATAAATAAAATAAAATAAATCTTTCAAAACAAAAAAACTAGCCCTTTCTATACTTGAATCTTATTTACAAAGTTGAGACCTTTATGGGGACCATGAGGCTCTCACCTGATGTTAAAACCATCTCTTCATCAGTGTTTTTAAAAGACAAACAATGCTGGCTGGCCCCGTGGCTCACTAGGCTAATCCTCCACCTTGCGGCGCCAGCACACCGGGGTTCTAGTCCCGGTCGGGGCGCTGGATTCTGTCCCGGTTGCTCCTCTTTCAGGCCAGCTCTCTGCTGTGGCAGGGAGTGCAGTGGAGGATGGCCCAAGTCCTTGGGCCCTGCACCCGCATGGGAGACCAGGATAAGTACCTGGCTCCTGCCATCGGATCAGCGCGGTGCGCCGGCCGCAGCGCGCCGGCCGCGGCGACCATTGAAGGGTGAACCAACAGCAAAAGACCTTTCTCTCTGTCTCTCTTTCTCACTCTTCACTCTGCCTGTCAAAAAACAAACAAACAATGCTGACAGGTAGGGGCTCTGATGTCAGGAAATGTGAATGGACTGTGTAGGTGTAATAATTTATGCTAGAGATGGGAATAAAGTGCTGGAAGTAACCTTTGTAAATTTATTCCATGGGGCCAGTAGGTACAGCAGGTAAAGCCACCATCGGTGAATGCCAACATCCCACATGGGTGCCAGTTTGAGTCCCAGCTGCTCCACTTCCGATCCACCTTCCTGCTAATGGCCTGCCTGGGAAAGCAGAAGATGGCCCAAGTGCCTGGGACCCTGACACCCACAGGGGAGATGTGGATGAAACTTCTGGTTCCTGGCTTTGGCCTGACCCAGCACAGGATATTGAGGCCATCTGGGAAGTGAAACAGCAGACGGAAGATCTCCTGTCTGTTTTTCCCTCTCTTTCTCTGTAACTCTGACTTTCAGAATAAATAAATAAGTCTTTAAAAAAAATTTATCCATGCACCATGAATAACACAGCAACAGAGTAGAGTGAGGCATGTTTAAGTTTAAAAGAAAACTCATGAGGCAAAAGGCTCACATAGTGAGAGAGCCAAGACCCAACAGACAAGCCTGTGACCTTACAAATCCACACTTTTGGGTCACACTGTCTACTCATCTTCTTATTCTTATTCTTTTTTTTTTTTTTTAAGATTTTATTTTATTTGAGAGGTAGAGTTACAGAGGTAGAGAGAAGTACAGAGGTGGCGTCTACAGAGGTAGAGAGAAGGAGAGACAGAGAGAAAGGTCTTCCAACCACCGGTTCACTCTCCAGATGGCTGCAACGGCTGGAGCTGAGCTGATCCGAAGCCAGGAGCCAGGAGTCTCCTCCGGGTCTCCCCAACGGGTGCAGGGGCCCAAGCACCTGGGCCATCTTCTACTGCTTTCCAAGGCCATAGCAGAGAGCTGGCTCGGAAGAGGAGCAGCCAGGACTCAAACTGGTGCCCATATGGGATTCCAGCACTGCAGGTGGCGGCTTTACCTGTTATGCCACAGTGCCAGCCCTAACCTGTTGGGCAGACTCACACAAATCTCAGGACTACAAATTCTGACTCAGGTAAAGAATTAAATTATTTTTTTAATAAAAGCAGCATTTTTCAAACTCTCCTACAGGTACAAGGGTTCTGGGGTGTATTCTGAAGGCTGCTTGCTGGAAGTGAGAAATTCCTTTGAAGTGTCAAGTTTAATCTTAATAATGCATGAGAATTTTACATTTTATTCCACAATACATCAATAATGCCCCATTGAAATCTGTGTAAAATCAGCACTTTAGAAAGGTGAACCCCTGTTCATGTTATAGCTTCTCATAGTTCAATTTGAAAAACAAAGACCTGAAGGCACATTTCTTTCTGTTCACAATCAGTTAATTTACAATCTCAAGAGATCACAAGAGGATATTCTAAGAGTAAGAGATAAGGCTTAGACACTTTTTTCTGTATCCTTAGTTGACTGTAATAAATAAAACAAACTACAAGAGGAAAAATGTTCAAACCAGTTTGCTCAGAAGTCCAAGAGACTGTTTAGTCTCCAAACAGTGTGTTTTGATGGTGGTGGAAGTGAGAATAATGAAATCACTGAGAGAAGTTAAAATGTATACTCAATCGGTTTCTAAGTTACAGGCAAGGAAATGCTTACATTAGACAGGAAAACATTTACAAACGAGGGTGAGACTTACCTTAAAATCTGCTAACTGTTGGTTGATGACGTCCACTTCAGTTCCCACTACCCACTGCAGGGCCTCTCCCTCCTCTGCTGCTGTGGTCGCATCATTGAGTCCTTTCAGCTTCCTGTAGAAGTCCTCCACCCGGCCCAAGGTCAGCTCTAACTGCTCCTGCCGAGCTTTCCCCCTCTCTGTCAGTTTGCCACACTGTTTGTTCAGGGCTTCTAGCTCCCTCTTGAGACCTAACAAGTCCAGAGTCCCCTCTTCCTCTAGCATCTGTCGGCACTCTGCTTCAGAGGCCTCTATGTCTAACTTGAGGACTTGGATTTTGCTAAGGAACAGATGGACATCCTCGATCTGGGACTGGAGGCTATCAGTGTCTCTGCCGATAGCACCCATGCCATCTAGCTCATCGTCCAGGTCTGCCAACTGGGAAAACATTTCTCGAACTCGGCAGTGAAACTGACCAATTCCCTCCAGCTTGTTTTCCATTGTCATGCAACCACTGTTCACTCTTTGCTTCACTTCCAGGAATTCTTGCTGGGTGACCTCAGCTTGGTGTAGAAGTTGGGAAGCATCAGATCCATCTGGGGCATCTTCTACCAAACCCTGAGTAAAGTTCCTCAGATAGTCTACCTGAGGCTCCAGGGCCTGCAGCACCTCCTGTTGAGCTCTTAGCTTCTCCAGATTCTTGTTGCTACAGGCTTGAGAGCCCAGAGCATCAAAAATCTCAAGTTGGTGTTTGGCTCCTTCAACCTTCTTCTCAATATTCTTAAAGCTTTCCTGGAACTCCTTGAGCCTCTGGGTCATTTCTTCCAGTGACCCTGTTTTGGCCTGCAGCTCCTCTGTAATGGCATCCATGTTCTGGTTGATCCCAGTCTTCTCATCCCGGATATCATCCTCATCCGTTTCTGAAGAGTTGATCAGAATGTCAGCAGCACTATTTAGTATTTCCAGCAGGGAGCGGCGCTTCTCCACCTCACTCAGCATAGCCTTTGATCTCAGGAGACTGGACTCCAGCTGCACGGGGTCCAAGGTGATCCGCAACTCAGACATCTTGGCCTTACAGTCTTCTATCCATGGCACGAGGTCTTCCACATGCCACTGGTACTTTTGAGCTTTCTGCATACAGTCCTTGAGCCTAGACTGCCTGTCTGCAGTTTTTTTACTAAGCTCTTCCCAGTGGCTTTTGAGCTCAACCAACTGGTTTTGTAAAGTCCTTTTCTCTTCTCCGGGAGGTACAGAAAGAAGCAGAGATTCCCCTTCAGCCACAATCACCTCATAGGAACCACTGTGTTGATTAAGGCTCTTCTGAAACTCTTCATTCTCTTGTAGCTGAGACTGTAGCTGCTCCAATTTTGCAGAAATTGGGCAGTTTTTTGCTTGCTGGCTTTGTTTGTTATCCAACCAAGTCCTCAGCTCATCAAACATTTGCTGGAATTGTTGGGTGCTGGCAAGAGCTGCCTGGAGTCTGTTCATGCGATCGGCTGAAATGAGAAAACAAAACTGAAATCAATCAAGCTCAAACATGGTGTTTGAAATGTTTGTTGAGAGTATGTGAACCAATCTTAGGGGAAGAAACCAAGGTTAATTGAGAGTCTACCATGAAAAAGGGCACATAACTAGGCTCTTTCACATACCATATGTTTTTTTTTTTTTTTTTTTTTTTGACAGGCAGAGTGAAGAGTGAGAAAGAGAGACAGAGAGAAAGGTCTTCCTTTTTGCCGTTGGTTCACCCTCCAATGGCCGCAGCGGCCAGCGCATTGCACTGAACCAAAGGCAGGAGCCAGGTGCTTCTCCTGGTCTCCCATGTGGGTGCAGGGCCCAAGCACTTGGGCCATCCTCCACTGCACTCCCTGGCCACAGCAGAGAGCTGGCCTGGAAGAGGGGCAACCGGGACAGAATCCGGCGCCCCGACCGGGACTAGAACCTGGTGTGCCGGCGCCGCAAGGCGGAGGATTAGCCTAGTGAGCCACGGTGCCGGCCCTACCATATGTATTTTTAAAAAAATAATTTATGCATTTAATTTGAAAGGCAGAGGGGCAGAGAGAGAGACAGAGGTCTTCCATCCACTGGTTCACTCCCCAAATGCTTGCAATAGCCAGAGCTGGTCCAGGCCAAAGCTAGGAGCCAGAAACTCAACCTAGGTTTCCCATGTGGGTGGCAGGGAACCATCATTTGTTTCCTCCCAGGTGCACATTAGCAGAAAGCTGGATAGGGGGCAAAGCCAAGATTTGAACCTAGGGACTGATATTGGAAGTGTGTAACCCAAGAAGCATCTTAACAAGTGTACCAAATGCTTGCCCCTACATTTTATATTTTAATAAATCCTTGTATCAACCTTATAAGGTGATCTGAGTAACAAAAATAAACTCTCATTTCTGAGCCAGTAAAAAGTAAAGGTCATAAACATATCCAGAGAACGAGGCAATGGATTTATGATGACATTTTCTCTGTATGAGGTCATCATGATAAGTTCAGAGTATGTTCTAACTTTGTATACATAATACGTGTGTGTATGTGTCTATGAGCAGGAATCCCTACCTGTTGGCAGAGTTTCAATCTCTAGGCTATGCTATGTAAAGCCTCTTATAACCTAGTGTTCAATGCATAATAATCATAGAAGTTGTCACTGTACTTGGAAGCTCATTAACAGTGTTCTGTGTCCACAGCTACTCAAGAATGATCCTAGATTCTGGGGCCTACTACTTTTTTAAAAAAACTTTTATTTAATAAATATAAATTTACAAAGTACAACTTTTGGATTATAGCGACTTTTCCACCTATAACCTCCCTCCCACCCACAACCATCCTATCTCCCACTCCCTTTCCCATCCCATTCTTCATTAAGATTCATTTTCTTTTTTATTTGTTTGTTTATTTATTTATTTATTTTTGAGAGGCAGAGTGGACAGTGAGAGAGAGAGACAGAGAGAAAGGTCTTCCTTTGCCGTTGATTCACCCTCCAATGGCCGCCGTGGCCAGGGCGCTGCGGCTGGCAAACTGCGCTGATCCGATGGCAGGAGCCAGGTGCTTCTCCTGGTCTCCCATGCGGGTGCAGAGCCCAAGCACTTGGGCCATCCTCCACTGCACTCCTGGGCCACAGCAGAGAGCTGGCTTGGAAGAGGGGCAACCGGGACAGAATCCGGCGCCCCGACCGGGACTAGAACCTGGTGTGCCGGCGCCGCAAGGTGGAGGATTAGCCTAGTGAGCCGCGGCGCCGGCCTATTTATTTTTGACAGGTAGAGTGGACAGTGAGAGAGAGAGAGACAGAGAGAAAGGTCTTCCTTTTGCCGTTGCTTCACCCTCCAATGGCTGCCGCGGCCGGCGCGCCGCGCTGATCCGATGGCAGGAGTCAGGTGCTTCTCCTGGTCTCCCATGGGGTGCAGGGCCCAAGCACTTGGGCCATCCTCCACTGCACTCCCGGGCCATAGCAGAGAGCTGGCCTGGAAGAGGGGCAACTGGGACAGAATCCGGCACCCCGACAGGGACTAGAACCCGGTGTGCCAGTGCCACAGGCAGAGGATTAGCCTATTGAGCCATGGCGCCGGCCAAGATTCATTTTCTTTTTTTTTTTTTCTTTTTTTTTGACAGGCAGAGTGGACAGGGAGAGAGAGAGACAGAGAGAAAGGTCTTCCTTTGCCGTTGGTTCACCCTACAATGGCCGCAGCGGCCGGCACACTGCGCTGATCCGATGGCAGGAGCCAGGTGCTTCTCCTGGTCTCCCATGGGGTGCAGGGCCCAAAGACCTGGGCCATCCTCCACTGCACTCCCTGGGCACAGCAGAGAGCTGGCCTGGAAGAAGGGCAACCGGGACAGAATCCGGTGCCCCAACTGGGACTAGAATCCGGTGTGCTGGCGCCGCAAGGCGGAGGATTAGCCTAGTGAGCCACGGCTCCGGTCTCATTTTCAATTATCTTTATATACAGAAGATCAACTTAGCACATACTATGTAAAGATTTCATCAGTTTGCACCCACACAGATACACAAAGTATAAAGTACTGTTTGAGTAGTAGTTTTACCATTAATTTGCATAGTACAACACATTAAGGACAGAGATGCTACATGAGGAGTAAGTACACAGTGACTTCCATTGTTGATTGAACAATTGACGCTCTCATTTATGACGTCAGTCATCACCCGAGGCTCTTGTCATGAGCTGCCAAGGCTATGGAAGCCTCTTGAGTTCACAAACTCCGACTTTATTTAGACAAGGCTATAATCAAAGTGGAAGTTCTCTCCTGCCTTCAGAGAAAGGTACCTCCTTCTTTGATGGGGGCCTACTACTAACCCACTCCTTCTTTCTGCTTGCCACAAATAATGGCAGAAATGTGTACCTTCTCCCAACTCACCTGCAAGGTCTTCTAAACCTTGAAGAGGCAGGGCAACTGTCTCCAAACGCTTCTTCAGCTCATCCTTGAGGTACTGCTCACCAATGAGCACTGACAGTTCGTCACACAGTGCTTGGGCCTCCTTAATCTCATGGTCTAATTGCTCCAAGTCAGATCGAATCTCACTTGTTTCTTCCAATTGCTGTTTCACAGCTTCAGGTTGGGTGCTGATGGCCGATTGGCCACTTAGTCGCTGCCCAACTGCCTTCACCTTCTCTGATAAGTGCTGGAGTAGTTCCTGGTACTGGGTGCTTTTGATAATAGCTTGGTCAATTTGGCTGGAGCGGGAATTGAGTTTGTCAGTCAGCTCAACCCACTTCTGATTGATGTTCTGCAGTTCTTTCTGTACTTGGCTGGTAGCTGCAGAGACATCTCCAGGACCTGTGACGATGCCCTGAGCTGCCTCGTTCAGCTGCTCATGCTGTTGTCTGCGTGCTTCAAATTCCTTCAGCATAAACTGAAAGAGAAATGACACAAAGATGTTTAGATAGGAAAAACAGAACTAAAAGCAGTGTCAAAACAAAAACTGCTTTTGGAGTGTGCCAGATAGTACCAATCCTTTTTGAAAATAAACCAGAAAACTCCAAGGAACAGGCTTCTAGGCCAAGGCAGTATCACCTAACAAACATTTAGTAAAAACTGATTTTGAAAGTATCATTGTATCTATTTTGTTTCTTTTCCTTATTTGTCCTTTTCTGCTTTAACACTGGTTACTATGGTTGGCCTAGGCTGGGAAACTGAAATTTATTCTCTAGATTGGCATGTCTCAGCTTTGCCATGTAGCAGGCAAGACTGAACTGGCAGAGTAGAACACTGGGTCCCAGAGACTGCCATATTTCTGTCTGGCTCTGTCATTTCAACGCCCCATGCCTCTGCCTTTCTTAGTTTATTTCTCAGAATTATAACATCACACACAACCTGTACATGACAATAGAGCCCACACAGAGCTACTTTAAAGGAAAGACCATGGCTTTTTATCTTTTTTTTTTTTTGAAAGAGTTAGAGAGAAGATGCAGATTAACCCACTGTGCCACAAGGCCTGCCTCCTGAGAACAAAAAGTTTGAAAACCACAAGATCACAAAAATATTTTTAGGTAGGCTAAGACTCAATAATTATTTAGATGCAGGGGCTGAAAGAGTTTCTCAAAAATTACTCTCAGGTCTTTTTTTTTTTTTTTTTGACAGGCAGAGTGGACAGTGAGAGAGAGCGAGACAGAGAGAAAGGTCTTCCTTTTTGCTGTTGGTTCACCCTCCAATGGCCGCCACAGCCAGCGCGCTACGGCCTGCGCATTGCGCTGATGCGAAGGCAGGAGCCAGGTGCTTATCCTGGTCTCCCATGGGGTGCAGGGCCCAAGCACTTGGACTATCCTCCACTGCACTCCCAGGCCATAGCAGAGAGCTGGCCTGGAAGAGGGGCAACCAGGACAGAATCCAGCGCCCCGACCGGGACTAGAACCCGGTGTGCCGGCGCCGCAAGGCGGAGGATTAGCCTAGTGAGCCGCGGCGCCGGCCTAGTCTCAGGTCTTAACTTAGAAAATGTCATGGAATGTAAAAAGGAAAGGATAGGAAGTAGAGCAAGGAAAGATCCTAGGCAGGATTTTATTGGAATTGTCACAATTTTAAGCAAACTAAATTTCTATACTGTCAGAAACTTAAATCAACTTTTTTGAGTTTTGATCAGGAGAAAGCCTTCAAGTAAAGCAGGCAAATATAAGATATTACATTAAGTAATATGGATCACAGGGGCCGGTGCTGTGGCTAAGCGGGTTAACACCCTGGCCTGAAATGCCAGCATCCCATATGGGTGCCAGTTCGAGACCTACTGCTCCATCTTTTAAAAAAATTTTTTTAAAGGTTTATTTATTTATTTGAAACTCGGAGTTACACAGAGAAAGGAGAAGGAGAGAGAGAGAGAGAGAGAGAGAGGTCTTCAATCCAATGGTTCACTCCTCAATTGGCTACAACAGCCAGAGCTGTGCCTATCAAAAGCCAGGAGTCAGGAGCTTCTTCCAGGTCTCCCACACGGCTACAGAGGCCCAAGGCCTTGGGCCATCTTCTACTGCTTTCCCAGGCCAAAACAGAGAGCTGGATGGGAGGTGGAGCAGCGGGTCTCAAACTGGCACCCATATGGGATGCCGGTGCTTCAGGCCAGGGTGTTAGCCTGCTGCGCCATAGTGCCGGCCGCATGCTCCACTTCTGATCCAGCTCTCTGCTATGGCCTGCGAAAGCAGTAGAAGATGGCCCAAGGCCTTGGGCCCCTGCACCCATGGGGGAGACCTGGAAGAAGCTCCTGGCTCCTGGCTTTGGATCAATGCAGCTTCGGCCGTTGCAGCCAACTGGGGAGTGAACCATTGGATGGAAGACCTCCCTTTCTCTCTCTTTCTGCTTCTCCTCTCTCTGTGTAACTCTGACTTTCAAATAAATAAATAAATCTTTTAAAAAAAGTAATAAGGATCACTAGCATTGGGGATTTTTTTTTTTTTTTTTTTTTTTGACAGGCAGAGTGGACAGGGAGAGAAAGAGACAGAGAGAAAGGTCTTCCTTGGCCATTGGTTCACCCTACAGTGGCCGCCACGGCCGGCGTGCTGTGGCCGGCGCACCACGCCGATACCAAGGCAGGAGCCAGGTGCTTCTCCTGGTCTCCCATGAGGTGCAGGGCCCAAGCACTTGGGCCATCCTCCACTGCACTCCCTGGCCACAGCAGAGAGCTGGCTTGGAAGAGGGGCAACCGGGACAGAATCTGGCGCCCCGACCGGGACTAGAACCCGGTGTGCCGGCGCCACAAGGCAGAGGATTAGCCTAGTGAGCCACAGCGCTGGCCCTTACTGCTTCTGTTAATGATACTAACAACAGAGCTATTAACTGTCTACCATTTTACAGCTACCATGATACATATCTTACAAACATCCCATTTAAACTGAAGAAGGGCAGTGAGACTGAGAGATTAAATGAATCTCTAAAGTGACATGAAATCTACTTGCTGGGAACAGCATTCAAAGCCACGTTCATGTGACTCCACTTTCTTTGCTTGTAGGCATTGAGCTGTACGGCTTACCTGGACCTGCTGCTTCTGTGCATTCAACATGTTGGGGTCAATAGACAGGGGCCCCAGCACTCCCATCATCAGTTCCTTCTCCATCAGCCAAGGCCGGAGCTGGGACTCTGCAGCCTGGAAGCAGGCCAGGTGGCTTGCAGACTCCTCTAGCTGCCTTTGCCGAGCCACAGTCACCTCAGTGGCCCTTTCCCACCGAGAATCTGTAGACAGGAAATGAGAGACTCATCAGCAACTGACCTTGTCCCTCAGTTATGTTTTTAATATACTACAGGAAATAACCCCACAAGCATTTTTAAATTAAAAATAAACTTTTAAAAATTTGAACCAAATAACAGTTCTGTATCTTGACTGCAGTAGTGATTATAAGAAACTACATATGTGATACAATTCTACAGATGTGTATATAGAATATATACACACAAATACATGAATGTATACAAATATATTACCTATATTATTTCATAGTCTGTTTTAAAATTTACTATATTATGAACAACCTTCATGCTGCTAAGTTTTTTCATGCTAAATAATAATCTACATAATTTACAGCTCAATATTATGAACACATAATTTATCTTTTTATTGAATATGTAGATTATTTTCCATTGTTCTTTTTTTAAAGTTTTCTTTATTTATTTGATAGGTAGAGTTACAAAGAAGGAAGAGGGAGAGAGAGTGGTCTTTTATCTGCTGGTTCATTCCTTAAATGGCTGCAACAGAGTTGGGCCAATCCGAAGCCAGGAGCTTCTTCGGTCTCCCACATGGGTGCAGGGGCCCAAGCACTTGGGCCATCCTCTGCTACTTTCCCAGGTGCATTAGCAGGGAGTTGGATGGCAAGGGGAACAACCAGGACTCAAACTGGCAACCATATAGGTTGCTGGCATTGTAGGTGGGGCTTAACTCATTATGTCACAATGCTGGCCTCCCCACTTTCCTTGAAATAGAAAAGGGAGGGAGATCAATCTTCCATTTGCTGGTTCACTCCCCAAATGGCTGTCAACAGCCAGGATTGGACCAGGTTGAAGCCTGGAGCCAGGAACACCACTGGGTATCCACGGATGGCAAGAACTCAAGAGCCATCATTTGAGGTTTGTATCAGGAGCTGGATGAATGAAGGTGTCCCAAAAGGGGCTCAATCTTTTGTACCCCAACACTCGCCTCCCCCCTCTACCCCACCATTTTTCATTTTTTTAAAGATACATTTATTTATTTGAAAGGTAGAGTTACAGAGAGAGAAGGACACACACACACACACACACACACACAGAGATAGATGTCTTCCATTACTGGTTCACTCCCTAGATGGCCACAATGGCTGGGGCTGGGCCATGCTGAAACCAGATGCCAGGAGCTTCCTCTGAGTTTCCCATATGGGTGGTGCAGGGGCCCAAGCACTTGGGCCATCTTCCACTGCTCTTCCCAGGCACATTAGTAGGGAGCTAGATCAGAAGTGGAGCAGCTGGGACTTGAACTGGTGCCCATATGGGATGCCCAGGTTACAGGCACTGGCTTAATTTGTTATGCTACAACACTGGACCCCATTTTTCATTTTAATCATCAGTACCCTCTAGTTCTTGGCCACAGTATAATGTCAGTTTGACTTGTCAAAGAAAACCAAACTTTTGGGGCCGGCATTGTGGCACAGCAGGTTAACACACTGGCATGAAGCACCTGAATCCCATATGGGCACTGGTTCGAGACTCAGCTGCTCCACTTCCAATCCAGCTCTCTGCTATGGCCTAGGAAAGCAGCAGAAGATGGCCCAAGTGCTTGGGCCCCTGCACCTGCATGGGAGACCTGGAGGAAGCTCCTGGCTCCTGGCTTTGGATTGGTGCAGCTCCAGCAGTTGCAGCCATCTGGGGAGTGAAGCAGCTGATGGAAGACACCCCCCGCCCCACCTCTCCTCTCTCTGTGTGACTCTGACTTTCAAATAAATAAATAAATCTTTAAAAAAAAAAAAAAAAAAGAAAACCAAACTTTTAGGGGCTGGTGCTGTGGTACAGCGGATAAAGTTGCTGCCTGCAGGTTCGGGAACTCATATGGACATCAGTTCATGTTTCAGCTGCTCTACTTCTGATCCAGCTCCTGGCTAATGTGCCCAAGAAAGCAGCAGAAGATGGCCCGAGTGCTTAGACTCCTGCACCCATGTGGGAGACCCAGAAGAAGCTCTAGCTACTGGCTTTGGATTGGCCCAGCCCCAGCTATTGAGGCCCATTTAAGGAGTGAATCTGTGGCTCTCCCGCTCTCCTCTGTTAACACTGTCTTTCAAATAAATAAATACATCTTAAAAAAAAAAAAAATCCAAACTTCTGACTCTTTGTGAGAATCTCTAAGTCTTTTCCCTAATCAGACTTACTCTTTGGCTCTATCTGTGTTTCTTTCTTGCTTATAAAAATTAACTAAAAATAATTCCTGCTTTACAGGATGTACTAAATTTTCTATTTGCTTTGAAGACAGACAATTTAGTGAGTCTGCAATGCCCATGTGACAACTTACTTAGCTCCTCCTGCATTTCCTTCCAATTTTTGGCTTCTTGGGAGTTGGGGTACGTCACAAGTAATCCAGCCAGGGCTTCCTTTACTTTTTGGATTTTTGGAGAATTCTGTTCCAACTCAGCAAGAAAGGCCTAGGAGAAAGAATACCATGCATACCATAAACAATTGAAGGAGTAGGTGCCAATTACAGGTTCTCTTCTGATGCTTTTGATGACTTGTCTGTGATTTTAAGATACTTAACCTTTCTGTTTCAATATTTATTTTAAAAAGAAAATTTAAATGGCAACATCTCAGCTTCTTGCATGTATAATACATCAATGAACCCAATACGAAGGAATTATCACTCTCTACAAACCAAAAGCACCCACAGATGATGAGGATGATGTTTTTACATTTGGAGGGGAGGACTTGCTATGCTCAAGTGGAGTATTAAAATTTCTTTCAGGATTTTCTATGGTCTTTAATCTTCTGACATTTTCCCTAATCCCACATGTCAGTCTTAAGAATGAGCTGTAATCATGTGCTTTTTTTTTTTTTTCCCCAGAGCCATTTGAGAATTAGAAAGGGGCTTTGAGGAGAATGGTTTGGTTCTCTTGAAGTATCAGGAATGAGATCCCATTCTCAATCAGCTGATGCTTTGGGGGGCAGGGCAAGTCTTTCTAACATGTCTGGTTTTGTTTCTGATTCAATCTCTAACTGTATAGGTAAGAAAACTCTGTAGGAGAGTCAAAGGCATATTATTCACTTGGAAATCAAACACACTGTTTCCCACAGCACGGAGTTGGCCAGGTCTCACTCTCGGTTGCCTGGGCTCAGGCAGGAACACTGGTACAAAAGTCTTTTCCTCTAAGTGCCAGGATACAGCTGTTACCTTGTTAGACTCAGCTTGGGCTTTCACTGTTTCTGTCCTGGTTGGAGACAAAGAGGCATCCATGGTTTTCAGGACTTCCTCTTTTGATTCCAGCCACTGTAGCACCGAGTTTGCCTCCTTCTGAACCTCGTCCATTCTGTCAAGTACAGCCTGAAGGCTTTCTTGGCGCTCCTGAAGTAATCCCCCTAGTTTCTCATACTTCAGGTTCACATCTGACATGTCACACTGGATCTCCGTCAGATCTAATATCACAGAAACAGAAGTCAGTGGGAACAGCTTGACAAGCTTTTCCTTTTGGTCCTCACTTCTAAACTACGTCAGGATTAAGCATCTGTTCTACTCTTCTAACAAACTACAGATGATATCCCTGCTACATCACACAATGCTGCTTAGGGCATGATATACTCAGATATATAAGATTCACACTTTAAAATGCTCAATACATATGGGAACAAAAGTGAGGGGAGCAAAAGTAAGAAGTCAGTTAGCCACTGCCGGGGTTAAGACTTGGAGCATTTTCTGCTGTCTCTTCTCCAAACCAGACAGGTCACCTAGCTAGGAGGTCGAAGGTCAGACTAGATTACCTCTAGAATAGCACAACTTCTTTATAATTCAAAGATTCATATACCTATATAAAGAGAAATTCTTTTTCAAAGATTTATTTATTTATTTAAAATGCAGAGTGACAGAAAAAGAGGTAGAGAAACAGAGAAAGAGAGATATTCCATTTGCTGCTTCATTCCCCAAATGGCCACAGCAGCCAGGACAGGGTCAGGCCAAAGTCAAGAGCCAGGAATTCCATCCTAGTTTCCTAGATGGATGGCAGGGGCCAAGTGTTTTGACCATCTTCTCCTGCCTCCCCAGGAAGTTGGATCAGAAGCAGAGTAGCCAGGATTCAAACTAGCACTCCAATATGAGATGCTGGTGTCATAAGCTGTGGCCTAACTCACTGTACCACAATACTGGCCTCAAATGAAGAGCTGTTCTAATTTTTATATACTAATTTTATTTATTTGAAAGACAGATACATAGAGAGAGATAGATAAATAGACAGATAGATAGAAATCTCCCATCCATTGATTTATTTCCTAAATGCCCAAAAGCTGGGACTGGGCCAGGCCAAAGCCAGGAATTCAATACAGATTTACCACATAGGTGGCAGGGATGCAACTACTTGAGCCTGTTGCCTCCCAAAGTGTGTATCAGCAAGAAGCTGGAATCAGGGTAGAGCCAGGGCTCAAACCCAATATGGGATATGGGGTCTTAACTGCTCAGCAAATACTTGCCCACATATTTTTAAGGTCTTTCTTTATTGGCCTTACCTAGTGATGCTGTTTATCTCCTTGGTACATTTAATTCTGGGGTCATCAACCTAATTAGCCCATAGCCAGCAAACAGAGAGGCATCTCTGTTTTTCCCAAGTTGCTTTCCCCCAGATTTTCACCTTCAGATTTTCTTGGCAGCAGCTCTTCCACACGTATTGAAACACACACAGATACAAACACGGACACTGTCCTAACACACCCAACAAAGAGGCACTGTGGAAATGGCATTCTCACCTTTGCAGGTGTGGTATCCGTTTACACTGCCTACAGAGCTTCCTACAGGGGGCAGTATGGAACCTGAGCAGAATGACAAGGAGACAAACAGGGCAAGACCAAGGGGTTAGGCATACATACAGGCAAGGCGTTTGTTCTTTGACACTCACTTTAAGCTTGGGTATCAGGAAGTTAACACAGCACAAGACAACATACTAATGAAAAGAGACAAATCATTTTAGCTGCCAGGCAACAAAGTGTCATTCGAGATATTTTAGCTCCTTAGCAGTAATGATTCTTAATCCTTTCGAGAGGAAATGCAAACTCAGTTCTTAAATCCTCTGGATCCTGCCCTAGTTTTGTGAAGCAAGTACAGGTAAAATTATCAGGTCTTTAGAATAGTATCTGTCACATTTTTGGATGAGCCTTTACAATGAAGCAAAAAGTTTCACCTTTAATGTCAATATCTTTCACTATACTAAAAATGAACAATGAGTACAATTAAGGACATAAAAAGCAGCATTCATTTAATAAAGATATCAAAATGAACCCTTCCTATATTGTTTCTAAAGAAAATTTTCATACCTCTTCTGGCTCCTATTGCCCCACCAGAAAGACAGAAATGTTAAGTGCCAATATATCTGGCTCACAAATATTCTCATAAATTCTCTTTTAGGTCTTTGGTTCTGTTTCTGATTACCACAATATCACCTATATTCTCCTCAGGTTGTTTGTTTTTCTAAAGAGTTTTCCAAGTTAAGTAAAAACCAGGTCGTGTCATTTTAAAGATTATACAGAAACATGAAAAATATTCACAATATAATGTTATTTAAGGTAGAGAATAAAACACTCATGAACACTGATTTCACTTTGCAAAAAGTCATGTGCAAGGCTATATAAAAATAGTTGCATTAGGGTGGTGATAATAAAACTTTTAAATGTCAAGGTTATTGTATTTTAATTAAAAAATAATTTTCCAGGGCAGTGTGGTGATGACAAAAAGCAACTGAACAGTAATAAGGAGAAGAAGGGCATGGCTAAGGTAGTCACTAACCCAGATGTGGACTTTAATCTGTGGACAGCCCCTCAGCCTCTTCTCTAAGATGGGAAAACAATACTACTTCTATCCTGTCAATGCTCAGGGCTTACTGAAGAGAGGTCACAAGATAATGTATATGAGAGCATTTTATTGAACAAGAAAGAGTAACACAAATGTAAAAACTGGAATATTCATAGTTTTTCAGAGTTGGAAGAGAACTTGAAAACTCAGGTTAGTAATTTTCATAGCACCCAAAAGAGGCACTTTAGAGTTTGGTTTAAATTTAATATTAAGATAAATTTCTAGCTACTTAGAAATGGCAGGAAAACATGCTTGTTCAATTACACTGAATGCTACATCTTCCCCCACTAGATAGAACCAATTGGCACTGTCCTTTTGAGAAAAATAAGTAGCTCCTGCCACTTCTATGCATATATTTAAGCTTCTTTTTGAGTGTCACTGAGCAAAAGTTATAGCTCTTCTCTAGTACTCTACAATATTCAATCCTGTACATAAACACTCCAGTATACTATACAGAGGAAAACTATAGTGCATGTGTCGCACATTAAATAAAATGATAATCAAAGCTTAGATTCACCTACCAAAAGCAAGCTCTTATCAGGGCACAATTATGTAATAACAGAATTCTTAACATTTCAAATTTTTCCTCAATGTCAGTTTGTGTTATCTATGTTTAAGAAAAGAATGTGAGGCTTCATTAAGTATTCTTAGTGACTTAACTTTGATATGAGCATTTATTACAGCACTCTCAAGTTTCTAGTTCAGTTTAGTCAGAGAGTATTTTAAGATTGTAAAGGAAATTTTAAAAAACATTTGTCATCATTTGTAACTATCTGTACAAATCATATTTTCTGGACACAATACCAAATAAAATCTAGAAATAGATCAAGAAGCTGGCATCCTCCTTTTCAAAATTTTATACCAAATTATTTTATATGTATTAAGATGGTATCATTATTCTGAAAAATTTCATAACAGATAAGTGCTATAAATTAATTTATAAGGGAAATTTATGACAAAAATTTCCATTTATGTGGTAGGTTTCTACAGGGGAATTATTTCTAAAAAGACTCTAATGCTTAAAAAGTTGAAAAACAGTCCAAGAGTCATCAGACTATAGCCCATCAGCCAAATCTGGTCCTTGGTATATTTCCACATTTAAAGTTTTACTGGAATACAGCCACACCATATATTGTCATAGCTACTTCTGAGCAGGTACATGATTGTGACAAGGACCATGTGGCCTACAAGTCTAAAATATTTACTATCTGGCTCCTTATAGAAAAAGTTTGCAGGCTCCTGATTTAATCCTATGCTGCTAATTCACTGAGCTTCAAAGCTTATGTATAGAGCATAAGTATCACCAATTCTCTGAAATGTTGTCACTTCTGGGTGGTTCCAAGAAATCCTTAAAATTCAGAATACTAAGGTAAATGTTCTCAGCCACAAGCAAGAAAGTACAGTAAACACTTGCACTATCACAGACCGGTTATAAAACTTCTGAGACCCCAATTACCAACCTTTAATTTTTTTATGTTCACTTCACAGTTCTAAGTGGGCCAACTAGTCCATTTACTCTTCCCATCATGGGAAAGAATTTTGCAAAATGGAGCAGTGTTACATATCAATGGAGGAAACAGATCAGCTTGTGGGGACAACTTCTTTGTAGATGCCCTTTGTGTTCATATTTGACCTTGATTTTGACTTTTCTTAAAATAAAGGGGCATCTCCAAAGGCCAAGAGCAAAGAATGATGTTTATTCACTACAGTACGAAGAGTCCGTACTTACCTGATTTGGCTTGGGAATCAGGTGCTGTGATCTCCATGATGAGATTTTCTAATGAAGTGCCTTTGCAATTGATTTCTTCTACCAGAGATCCTTTACTGACCCAGTCATCTAAGAGGCCCTGTTTAAAGAACAAAATGGCCAAATACAGCATCTGAGGGCCTTCTCATAAATAGGAACAATTCTACATACACTCCTTAAAGTTTTAGAAGCACTAGGAGACCATCTTCACATATTCAGCATTTCAAGATCCCAAGTTAGCCTGCCAAGGTTTGGCAGAATGACACCTTGGAATTTTTAGGACATTTAGACTCATTTGTTCATCCATCCAATATTTACTAAGCATTGGTTTACTATAGGTCAGGCACTGGGGATACAAAATAGGATTATGACATACTTCCTAAAACAAAGAGCTCAGATTATCAACTGCATTATAATGTGTGAAATGTTTTTACAGAATTATGGACAGTCAATAAACTCTGAGGGAACAGGAAGAGACACATAACCTCTACCTAGAGAGATGAAGGTTTTGAGTTACGATACTTGCTAGGTGGACAAAGGAGAGCAACCTCTGCATAAAGAATAAATAAGAAATGATAACTGGAGGATAAATGAGGAATGAGATGAACAGATGTGAAGAAATACCTAGTATCACAGACTGTACTCTGCAGTTATCAAGGGAACTTTATGTTGGGTTTAACATCAGAGTTCAGATTACCACAGAAAGCCATTAGGAACCAATGGCATCTGCTCTAAGACAAAAGGACCAGATCATACTAAGCCTCTAAAAACATGATGATCTGACGTAGCCATAGGATTTTACTTCTTTCAAAGCCAGGACAACATCCTAGCCCTTAGCCTCTGTCCTCACACCAAACACCTCTGACAATCTGCTCAATGTGCTGTTGATGTTTAACTGCAGGGGAGCAGCAGAGAAAGATGGAGAATCAGCAGACAGTTGGCAAGCCCATGCTCCCCAACTTCTAAGTGACCCAGGATCACTGCTTGTCAATTCTTTTATTAATCACTCTTGATTCCAAAGAACCACGGTCCCCAAACAATGCATTAACATGCAGGGCATTTTAAATCTTTGAGGGAAATACAGTGACATCTGTTGGACACTACATGAACAACTACCATTGAGCTGTTTGGACTGCACTGCTTAGCAAGTGGAACTCTAAGTTGTCTTTCAGTTTTGTGTGTTTCGCAGAGGCAGGACGCTGAGGTGCCATGAAAAAACTTCTTAAAACAATGAGAGCACTGTGAGCCAAGAAAGCGGGGAACCTCTGTCCCAGGGAACTCTCGATGGCAGATGCCCTTGGCACCCACTCTGTGGAACCTATAAAGTTCTTCTCTTTCTTTGGTTAAGATAAAGCCTGCTCTACTGAGAAAATAAGGAGGAGTGCACCTAAGTTAGAGTTATAGGCAGATTTGCCTCATTTCAACAAAAAGAAGAGGTATGTCAGAGGTACAGAGGCTAGATGAGTACACATCAAAGACAATACAGGAGAGATTCTGCAAGAGATTGCAAGAAGGCTGGTCCTATCTTGGCAGGTACCTGCCAACCACATCATTCTAACCTCTTCTTTATTAGCTGGAGTAGTAAAAGTTCTTCCCTCCTCAATTTCCTGATCATGTACTTAGTCACTTACATATATTTGCCTAATTTTCAAAATTAAATGAGAGTTTAAGCTTCAAATGCTCAAACCTTGACCAAGCTTTTTATGATGTCTTATTTATAACTCACCACAGCAGGAGAGGCAGCCAAGAAATAGCTGAAACTTAACGGATTTTATTCCCAGATGATTTGTTCGCTTTTGGTGTTTACATAGGACATGTTAGAGTGCTCAGTGCTAGACAGGGATAGACAGAAACCCCATGAAGATGATGGAGGAATCTCTATGCTGATGCACACAGATAACTCGTTCTCACATCACATCCCCACCACAATTGAAGATCAGCTGATGGAGGCTTCTAAACGACTATGTAGCCTGACTCCTGGAGAGCCTTTTTCTCACCTACCTTAAGGTGTTCAATCTGCTTTTCCAGCTCTTTAGTACTTAAGAAAGTCTCTGTAGGTGGAATGCTTCCTTCAGTTTCTTTCAGCCATTTCTGGAAAAGCCTAATCAACTTCCGGAATTCATCCAACTGCTCCTGGCAAGATGATGCATCTTTCTCTCTGTCAACAAAGTTTTGTTAGTTACCAGACTAGTCTTGTAAAATCAACTTGAACTAAAACTAGGCTCACTCTGGGACTCCAGGCATCAATTTTCTAACAGGGCTCTTCCTTCCCATAATCTTTTCCACAGCAAGTTTGGATGAACAACCACATATAATATAGGAGAGCATCAAACTCAGGAATCTGTTGCCCTTGTTTGGATATTTCTTGGGAAAGAAGTCTTCAATCTCACTCTAGGCTAAAGTGAAAGTGAGAAAAACTAAGGGAGCTTGCTATTTAGGTACTATGATACAATGGAAAGAATGCAGGCTTTGGAGCTCAGTTCCAGCTCAGCTATATTTTAGGTATTTGACTCTTTCAGAGCCCAGTTCAAATGCTTATTCTGTTAGCAAGGAAGCTGTTGAATCTGGGGCCAAGAAAAGTTGGATCATTAGCTCTTGTTAACTAAGCCAATGCATAAAATAAGTGAAAATAGTCACATCTATCATTGGATGTCAACCCAGAGATTCTGGTTTCTTAAAAGCTCTCAGCACAGAAGAAAAACAAAGCAGTCTTGACCTTTGTCCCCATTTCCTCTAATAAATAACCTGTTGCTTAGTGATGGTTGAGCAACTACTTTCTTCTAATAAATAAGGCAGATGACTTTGTTTATGGCTAAATCAAGATTAGAAGTCTTGTTCACATTCTTAAACCCAAGTAAGACTTTTCAATGGGGAATCATGACTTTTAAACAGTAAACTAAGGTCGGTGCCGTGGCTCACTAGGCTAATCCTCCGCCTAGCGGCGCCGGCACACTGGGTTCTAGTCCCGGTCGGGGCGCTGGATTCTGTCCCGGTTGCCCCTCTTCCAGGCCAGCTCTCTGCTGTGACCCGGGAGTGCAGTGGAGGATGGCCCAAGTGCTTGGGCCCTGCACCCCATGGGAGACCAGGAGAAGCACCTGGCTCCTGCCTTCGGATCAGCGTGGTGCGCTGGCCGCAGCGCGCCGGCCGCGGCGGCCATTGGAGGGTGAACTAACGGCAAAGGAAGATCTTTCTCTCTGTCTCTCTCTCACTGTCCACTCTGCCTGTAAAAACAACAACAACAACAACAAATAGTAAACTAAAATCAGCCAGTCTTTGCCATCTACTTGCTTGTTTGCTTTGGAAGAAGAATCTGGACACTCCTCCAGAACAGCAACTTACATGTAGTTAAAACAAGTGGGGCAAATGCCAAGGTAGCCTTTACTTATGTCTGGGAAGTCTCTTCCAATTATTTTCCTTATTTCAAATTCTGCCACATTCTTGCTTGCTATCCAATTTGTTCTATTTGGTGTAGGTGGGCTTAAGAGCAGAAATTCAGCCCCATTACTGAGAAGGAATTTACTAGTTCATAGCAGAAAAATCACTAAACCTTAAGGAGATAGGTTGCTCACCTTTCTTTAACTGTTTTCTGCAGTTCTGTGAAATCCTTTTTGAGGTTCTGTATCCTGTCCTGGTGCTGGGACAGGTCCAGTGCAAAGCCACAAGAGTGCAGTTCAGTGACCAGGTGCTCAAGAGTATCGAGGTTCTCCTTCTGGTCTTCCATTTCCACACTGACCTCCTGTCAAGCACAAAATGAAATGTGTTAAAGCTCTGATACTTACAAGTAAATATACTCAAACAGATGAAAAATATCTAGAGTAAGTCTGGGGTTGAGTTCTTGCTAATCTGTAGAAAGTGAGGCAACAAGAAGAGGCACGCTTGCTGGGTCAACTGATAGACCAAAATAATAAAAGCGTATGGCCTCTACAATCCACTGGATGGAGAGTGGGTAGGAGTTAAAAAGAAAGCTAATCTCCTTTATTCAAATGTTCTAAGACTTGGTACAAGCACCCACGTGGGAGACCAAAAGAAGCTCCTGGCTCCTGACTTCGGATCAGTGCAGTTCCCGCCGTTGAGGCCAATTGGAGAGTGAACCATTGGATGTAAGACCTCTCTGCCTCTCCTCTCTATGTGTAACTCTGACTCTCAGATAAAAAATAAATAAATCTTAAAAAAAAAAACAAAGATATTAGCAAGCACAATTAAGATAAACCATTTGTGACATAGAATTGGAAAGAAGAGGTAAAATTATATTTGCAAGTTACATGAGTATATTCTTATAAAATCCAAGAGAATCAACTATACAACTAAATAAAAAAATGAAATAATCCAGTAAGGTAGCAGAATATAAAGTTACATAAATCAAGAATGAAACTTCATTTTATAGCAACACAAAAAGCTCAATCTTAGTAATCAATAAGAAATATATAAAACCTAAACTTTAAAATACTCCTGAAAAACACAAAAACAAGATCTGAATAAATGGAAACACCCATGAGGATGTGTATTTGCATCACGTATGAGGGTAAACCACAAAGTTCATGGAAAAATGGAATAAAAAGATAAGGAGTGGGAATCTGGCCTAGAGATTAGGATGCTCATGTTCCACATGGGGTGCCGAAGCTGAATACCCGACTCTGGTTCCTGACTTCAACTTTCTGCTAATGCGGACACTGGGAGGCAATGGTAATGACACAAATAATTAGGCTCCTGTCACCCACATAAGATATCTTGACTGAGTTCTTGGCTCCTGGCTTTGGCTGGGCCTGGCCTAGCTGCTGTGCACATTTGGGAAGCAAACCAGCAATTGGGAGACTGCTCTTTTTGTCTCATTTTCTGTTTCTCAAATAAATAAATAAATAAATTAGAAAGAAAAGATACATTTATTTTGGTGCAAAAAAATTGAAATCTATGCATTTTTTAAAAAAATATGCATTTTAGTGAACTTTTTGAATTTTCCTATATATGGATTTCAAAAAATGTTTAGGGGCCAGCTCTGTGATGTAGTGGGGAAAGCCGCAGCCTGCAGTGTTGGCATCCCATATGGGCACCAGTTTGAGTCCTGCTCAACTTCCAATCTAGCTCTCTGCTATGGTCTGGGAGAACAGTGGAAGATGGCCTGAGTGCTTGGGCCCCTGCACTCATGTGAGAGACCCAGAAGAAGCTCCTGGCTCCTTGCTTTGGATCAGCACAGCTCCAGTTGTTGCAGCCAACTGGGAAGTGAACCAGAGGATGGAAGACCTCTTTCTCTTTCTCCCTCTCCTCTCACTGTGCAACTCTGACTTTCAAGTAAATAAATAAATCTTAAAAAAAAATGTTTGCACCAAAACAAACTTATTTTTTAGTTCCATTTCCATGAACTTTTTGAAGAATGTTGTCACACACATATATGTGGTATGAATACATTTAATGTGACTCAAATAAAAATAACAATTTTTTTTTTTTGACAGGCAGAGTTAGTGAGTGAGAGAGAGAGACAGAAAGGTCTTCCTTCCATTGGTTCACCCCCATAATAGCCACTACGGCCGGTGTGCTGCAGCCGGTGTGCTGCGCCGATCTGAAGCCAGGAGCCAGGTGCTTCCTCCTGGTCTCCCATGCAGGTGCAGGGCCCAAGCACTTGGGCCATCCTCCACTGCCTTCCTGGGCCACAGCAGAGAACTGAACTGGAAGAGGAGCAACTGGGACAGAATCTGTCACCCTGACCGGGACTAGCATCTGAGGTACCAGCACCGCAGGCGGAGGATTAGCCTAGCGAGCCAAGGCACTGGCCACAGAATTTTTCCTCTAGAACTAATAAGTTGATATGAAAAAATAAATGTGCAACTACAATTATGAAAAATACTGAAGGAAAACAATGAGGAAGTTTATCCCTACCAGATATTGATGTGTACTATAAAGCACCTGTAACTAAAAGTAATATGCTATATCACAAAAATAGACATGCTGAAGAAACAGAACAGAAAATCCAGAAACAGACTCAAATACATATGGAAATTCTGTATGTGGTAAAGGTGGTTTCTCAAATCTAAAAGATACACGTCTTAATAAATGGTATCAAGAACAACTAAATAGATTTTTGGTAGAAGATGAACTTGAGTCGTACCTCAGCATAAATTCAAATTGTTAAAAAATTCAAAAGGGCTTTCAAACTATGAGTAAAAATACATATTTAACAAAAGACTGATGAAATCCACTGTTTACAAACAAAAAATTTACATGTCAAAAAAAAATTACCAGGAGCAAAGTCAAGAGACAAAGGACAATGGGAAGAAAATACTCCCAATATAGATAAAGAGCTAATCTCTCTAATATTTAAGCACTATTTAAAAATTGAGAGGGGGTGGGCTTGTGGTACAGTAAGATACTGGTGGGATATCAGCATTCCACGTCACAGTGCCAAGGTTTTAGTTCTGGCTCCACTTCCTATTCTAGCTTCTTACTAACACACACCCAGGGAAGCAGCAGATGATGGCTCAAGTACCTGGGTCCCTGCCACCAACATGGGAAACCCAGATTGGGTTCTGGGCTCCTGGCTTTAACCTGGCCTGATCCCAGCTGTTGTAGGTATTTTTGGAGAAAATCACTGGAAAGATTTCTACTTCTGCTTTCTCTGCTTTTCAGATATAAATAAAAAATAGTTTAAGAAAATAAAAAGTGAGGAAAAAAGACCCACAAACTTGACATAAAAATAGAAAAAGATGCAAACCAACAGTCCATAAATGACTCTTTTATTTTATTTTTTTGACAGGCAGAGTGGACAATGAGAGAGAGAGACAGAGAGAAAGGTCCTCCTTTGCCGTTAGTTCACCCTCCAATGGCCGCTGCGGCTGGCCCACCGCGCTGATCCGATGGCAGGAACCAGGTACTTATCCTGGTCTCCCATGGGGTGCAGGGCCCAAGTACTTGGGCCATCCTCCACTGCACTCCCTGGCCACAGCAGAGAGCTGGCCTGGAAGAGGGGCAACCGGGACAGAATCTGGCGCCCCGACCAGGACTAGAACCCGGTGTGCCGGCGCAGCAAGGTGGAGGGTTAGCCTAGTGAGCCGCGGCGCCGGCCAATAAATGACTCTTAAATGTATAAAAACAAACTAAAAATGTATAAAAATAACTGAATGTCACTCATGAGAGAGGAAATTAAAATTTCATTTAGCGGCAGTGGAGGATGGCCCAAAGCGCTTGGGCCCTGCACCCCATGGGAGACCAGGATAAGTACCTGGCTCCTGCCTTCGGATCAGCGCGGTGCGCCGGCCACAGCACGCCAGCCGTGGTGGCCACTGGAGGGAACCAATGGCAAAAGGAAGACCTTTCTCTCTGTCTCTCTCTCTCTCACTATCCACTCTGCCTGTCAAAAAAAAAAAAAATTCCATTTAGATATCATGTTTTATGTATTCGACTGGCTCAAAAAGCTTAGTAACACATTCTGTCAGTGAGGCTGTGGGAAGGAACAGGTACTCTCACATATTGCCGGGGTGGATGCAAAATATAAAATCTCAATGGAGGAGAAATTGGTTATAGCTAACCAAGCTACACATGTGTTTATCCTTTAAAAACATTTCTTTAAAATTTATCTTCATGGCCGGCGCCGCGGCTCACTAGGCTAATCCTCCGCCTAGCGGCGCCGGCACACCGGGTTCTAGTCCCGGTTGGGGCGCCGGATTCTGTCCCGGTTGCCCCTCTTCCAGGCCAGCTCTCTGCTGTGGCCAGGGAGTGCAGTGGAGGATGGCCCAGGTGCTTGGGCCCTGCACCCCATGGGAGACCAGGAAAAGCACCTGGCTCCTGGCTCCTGCCATCGGATCAGCGCGGTGCGCCGGCTGCAGCGCGCCGGCCGCGGCAGCCATTAGAGGGTGAACCAACGGCAAAGGAAGACCTTTCTCTCTGTCTCTCTCTCTCTCACTGTCCACTCTGCCTGTCAAAAATTAAAAAAAATAAAAATAAAAAAAAATAAAATTTATCTTCATTTTATTTGAAAGGCAGAGAGAGAATGAGAAGGTGGAGAGAAATCACCATCCACAGGTTCATTTCCCAGATACCTGCAACAGGCCAAAGCTAGGAGTCTGGAATTCAATTCAGGTTTCCCATTTGGGTACTTGGACCATCATCTGCTGCCTTTCAGGGTATGTGTTAGCAGGAAGCTGGACTAGAAGTGGAGGGGCCAGGACTCAAACCAGATAGTCTGATATGGGATGTGGGCATCTCAAGTGATGACTTAACTGCTGCATCAAATACCTGTCCCTGCGTTTACCTTTGATGCAACAATTCCACTCATAATGATACAGTTGCAACAATATAGGAAAAATGGAAAAGGTTATTCATTTGTAATAGCACAATTCTGGAAACAACAGTCAGAGAATGCCCACACACAGAATTTCAGTAAACGAACTATGGTAAATCTACCCAATGAATGTACAGCTGAGAACCAGCAGATGGAAGATCTCTCTCTCTCTGTCTCTCCCTCTCTCTGTGCTCTTTCAAATAAATAAAATAAATCTTAAAAAAAGGAGGAAGATCTCTATGAATTGATATTAAGTGACTTCTAGGACATACTAAAGAAAAAACAGAGTGAAAAACATTATATATTCTTCTCTTTGGCAAGGAAGGATGAGAAATGTGAACGTGGTGTATACATTTTGGAAAAATAAATAGAAAAAACAAACTTGAAATCCATTACTACAAAAGTGGGTGTAAATGAGATGGCAGAACTTTATGAGTAGTTTTATATTTGAGCTATAGAAATGCTTTACATAGTTAGAAATAAAATTTAATAAACAAAGATAGGAAATTAAAACTCTAAAGTGGAGCACAAACAGAAACAAGTAAATCTAATTATATATTAAATTATAGGGAAAATTAATTCAGGTTATTTACTTATTTTCCTTTAATTTTGTTTTTATTACTTGAGAGACAGATGGGAGAGGGCAGAGATCTCCCCACCTGCCAGTTCCCTCCCCACATGCTCACAAGGCAGATTATGTAGCCACCTGGATCTGCTGGGAGAAACGTGCGATATCTTGATCTGGCTGATTTCCAGAGGCTAGCATCCGACTTTTGTTTTCCACGAACTGCTGCAGTTTATCAGAGAGATGTTCAAACATCTCGGCCTGCGGCAGAAGCTTCTTTAGGGAGCTCTCCTTTTCCTGCTGCTGTAGACAGAGCTGTTCAAAGCGCTGGTTCACTTCCGCCAGTTTTCCCTGCAGTCCTGCTGCGGTGTTGCTGTCTGCCGTCTCCATGAATCGGGTCACCATCTCCCGGGTAGCCTCTAAGCTGCTCTTTTGTCGAGCAATGTCTTGCTTCAGTTTCTGTCAAAAAGGAGATGGCTGTCAGCTCCTGGCTCATTTATTCTAGGATATCTGAGCCACAACCTATAACACATTAATACTCTCATGGTCACTTCCTCAAGGCGGGTTGGAAGATTGCAACTGCGTTTTCAGAGTACCATGCGTCTTATCCCTTTCGTTCTCTACCCATTCCACTAAATGACTTGGCTATTGTCACTTTTCCTGAAGCTCAATGGTAGCTTGGAAATTGGGTAGAAGTATCTGTATGTGGATTAGTCAACATCTTTAAAACTTACTAGAAGATTCATGAAAATGAAGTTTTCCTATTATTTTTTCAAAATTATACAAGTATGGCACATGGCAAACACCCCTCTTTGCTAATGCTTGGGACACAGGTCTTACCATATTAGTGGCCAGGGCTTCTTGGATCACTTCTGTCGAAAGAGAGGCCACCTGCTTCCCTTCCAGGTTTTGTTCAACTTCCCTGATGGACTGCAACAGGCTCTCTAGACTTTCCTGGACACTCTGAGATTGGGCAATTGCCTTCTGCAGCAGAGCAGAGCGCTCAGCCAGGCTACAGGAGAGTCTGTGGAAGTGACTGAGAATGGAATCTGGAAAACCAAGGCCATGAGAAGAAAGAGTGAATACTATTTTTGCTTAATGCTTTAAAAAATATTTAATTTACACATATTAAGTATAAGAACAACTGACATCAAGAGAAACAAAAGGAATAAGCTCAAAGTGTATTAGTATTGGAGTCAAATTCATTAAGCATTTTTTAAACAGAAATTATGCTAGATGTTGAGGATTAAAAATCATTACAGTGGTCCTTACTGTTCCATACTACCCATCTTGACCTTGTTATAATATGATATTTATGATATAGTATAAATTACAAATTTAAGGCTATATACAGAACAAAGGCAGAGGAAGTTACCTGACAACTAACAGTAAAAATAAAATATTAAGTGCTATGTTAGCACTTTAGCAGCTCTGCTGTAGAAAAGCCCAGAAGGAAGAGTAATTATTTCTTATCTTTTATTTTTTTCTAAGAGGTGGAAGTGGTGGTCAGGATTTTACAAAGGAAGTAACCTCTCTGGTATATATATATATTTTAAACCAATGATCATTTATTTATGATGTACAATATGATATCTTGAAATCTACATATATACACATACTCACAATTATGAGATGGCTAAATTATACTACTTAACACATACATTACTTCACATAATTATTACTTATTTGTGATGAGAACACTCTCAGAGTAATTTTCAAGTATACGATATATTGTTATTAACTACAGTCACCAGGATGTTATTACTCTTAGCTGCATCTTTAAGGATGAGCAAGATTTCTATCATGCATGGTAGACACTCGATAAATGTTAGTAGCTAAGCAATAGAAAAACTTCAGGCAGAATGTAATGCAGAAATGACTGGCTTGCTTTGGAAATGAAAGAAGTAGAGTACAGCTGGAAGGCGGGTGCCTGGGAGAAAAGGGTTGAGGCCAGATTGTGACGGTCCTTCCATGGTGCAAGAATGGAGTTCATTAGAGGAAGAGCTATTTGATGAGAGTCTAAATTTACTCCTGTCTATCCTCAGCCTCTAGCTTACCATCACAGACACTTACACAACACAATGAGATACAGTGTAAAACAAAGGTATATACTCAAGAGTTCAGGGAGCACTACTGCTATTACTGCTTTATACCTGTTGTTTCTTGAACATGTGTGTGATCTGGGGCTGGCTCCCCTTCAATTTCCATGAGGTCACGAGCTATTTTTTGGAGCTTTTCTACAGGTACTTGGTGCTCAGCCAGTTCCTCCTGTAACTGCTGCTTGCCCATGAAAAAGGACAAAAGAAAAACATCTGAGAAGATAATCAAAATTGATTCTAGAAACTCAGACTTAGTCAGCAGTTTTATAGAAGAAGTCTCAGTTTATCCACTGCTATAGATATTAAGATAAAGTGTTTAGGAATCAGATCTTGTCCAAGGCATCCCAACCACTGCATTTAATCTATGCAAGCATTTGGCTTTCTTTGGGGGTATTCTAAGCCACACAAGACCTTCACACCACAACAGATCCCATGTCTAGGTTTACCTTTGTCGTTAAGAGCTGCTGTTGCAGGATTCCAGGGTCAGAGGCAACAGTGTCTGAGAGGAGTTTCTCCACATTGGCCTCACAAGTCTGCATCCAGGCCTGCAGGCTGTCAGCACTGCTTTGAAACTGCTGATACTGGCTTAGCAGCATGTTCAGGTGAGAGCCCAGTCGTGCACACTGTAACACAGAATGACAGGAAAGCAGATCTATGTAATGTCAGACTAAAGAAAGCGGTTTCCTGAGCACAGGCCAAAGAAACAGGCCTGGCTTTGTTAGAGAGAACTCACTGTGACTTTAGGTAAGGGTCATGTCAGGGACCCATGGAGGACAGATTGGTGGCAATCATCTACAGTGGTCCTCATTGTTCCATACTACCCATCTTGACCTTGTTATAAACCCAGGGATATTTAATCAGTTATATGAAAAGCCACCAAAGAAAGACACATCGGGGACTGCATTTAGCCCAGCTGTTAAGCCACTGGTTGGGACACCCACACCCACATGGGAGCGCCTGGGTGTGAATCCTAGCTCTTGTTCCATTTTCTGCTAGTATGCACCTTGGCAGGCAGCATGCATTCCCGGTTCCTGGCCTCAGCCTGAGGCCTAGGGTCCTTGCAAATATGTGGGGAGTGCCAGCAGATGGCAGCTCTATCTGTCAAATAAGTAAAGCTAAAAAAATAAAAAGGACATATACAACAGGTTGCAGGCAAAGATAGAGACTGAGAGTACAAAAAGCACATTAACAGAAAACATGGGGCCAGCACTGTGGTGAAGTGGGTTAAAGTCCTAGCTGGAAGCACTGGCATCCCATATGGGCACTGGTTCGAGTCCCAGCTGCTCTACTTCAAATCCAGCTCTCTGCTACAGCTTGGGAAAGCAGCAGAGGATGGCCCAAGTCCTTGGGCCCCTGAACCCACGTGGGAGACCTGGAAGAAGTCCTGGTCCCTGGCTTCAGATTGGTTCAGCTCCAGCTGTAGCAGCCATTTGGGAGAGTGAACCAGTGCATGGAAGACCTCTCTCTCTGCTCTACCTCTCTCTGTAACTCTGCCTTTCAAATAAATAAAATAAATCTTTTAAAAACAAAGAATAAATAAGAGAGGTAAAAACTGTCTGGATTCTAAACTTTAAGAGAGAGAGTTCCTTACATAGAGAAGATAAGGATTTACCTTAGATGTTCTGTACAACTGACTTAAGCTTCCCCTGTGCTATGTCTCCTGGGAGCCCAAGATGCTGGTCAAGATACAGGAAGGTGAGCACTTTGACCTTCAGCATGAGTATAACACTCCCAATACGGTTAGAATCAGTCCTTAGCCCATGGGCCTACACACTTCGTGGTTTTTTGCACAGTTCATGGAAACCCACTGTCCTAAGGGTCTTATTCTGAGCCCCAGAAACCACCCGCAACTGTATTAGGGCTGCTGCATCAGTTTCAGCAGAGGCTGAGCAAGGCCCTCTTACCTTTGAATGAAGAGCAGTGTATCTTTCTGTTGCATCCTTCAGCTTCTCCTTCACTAAGTGTCTGGTTGCTGATGGCTCTTTGCCTTCCTCAGAGTTATTTTCTGTGTCCAAGACTTTCTGTCCTGAGATAGTCACAAATCTCAAGTCACCTTTGTGAGAAATGACATCCTCTGAGAAGCTTCCCTGCCGCTTTAGCAGGGAGGGAAGGGCTTCAGGGCTGCTGCTTCCTTTATGCATGTTCTCCAGCTCTTTCTCAGAACGTTCCAGCCAGCTTTCAAATTCTTTATGATCCTGAAGAAACTTCTGCAGCTCATCCCGGAGGGTCTGCACTTGCTTCAGGTCTGCCTCTGATTGGGCCAGGGAAGTGGCATATTGTTCCTTAAGCTCTCCTAGCTTCTCTTGCAACATCTGCCGTTCTTTGGGTTCAAGATTATGGCCATGCTGGTCCAGGAAGGCCTGAGCTGACTGGGTGGCCAGAATGAAATTCTGCTGCTGGGACAGCAATTCTTGGTGACAGGCCTGGCAAATAATACCCCCAAACAAGGACAGTCAGTAGGGAAACCACATAATTTGATTATGCCTCCAACCAGAGGTACAGAAAGGTCTCTACTTCTACTTCAATAAGCCATTGTAGATAGACAATATATAGCTCATACAAGACAAGATAAATGAATACCACAAATACATCCTAAGTAATGTCATATAGGTAATTAATGATCAGAACTGACTAGAACCTCACTCTTTTTACTAAACCAACCCAAGTGTAAGAAAATGTACAAATGGCCAACTAACAGTGATCTACGTTAACGAAAGATAATAGCTAGATAAGTCATACATATGACAATATAAAAACTGCAAAAACTTAGCTATGACATATGTTACCCATATTTCCCTGTAGACTTGCCCCTATTAGAAAAGACCTTGGGGCTGGCGCTGTGGCTCAGTTGGCTAATCCTCTGCCTGTGGCGCCGGCACCCCGGGTTCTAGTCCCGGTCAGGGTGCCGGATTCTGTCCCGGTTGCTCCTCTTCCAGTCCAGCTCTCTGCTGTGGCCCGGGAGTGCAATGGAGGATGGCCCAAGTGCTTGAGCCCTGCACCTGCATGGGAGACCAGGAGGAAGCACCTGGCTCCTGGCTTCGGATCAGCGCAATGTGCTGGCTGCAGTGGCCATAAGGGGGGTGAACCAAAGGAAAGGAAGACCTTTCTTTGTCTCTCTCTCTCTCTCACTAACTCTGCCTGTCAAAAAAAAAGATCTTGGAAAATTTATTAGCTAGAGAGTAAATTTGACATAATGAATTTTAAAAGTAATATTTACTTTTCTTGGTAGGTGCTATTTCTATATGCTTTTATTTATTTATTTATTTTTTGACAGCCAGAGTAGACAGTGAGAGAGACAGAGAGAAAGGTCTTCCTTTTCCATTTGTTCACTCCCCAATGGCTGCTGCGGCCGGCGCACTGTGCTGATCTGAAGCCAGGAGCCAGGTGCTTCTCTCCTGGTCTCCCATGCAGGTGCAGGGCCCAAGCACTTGGGCCATCCTCCACTGCACTCCCAGGCCACAGCAGAGATCTGGACTGGAAGAGGAGCAACCGGGACAGAATCTGGCACCCCGACCGGGACTAGAACCCGGGGTGCTGGTGCTGCAGGCGGAGGATTAGCCTATTGAGCTGCAGTGCCGGCCTATTTCTATATGCTTTTATGTGAACTTCTTTCCTATTCTAATAGAATGTAAGTTCTTTGAAAATAGTTGTGGGTATTCTTTTATTTTCAAACATGAGAGACAAGGGGAGCATAGTCAGTGTTCCTGACTATCTATCTTGCTTATGCAAGTGCCTAGACTTACAGCCTACTTTCCCTCAGAATATTGTTCATTTTCATCCTGTGTCTACAGCAACCTGACAGCCCGAGCTTCTCATATCATCACAGGAAAACTGGAGTAACAACTACATCTTGCTCAAATACAGAGAAGGGGTAGTACTACAGTTTTTTCTATATAGCACCATATTCCCCATTCTTATCCTCCTACCCATCCACTTATGGGGGAGGCAGTTTCAGCCTTGGGATGGAGCTGCTGCTTGGTCAGGGTGATGGGCCAGCTAGTGGTGCCAGGAGCCTCCCTTGACAAGAGAATCATTTCTGCTCTCTGCAATGGTAAGACTGCAAGGGATTTGGGGGACATACTACATACCGCTAGAGCTTCCAAGTCTAGAGGCAGTATGCAAGATAAGAAATCCTATCAATACAAAATAAAGTAATGGCCCACACAGGCCATTCTACAGTATTCCAGCTAATCTGAATTTTCTTTGCTACAAAAGTGATACTACTAAAATATTTGTAATCTATTTATCCCATTGATTGGTTTATTTACAATGCCTGACACATGGCAGATATTCAGTATTCACTGAATGAATGAACAAAGGAATAGAGATAAATGGCGAGTAAGAAATGGTTTCTGCTTTTAAGTCTAGCATCTAGAGAGGAATACAAAGAAATAAATACAGATGAAAAATGCCATAATTCAGGAAGATTATAAGAGGAACCACAGGGGAGAAATACATATGCTTAACTCGGGAGTAGAGAATAACAGCTTCCTAGGGGAAGTGCAATGTATAAACTGGATCTGAAGGATGAATAATAGTGAACCAAGAGCTGGGCCTTTCTCTTATTTTCTGCATTGGAGAGCCAAGAAAGTTCCAAGAGTCGGCAGAGGCCCAGAGGAGAGTAGGAGCATAGTACAGTGAACAGGATGAAAAGATCAATATAGCTGTAGTGTAAAGGAAAGCGTGACTAAAGTGTAAAGAAAGATGAGAAGTGAGGTGAAATAAGTAGGAACAGATATGAGGGGGAATAGGGTATAGACAGTAAACCATGTTACAGTTTGGACTCAATCTTGAAGGTGATAGGTAGCAATTAAAAGGGCTATGTAAGAATATAGCACTTAAGAAAGGTCAATCAATAGTACAGGAAATGGATTGGATGGTAAAAATCAAGAGGCAAGGAGACTGGTAGAAGCTACTACAGGGCTGGCATTGTGGCGCAGTAGGATAAGCTGCTGCCTGCGATGTCGGCATCCTATATGGGAACCAATTCCCTGCTAATGCACCTGGGAAAGCAGCAAAGGATAGGTCAAGTGCTTGGACCCCTGCACCAGTTCCTGGCTCCTGACTTTAGACTGGCCCAGCTCCAGCCATTGCTGCCATTTGGGGAGTGAACCAGTGGATGAAAGATCTCTGTCTCCATCTCCCTCCCTCTGTAACTACCTTTCCTCCCAAGAAATTAATTAATTAAATAAATAAATAAATAAAAGAAACTATTACAATATGTAAGTGGGGGCCAGCACTGCAGTGAAAGCCACCACCTGCAGCGCCGGCATCCCATATAGGCGCCAGTTCAAGTCCCAGCTGCTTCTTCCAACCCAGCTCCCTGCTAATGTGCCTGGGAAAGCTGTGGAAGATGGCCCAAGTCCTTGGGTCCTTGCACCCATGTGGGAGACCTGGATGAAGCTTATGGCTCCTGGCTTTGCCCTGGCCTATCCCTGGCTGTTGTGGCTGTTTGGAGAGTGAACTAGCAGATGGAAGATCTCTCTCTGCCTCTTCCTCTCCCTCTCTGTAACTCTTTCAAATAAATAAACAAAACTCTAAAAAAAAAGTAGTATAACTAAAAACTGGTAGTGGTCTAAACTATACTAATGTCTTAATGGGGATGAGGAAATGTCAATGATTTTGAATGAGATACAAGAGTCATGGGATTTAATGAGTGGTTCAATATGCAAGTGTGAGGGAGAAAAAGGAATCCAGGACTGTGTCTCATTCAGGCAATTAAGTGGGAATACAGGAAGGAGAATGTGTTTGATTGGGACATGGGTATTACAGGAAATAGGATTCCATTTTCAGGTTGAGGTGCTTGTGCTTGTAAGTTGCAATGGGCAGATTCACATACTGGGTTGAAGCTCAAGGTAGGCATTAGGGCTTGAAAGAAGTATGTACATGGAATCAATCAGTGCAGATGGTAAAGGAAAAGAAGGATGATCAGGCAGGGTAGCGCTATGGAAATCAAGGGAGACAGTGTTTCAAAGGGAGTATTTTAGAACATTAAAAAAGATAGAAACTGTGATGTGCTCACTGGATATAGGGCTGGGAATGTTGGGGGAGCTGCCTAGGGCAGAAGAGATTCTTCTCGAATAGTGAGGACAAGCTACCATTCTCACCTTCATCTTTGCACACTGCCTGTCGAGGTTCTCTGGGGCATGGCTCACCACCATGTGGCCATCAGTGGTATCCAAGGTTCTTTTCTCTGGATCAGCCCCCGGGAGCTGCTCCATCCCTGGAAGGCTGGTCTGCAGTCGTCCACAGGACGATTCCACTGAAGTCACCCAATCCAGGAGCGCATCAATCTTATTCCTGTTCTCTGCAAGTTCCTTTGCTGCTTTACTCTGAAAGTGACAGGGGTAGTCTGATGAGAAGGCCTTAGATATTCAACTATATAAGAGGTTAAATAAAAGGGGGGCAGGATTTTATGCTAAAGAAAAAGAGAGGCTCTAAGACAGGCTATAAACAGGTTTTTTTGCACATATGAAAAAATAAACAGCTTCTAAAAATCTACTGAAAATAATTATTCAAAGCAATCTCTAGATTTTTGTCTCTTAACAATGAAAAGAGCAAGTTTCAGGATTTAAGAGACTTTAAGAAAACATTCAGTGTTGCTCTCCCAGCAAATCTTCACAGAATCCTTTCTCTTGAGAGCCAAGTTTACAAACTAAGTGTTCTATTTGACTGAGATTAAATGGGAGAAATCTGCCCTCTTATAAGAGAAGAGCTACCAGATAACTGAATGTGACCACGCTACCTCTTCCCCTACCACACCAGAGCATCACTGCCACGTTATGCACTCACGTCTTCTGAAATTCATCTTTTGAGGTCTGCACTGTGGTGCAGCAGTTAAGCACTGCCTGCAACGGCAACATCCTGTATGAGTGCCAGTTAGAGTGCCAGCAAAAGATGATATAAGTGCTTGGGTCCCTGCCACCCACATGGGAGACCCAGACAGAGCTCTAAGCTCTTGGCTTTGCCCTGGCCCAGTTCCAGCTATTCAGGGCATTTGGGGAGTGAACCAATCGATGTAAGATTCTCTCTCTCTGACACTCTTTCAAATAAATAAATAAATAAATAAATCTTTTAAAAAAGGAATTCATCTTTTGGTAACTTACTTCTCTTTCCCACGATCTCTACCTCACTCATTGGTGTCAGAGTCTAAGGCTGAAGGAGTGATGGGAATTAATCTAACAGTGCTGGGTGGAGTGCAGAACCATTTGAGACTGTTTGCTCTTTGGTTTATCTCAATGCAGAATTCTCATCAAAACTATAGAGGCAGTGTGGGGACAGCTTGTGGTCCACTAGGAATCCACAGATACTTTCCACTAGTACTTTTGTATCATCAGTCTATATTCATCTTAGAAACATACCATTCACTTTTTCCTTCCCAGGATAACACTGTTCCTAAGTTCTCATTGATCTTTGATTTATAAAGATCAGAGTACTGAGCATACAGATAGCAAGCATACAGTATGTACTGCCTACCAATTACTCCTGATCTGAAGTCCTCCTGGATATTTCTTGTAAAAATAAACACTCACATACTAGCTCCTGAAGAAGCCCTTTTTGTTGATTTGCTCTATAAGGCAGCTTCCCCTTCATTAACTTTTATTTGTAGAAGTACTAAAATTTTCTTTTGAGAAAATATCAAGCAGTCTGGTTACCTTCTCAGTTTCTTGCTGTAAAGCTGAGGTCACTGCTTCCTCCAGCTCCTTCTGGGCCACCCGTGTCTGTTCCTGGAGGGCCTCATATTGTTCCTTAGCTTGACTAAGTTTTTGCTGAAGAGCTGTCAACTCCTGGGGGCTCAGTTTGGTCTGGTTCTCTTCCAGAAAGCCTTCAATGTCTTTGACAACAGTGGAAAATGAGGTGGCATGATTTTGAATGTCATCCTGTAAATCCTAAACACATAAAAACAGGGATGGCAGAGTCTTTAACCTTAGTACTTGTAAGTCCTCTAAAGGTACAAAGACTAGATAACATATCTGCATGAAGTCCTTGACTAAAGTTTGCTTAAGTTTTAAGCCCAAACCAATGTGAAGAAATTTTAAAATATTTAATTTTGAAGCAAATATTTAGTATAGACAAAAAAGCTTGCCCATAATATGATGAACAGCAGAGATTTTCATTTTGCAGTGTTATCATCAAAGAGATCATCCTTTCTATAAAGAAAATTGACAACACAATTCTAGCAGAATTCAGGCCTGCTGGTTCGCTATACTCTCTTGGTGGTCACTCATTTTCCTTATTGCAGGCTACAAAGCCCAGTATGATAGGGGTCCTGTTGATTTCTCCAACTTCAGCCTTCACTAATCTTGCATTAACACCTACATATCTTTCATTTCTGTTTAAGTGACACTTCTTCAACACAGTAGACTAGACTGGGTCTCTCTGGAAAACATTCTTATATAACTTTCCCTTTACAAATATAGCAGTTAATAATCATTATATTCACTTTATGATATACTATGTAACATCTGTTTCACCCAACTGATTGTTTCACAAGGCAAGCCAATGCCTGTATACCACTTTTGCTGGTACTAAGCACTTGACTGACACATAGTCAGTCTTCATAAATGCTTGTTGAAGGAATGAAAAAACAAACCAACTCACACTGACCTTCAAGTCACTTTTATTCTTCTGCAAAGCAGAGAGATCCTGCTGGGTGCCTCTGTCCTGCTGGCCCTCCAGTGCTCTTTCTGCCTGTCCAATCCACCTGCAAAGATCCTCCAGTTTCTGGTGACAGGTATTTTGTTGTTTCTGCAGGGTCTAATTAAAATGCAAAGGGGATCAAGAGATGATTAGTAATTCTCATCTTACAAATACAAGATAACTCCCTGAAATTTAAAAAAGGAAGGTTAGATCTCAAAGACGGAAAGTTGGTGGGAGATGAGAACAGGAAAAGGCACAGAAATCATATTCACAAAGCTCCCCTTATTTGGGCCGTCTGTTGATATGGGTCCAGGGCTAGAATGACAATTAGGGGTAATTTTGGGAGAGAATGCTTTGAGTCCAAGTTTTGGTTTGGAACCTCATTTGCTGTTATTATCTTTGGAAATGGAAAATGGAGAGCCAAATAATTGAGAATGGTGATGATAATAAATTAGTGGTTCTAATTCCTCCAAAAGAACCAGAGGAACCACTGCATACTAAGTCAAAGCAGAACTGGAGTAGGAGAAAAACCAAGAACTTGAATAATTCATAAGCTAATTGAGCTTTTTAATAATTGAGCTGACTTTATAAATCAAATGTCTCCCAAATGCAGAAACCTATTAAGTAGAATGATTATATGCCGGCCATGAGGGCCTTGATTTGGCTATTTGCAGAAGGAAACTGCCAAGAATAGCAACTGGCTCAGTCCTTTAGGTGTCTACACTGACACTAAAGGGAAAAGGCAAGGCCCAAGAGGAGAGCGGGAATATGTTTCTCTGCCTGATCCTTTCTGCAGATCTCATCTCAGCTGCATGACACTGAAGCACCTGACCGAGCAATTGAGCATGATGTGTTCTCCTGACCATCCTTCTTAAACCATTTTCCACCAGATGCTACTTCCTGATAGTGCTTTAGTCACCTGCACTTACAAACAGGTGCCCAAATTGGCCCTCTCTCCCCTCTTTAGGACAAACAGAAGGGCTCTGGAAGAAAACTCCTAAGAGCTCTTCAGCTGTAAAACAGGATCTTCATGGGTTAGGATGGGTGCAGACTGAATCTGAAAAAAGCAAAGCAAACAAGTTAACACAGAGACACACACATGCATTCAGGGCAAATACAGAGAGAAGCAGAGCATTTCTCACAATAACAAGGTTAATAAACATTGTGGAATTAATTATGTGCTCAGAGGGAATGCTCACATGCAGTTCTATCAGTGGCTGCAGCTCAGGGGCATACACTGTATCTGGGTTGGGTCTGAAGATGGCTTAGACCTATGCTACTTCATTAATGACAGCAGATTATACCACTCTAGATAAATACCTAAGAGAGGGCATGACAAATGTTTGGATTTGGAAGGTAACCTAAGTGTTTTCTTAGTATTTTATTTCAATTTCAATATAATCAAAAGAATTAAGCACCAGTGGGGAACATATGGCACTGACTAACTGGATTTGCTTTAAGTATGACTCAAAAGCTCAATTCTACTTTGTACAATATTTAATAAAGGAGCACCTGAAACAATTTTCATGATAAGACAATTCTAATATCATCTTACTGTATTACAACTTATCAAACACCAGAAATGGCATAGAGATCATTCTAGGTATTCTAAGCTTATGATGTCACTATTAATGAAATTAGGTTGAGATTTACAGGAAAAGTGTTGTATGGGAAGTTGGTATGAAGCAGATTTTCTCTTAAACATTTATTTATTTACTTGAGAGGCAGAGTTACAGACAGAGAGAGGGATAGACAGAGTTCTTCCATCTGCTGGTTCACTCTCCAAATGGCTGCAGTGGCTGGAGGTGGGTCAATCCGAAGCCAGGAGCCAGGAGCATCTTCCAGGTCTCCCATATGGCCACAGGGGCCCAAGCATTTGGGCAATCTTCTACTGCTTCCCCAGGCCATCAGCAGGGAGCTAGATTGGAAGTGGAACAGCCAGGACCTGAACCAGCACCCATATGGGATAGCATGGCTGTAGTTTGATGTTCAACCTACTACGCCACAGCACCAGCCCCAAAGTAGATTTTTTTTTTTAATGAAGCACCCCTGCTTCTGTACACTTTGCTACAATTGAGTAAGTAATGGGCACTATAAAGAAAAGTATCAGAAAATAGTAAGAATTTAAGAGGTGCTAGAAAATAACTGATTCTGAAAACAAATTTTGTCAGTTGTTTGAAAAACCCCAGAATAAAAACTGATTTCAGAACCATTCTTCTCAAGAGCTCAGATGTTAGATGCTCTTAATAGTCCTCAAAAGACTACTGAGGGGAGTGGGAGTTTGGCACAGCAGTTAAGACACCACCCATTTCAGAATGCCTGGGTTTGAGCCCTGCCCCTGCTTCTAGCTTCTCGATAGCGTGCACCCTGGGAGGCAGCAGGCGATGACTCAAGCAGTTGGGTCCCTACCACCCATGAGGACCGAGTTCCTGGCTCTTGGTTCAGTCTGCCCTAGCCCAGGCTGTTGCAGGCATTTGAGGAATAAGCCAGGGGATGTCTCTCTCCCTTCCAAATAAATAAAATTAGAAGGGGGAAAAAAGGCGGGGGAATACTGAGAGAGAAAGAGCTAGGTATACAATTGTCATCTGAAAGTCAGAGACAATGAAGGTAGTCTCGCTAGAAAGAAAACCCTTCCACATGCAATCACATATAAACACACACGTTCTTTCACACTCACACAGAGAACCAAAAACACGGCAAGAAAAACAGCCAAAACAGCTGCCTCCTGGCCTAGAGCCATACTGGCCTAAATGACATGAACTTTCAAAACTGGTAAACCCAGGCTCCTGGAATACATGGAATCTGGCCAGAAAATCCAAAGACAGAGGACATCCCAAAAAATAAACTGAGCCCAGCTGCTGGCTCAGTCTGACCTTAACCTGGGCTTCCTGCTCCACTTGTTGAAGGCGGCCCTGCAAGGCGTCCACCTGAGCTGCAGTCTGCTCCACAAGGTCCTGGAAGGACTTCTGCACTTCATTCAGAAGCCTCAGTGTCTGTCGACTCTGCTGAGGGGACAAGTCTTGGGCATGCTTGGAGACAAAAAACTGAATGTCAAAAGCAAGAGCATCCAGTTGGGATTTCCTTTCAGCCATGGGTTGTTTCAAGTCCTAAGATAAGCAGGGAAAGGAAAAAGAGAAGAGATGAAATCTCTGTTTCTATATTCTCATTTTTTAAATTGGCACTGATAGGGCCAAACTAGCCTGCAAGTCTAACTTTTGGTCTCTCCAAACTCCTCATAAATGACAATTACATTTCCTTTATTGGACCTTGATTTCCAAATGCAGTAAACTTTCAATTATTTATATTAACAGAATTACACTATGACTAATTCCAAAATTATCTACGATTTAAAAAAATTTTCTGGAAAGTATAATATGAATTTCTGGTCTAAGATGTATCTGTATAATTGTATTTTCTTAGGTTCAAGTATCTACTTGTATTTGTCCACCAGTGAGTTGCTGGTAGGCCAGTCCTGAGAAAACACATTATTTAGTTGTTAATGCTGCTCATATTTTTTTTAAAGATTTATTTTTATTTGTTTGAAAGAGAGAGAGTTAGAGTTAGAGAGAGAGAGAGAGAGAGAGGTCTTCTAGCCACTGGTTCACTCCCCAAATGACCTTCGATGGCCAGAACTGAGTTGATCTGAAGCCAGGAGTCAGGAGCTTCTGCTGGGTCTCCCATGCGGGTGCAGGGGCCCGAGCATTTGGGCCATCTTCCACTGCCTTTCCAGGTCATAGCAGAGAGCTGGATCAGAAGTGGAGCAGCTGGCACTCGAACCGGCAGCCATATAGGATGCTGGCGCTTCAGGCTGTTGTTTTAACCTGCTGTGCCACAGCGCTGGCCCCGCTCATACATTTTTGATCTGTTAAACATCATGTACACTTCTTGTATATTAGCTATATTGCTCTCTTAAAGTAGTAATATGGTCAAACATTAAAGTCATTTGTCTTCAGATCACCAAAAACACAAAATTTTCACATACACATTTAGTGGTCATTAACTATATTATACTGTCTGTATAAAATAAAATTAGTTAGGATATCCAGATCTCTATCACTCTAAAACTGGGAAGAGTTCTGGGAAATTATTCACAAAACAGTGCTTCCTTCACTTATGACATATGAGTTTGGGAAACTAAAAGGAAAGAAGGAAACAAGACTGTCTTGCTTTTCCCAGAAGAGAACTCATGTTAAGATATGAGGGAAGGGCACCAATGCATGAGTTGCTCTATGTTTTCATATTTCAAATTGTGTCACAGAAATTGCTTTCATACTTGTTTCTTTATATTTTAGGGAACAAATAAAGTCTGCAATTCTCTCTCCCAATGATATAGTTGGATAAGGGATATGAAAGAAGGAGGCAGGCTGCCGGTGCTGTAGTGTAGTAAGCTAAGCCTTCATCTGCGGCATCAACATCCCCTATGGGCAATGTTCAAGTTCAGGCTACTCCTCTTCCAATCCAGCTCTCTGCTTATGGCCTGTGAAAGCAGTAGGTGGTCCAAGTGCTTGGGCCCCTGCAACCAAGTGGGAGACTCCTGACTCCTGGCTTCTGGCTTTGGATTGGCCCAGCTCTGGCCATTGCAGCCATCTGGGGAGTGAACCAGTGATGGAAAACCTTTCTCTGTCTCTCCTTCCCTCTATCTCTAACTACCTTTCAAATAAAAAATAAAAATCTTTTTTTTTAAAAAAGGAGGAAGGTCAATTCTTGAAAGATAAAGAAAGATGAGTTTGCATGTAAGGTTGATGATCATGTGCAAATCTTTATGCCTGCTTCTCTTAAGATTAGGGAAAGGGGGGGGCTGGCGCCGTGGTGCAGTAGGTTAATTCTCCGCCTGTGGCGAGGGCATCTCATATGAGCGCTGGTTCTAGCCCTGGTTGCCTCTCTTCCAATCCAGCTCTCTGCTATGGCCTGGGAAAGCAGTAGAAGATGGCCCAAGTCCTTGGACCCCTGCACCCACATGGGAGACCAGGAAGAAGCACCTGGCTCCTGGCTTCGGATCAGCACAGCTCTGGCCATTGCAGTCATCTGGGGAGTGAACCAACAGAAGGAAGACATTTCTCTCGGTCTCTCCCTCTCAAAAAAAAAAAAAAAAAGACTGGGGAAAGGGAATAGGTAGAATGGGGGGGGGCATCTGTCGTTCTGCTCTGACTTTCTGAAGAGTGTAAAGAGATGGCTGATAAAGCAGTGTGAATAATAACGGACATAATTTTAAGTATAACAACAAATAAGAATAATGCTGGGTGGAAAAACTCTCATATACAGAGTCTTAACTTTTGCATTAATTAATTAATTTGGAGCATAATAGGAAGAAAAGGGGCCGGCACTGTGGCATAGTGAGTCAAATTGCTGTCTGCAGCGCCGGCATCTCATGGGAGTGTCAGTTCAAGTCCTGGTTGCTCCACTTCAGATCCAGCTATCTGCTAATCAGTGTGGGAAAGCAGTGAAAGACAACCCAAGTGCACGGGCCCCTGCACCCAGTGGGAGACTTGGAAGAAGCTCCTGGCTCCTGGCTTTGGTTCGGCCCAACTTTGGCTGTTGCGGACATTTGGAGAGTGAACTAGTGGATAGAATACCTCTCTCTCTCTCTCTCTCTCTCTCTCTCTCTCTGTATCTCTGACTTTCAAATAAATAAAAATAAATCTTTAAAAAAACTGGATAAAAAAAGAAAAAGAAGAAAAGCATCTCTCTAGATCAGAGTCAGCAAACTATGGATCCCTCGCCAAATGTGGCCTGCCACCTGCTTTTATGATGAAAGTTTTATTGGAACACATCACAAACATCTGTTTATGCACTATCTACATTTTAATGTTTCAAAGCGAGAGTTGAGTAATTTCAACAGAAATGGACCATTTGTGTATGGCCCTCCAAGCCTAAAATACTAATTATCTGGCTCTTTTCATAAAAGATTTGTCAATCCGTGCTCTAGATCACCAACAAAAAATTTTCCTGAAGTTGTAGGGAGCTGGGTATAGAATCAGATCTTGAGCAAAAGAAAAACTATGGAGGCTGGCGCTGTGCATAGTGGGTACACCTGCTACCTGCAGCACAGGCGTCCCATAAGGGCACCCGTTTGTGTCTTGGCTGCTCTACTTCTGATCTAGCTCCTGGTTAATGGCCTGGGAAAGCAGTGGAGGACAGCCCAAGTGCTTGGGCCCCACACCCATGTGAGAAATCCAGAAGAAGCTCCTGGCTCCTGGCTTTGGATCGGCCCAGCTCTGGCCGTTGCAGGCCTTTGGGGAGTGAACTAGCAGACAGAAAATCTCTCTTTCTCTCTCTCTAACATTGCCTTTCAAATAAACAAATAAATCTTTTTTTTTTTTTTTAAAGAAAGTAATAGAGAAATTAGGGATGCTTGGACTCTCTGTGCATCACAGAACACCAGAAAGGAGAAATAATCACAATCACTGAAGTTCCAGGGTGTGATAACTCAAAAAACTAAACATAGCTGACTCTACACCTGAAGTGGAAAGCCAGGATCTTCTAAGTACAGTACAGATACTGGTTTGCCATGCAGAAAATAAAACTGATGCAAATCAAAAGACAAAAGCAAAGCTTGCTTGAGAAATCAAAGCAAGCTTGAGAATAGGTGGAGAATTTACCTCAAACTGCTGGAGGGAGTGATTCAGGCTATCAGGATCTGTCTTATTGCTGCAGCCCTTGCTGCTCAGAGTGAGACTGGTGCTGCCAACCCAGGCTCTCAGGTCCTGGAGCTTGTCTTCTAGCTGTGCATGCTGACTTAACACTGCAGTCTAAGAAAAACGGCAAGTCACATTATAAGAATTTCCAAACCTGCCAAGACTTTTGTGAGCCTTTAGTAATAAAAGCAAGACACTACCTTTTTAACTTCCATAGCATTTTGGAGGTGGAGTAGTCTGGAACTCCAAGTGTCACTCACGGAGCTGAGTGACTTTTGAAGATTCTTGGCATCTTTCTCTAGAGCCTTCAACAGTTGAGCAGGGACTTCTTGAGGCTGACTGATGATGATCTGATTCACGCACTCCAATTCCTGACTCACCAAGGTGGACAGATCCTTTAGCTCCCTGTCTAATACCTGAGGAGACACAGTGCGGTTACCTCTAAAATGAAGACTAGAAATCATGCTGTCTGGGTATCAGCTGTGAACACATGTCTTTCTCACTCATGCCTACGTGGGCTTTAGGGCTCAGAAAATGTTTTCATATAAATTCATCAGTTTATATGATTCTTGTGATCAATAATTCATAAATTGGCTGGATAGGCATTACTATTTTAGATTTAAAGATGTGTCAGTACAGGGCCAGAGCTGTGGTGTAGCAGGTAAAGCTGCCGCTTGCAGTGCTGGCATCCCATATAGGCGCTGGTTTGAGTCTTTGCTGTTCCACTTCTGAACTAGCTCACTGCTATGGACTGGGAAAGTGGTAGAGGATGGTCCAAGTCCTTAGGCCCCTGTGCCCACGTGGGAAAACCAGAGGAAGCTCCTGGCTCCAGGATTTGGGCTGGCATGGTCCTGACCGCTATGGCCATCTGGGGAATGGACCAACGAATGGAAGACCTCTCTCTCTCCCTCTCTCCCTCCCTCTACATCTCTGTGATTTTGCCTTTCAAATGAATAAATAAATTTTAAAAAAAAGTGTCAGTACTTAAAAATGTGAACTTTTTGTCACCCAGCTGGCAAACAGCAGAGTTGGGAGGTGGATTCAGGTTTGCTGACTCAGTGCAGTGCTTCCTCCGCTACACTTGCTGACTCTCCAAGAGTGTCATTATGATTTTCTCCAAGGAGCTGTTACGCAGAATTAATGCACTGAAAGCTAAGTCAATAAAAAGGAGAACTCTTCCACTCCAAATTCCAAGGGGGCAGGAGCAAAGACCATAAAAATATTCCAAACCAGCCTTTCCACTCAGCTAGTCTATAATATTCTGATCTTCAACACAGATACCACAAATTAACTGTAGAAAAGCTTAATAGTTTTTTGAGGCTTCATCCTCGTTTCTCATTTAGCCAGCCTGCCTAAGGCTGGTTGTTGAGAGAACTGGCAAACCTCTACAGTCTGCATCCTCATTTATATGAGAAGCACAGAGATGGCACAAAAGAGACAGAGACAGAGACATCCTCCCAAACGCCTCAGTGGCTGAGGCTGGGCTGGACTGAAGCTTCCTGCATTTTTAAATTGTTATTTTATATTTTTAAACAATATTTATTTACTTGAGAGAGTTATAGACAGAGAGGAAGAGACAGACAGACAGACATACACACACACAGAGAGAGAGAGAGAGAGAGAGAGAAAGAGAGAGATCTTCCATCTTTTATCCACTGATTCACTCTGGCCAGGGCTGGTCTAGGCGGAAGCCAGGAGACCGAAATTCTACCTGGGTCTCCCATGTGGGTACAGGGGCCAAAGTAGTTGGGCCATCTTCCACTGCTTTCTCAGGTGCATTAGCAGGGAGCTGGATGGGAAGTGGAGCAGCTGGGACTAGAACCAGTGCTCATGTGGGATGCTTGTAATTGCAGGCAGCAGCTTTACCTACTGTGCCACAATGCTGGCTCCCATTTTTCTAACCTGCTTTCTAAAAACTACATTTTCCTGATGTCTTAATGGAGTTTTGGGAAATAATAGAGATTTTACATACATACATACATATATATAATTTACTGTTTTAAGCCCTCAATATTTCTTGCTTGAATTAACTGCAACACTTCCCTAACAAACCACTATGTTTGGTCAATGATCAAATTTGATCGGGGCCAGTGCTGTGGCACAGAGGGTTAACGCCCTGGCCTGAAGCGCCAGCATCTGATACGGACGCCGGTTCGAGACCTGGCTGCTCCACTTTGATCCAGCTCTCTGCTATGGCCTAGGAAAGCAGTGGAAGATGGTCCAAGTTCTTGGGCCCCTGCACCCGCACGAGAGACCCGGAGGAAGCTCCTGGATCTTGGCTCCTGGCTTCAGACTGGCGCAGCTTGAGCAGTTGCTGCCAATTGAGGAGTGAACCAGCAGATGGAAGACCTCCCTCTCCCTCTCTCTCTCTCTGCCTCTCCTCTTCTGTGTAACTCTGACTTTCAAATAAATCAATAAATCTTAAAAAAAAAAAAGTGATCAATCCCAGATCACATGAATAAAAAAGGTGGTAATCAGATTCATAGCCAAGTCTGTCCAGTCTGTTCAAGTCTAGCCCTTACAAATCTTGTATGGTTCTCCAAACCTAGCCCATGCCACAGTCTGACAAGGGTCTGAGAGTGTTTACCCAGGAATAATCAAGTGACAAGTAGATCCTTTTAAGTCTTGAAATTTTCAAGAAAGATGGAAGCAACTATTCCAAAGTGTAGGCCTGCTGAAAGTCTCCGGGAACCTACCTCAGCCTGACACAGCAGATCCTGCAGTTTTGCCAGGTCTAGTTCCAAAGGCTGAATCTGTCTGGTCCTCATCTCAATGTTCCGTAACAGAGAAAGATAGGATACCAGCATCTCATCATGTTCTAAACAGAGTCGTCGATTAAATACATTCTGGGGAGCCAAAAAGGAAACTCACTCAGTTCTGGTATTCTCCTTTAAGGTCAACTTTTAAAATCAAGCAGAGTTTCTTTATAGACACACAGAAATAAGCAATTTTCACTAAAATCTATGAGATAAAAATACATTATTTCTTCTATTTCAAACCAATAGGCAAAACTGATTTTCTTAATTTTCTCAGAGCAGAAGCCTATCATTTTCTTTTCTTTTTTTTTTCATTTTTTTATTTTATTTATTTATTTTTATTTAATAAATATGAATTTACAAAGTGCAACTTTTGTATTGTGGCTCCCCCCACCAACCTCCCTCCCTCCCGCGGCCCTCCCCTTTTCCACTCCCTCTCCCATCCCGCCCTTCATCGAGTTTCATTTTCAATTACCTTCATATACAGAAGATCAACTTAGTATACACTAAGCGAGGATTTCAACAGGCTGCCCTCACACAACCGCACAAGGTATAGGGCATTGTTCGACTAGTAGTGTTGTTTTTAAGTTTCATAGTAAAACACATTAAGGACAGAGATCCTACATGGGGAGCCTGTACCCAGTGACTCCCGTTGTTGATTTAACAATTGGCACTCTTATTTATGACATCAGCAATCACCCGAGACTCTTGCTATGAGCTGTCTAGGCTATGGAAGCCCCTTGAGTTCACCAACTCTGAACTTGTTTAGTCAAGGCCACATCACAGTGGAGGTTCCTTCCTCCCTTCAGAGAAAGGCGCCTCCGTCCTTGATGGCCTGTTCCTTCTGCTGGGGTCTTGTTCACCAGGATCTTTCATTTAGATTGCTTTTTGCCAGCGTGTCATGAGAAGCCTATCATTTTTAATATACAAGTATCATTTTAGCAAAATGTTAAAGGCTATTCTAATTTCAGTAGTATCATCTCAGTATTTCAAATTAGCTCCAATGTTAGTTTCTAATTTAAAATGCTCGCACATTTCAGAAGGATGTTTACAGCTGCTGGCTGATTTTCCAAAAACCGTATTACAAGCAGATGATGAATTTTGTCTTGGAGAAGCACCTACTGGCCTACAATGTAAATATGCATATTGTTATATGTATGTAGACTCTATCCAGTTAAGAATTTTAGAATTAGCCTAGTTCTATCTAACAAATAAAATAAAAATGCAAACATACTCGGAAACTTACTTGAGTCGCTCGGAAGGGCTCGAGATTTGCACCTTCATTTCCTTTTCCTAGAGGTGCAGTCGTGAAGGAAGTCTGTTCAATAACAGGGCTCTGTCTGAGCTTTTCCTGTGGTGTCTTCTCATCCATCTTCTTCACAGAATATGATGCTAGGGTCATTGGCCTCTCTTCACTGGTCTCTGGAGTGGTAGGACTAAACAGGATATCCTGTTGCCTTGTACTTTCTTTTTGAGACACATCTTTGGGTAGTTTCTCTGGAAGAATGGTTACCAAGACAGTGGGACCTCTCTGGGTCACTGTACCTTCAAGAGACTCTGCTTTTGAACCTGTAACTAGAGGGTTTGCCGCTTCTGGAAATTTCTCCCTAGCTATTTCCTGAGTTGTTGCAAGTTCATAATTACCTTTGCAACCCTGATGATAAAGACCTTTTCCATCTAAGTCTAGATAACTACTTTCTTTTGGATTTACTTTATAAACTATAATTTCTTCCAATTCAGAAGGTCTTGTTGAATTGAAAGGAACTTCTTGGTATGACTTTTCTTCATATTCATTAGATGAGAAAATAAGATCTTTAGTTTCCTTAGTTTTAGAAGTAACACAAGAATCTTGATAATAGTTAGGCTGCAGTCCAGTGGTTGCTTGGGAAGTCTTGTCTACTTTGGAAATTTGGGATGTGTCTGTAAATTGGGTTTTTCCAACTGAATCCTGGTAGTGTAATTCTTCAGGTCTTGGGATCACAGAAGAGAACAGTTCTCTAGAGACCCCACTAGTAATTTCTTGAGATAAATTTGCTTCTGGTTTTAAAGTCAAATAGGGGCTTACATTTTTTAATTCCCCTACATTGACCTGTTCAGAGCCGAAGAATGTTAAACTATCTTGATTCTGTACAGAAATATTTTTGGGTATCAGCTGGGAAGAAGAGTTTTCAATTTTGCAAACAACAGAAAATCCCTTCTCTCTAATGGTCTCTTTCCCCTTTTCACTTGCAGTCATTTCCACAGGTTGACTCTTTATAGCAGAATCAGGCTCATCTCCAATGGCAATTTCCTGATTCAACTCTTCTTCAGAAAGAACTGCTGGCTTGCATATTTTTACACTTTCTTCTACAATCATCTTCTTCTCTCTCATACTTCTCACACTTGTATTCACTGGTTGCTCACTCAGCAATTTGCCTGACATTTCAGGATCTGATTCTTGTATACCTGAAAGCATTTCCCTTTGATTTTCCCTTACGTCTTCAGAATCTAGACGTGGAGCAGATGGCTTCAAATGAGTGATAATTTCTATTTGTGTCATTATTTCTTGGTCTTCATTTCTATTTTTTTCCTTGTTATGTCTAGCCCCTTCCTTGAATTTAAAATCACGAACTTTTGAGTGGGGGTGTGTCACTGAAACTTGGCCCAAGGGTTCACGTTTAGGATCACTCAGAGTTATCGTGCTGACAGATTCTCTAGCATCTGGAGGAGTTCTGTGCGGATCTTGATCCTTGTGCTCCAATTCCTTTAATGAAATTTCCCTGCTCATTTTTACCTGCTTTCCATGAGAAACTTTCACTTTAAACTTTTCTGGTGCAGACTCATTTTTTACTTGAAATAATCTCTTGTTTTCTCCTTTATCACAACTCATTTGAGCATTCTCATTACAAGCCACCACTACCTCCTTTCTTGGAAATTCATCCTTTAATTCACATACTTTAGTTCCATCTTGCTTTTCAAACTGAACTCTGTGATCACTGGACTCCAAAGTATCTATTTTGATCATAGTTGCCAGTTCAGGACTGATAAATCTTTTTTCAATGGCTTCCTCTAAAGTCACTCTCTGATCACTAAATATGTCAACAATCCCTCCATTTAACACCTGATGAGATGCAATAATTCTAGCCATGTTTTCATCCACCAGTTTCTGTTCCAAAGCTGATGCCAATGTCAGTCTTTTTCCTGTGGCAGTATCTATGATTCCACCAGTATTTGCCTGAGCTTCCAGAACCTTCAGTGTAGATTCGAAGTCTACCTTTCCAAGCTGAATTGCTTCAGACAAGGTAAGTACTTTGTCACTCACTTCATCTTTGATGTCTGAGAAAGGAATTACTTCTAGATACCTCTGTCCAGATTCAATATCAATCTTACATTTCTTTACTAGTTCTGAGTAGGGAACAATTCTATAACTCTCAGGATCTACAATTCCATGCACCATTCCTGAAGATACTACTGCTTTGTTAGTTAACAACCCTTCTTTTTTAGCTTCTGCCAAGGTCAATCTCTGAGAAGAAATGAGATCCACAAAATTTTCAGTAAAGGCCTGAACTTCTTGGATTTCTCTTTTCAAATCTGGGTTAACAAGACCTAATTCTATGGCTTCAGGTAGAGAAATAGTTTCCTTTGTCTCAGGATGGAAAAATTGATGGACATTTAAGTTCTCAACTTTTTTGAGTTGCTTGGCTAAATCTTCACTGATCAAGCCACGCTGAAAGGCATTATCAACAGAAAGTCTCATTCCAGAGGTGTGGTGAATGATACCTCCATCTACCACTTGCTTAGTCAACAAATGAAGAGCTTCCTCTCTATCTAAGAGGCCTCTGTCCATGGACTCTACAACTGTCAAGGGGGCTTTCCTGTCAGGGTCCATAAGTCCTGTTGTTTCCATCTGGAGGCTAATCAATCTCTCTCTAACTGTTTTTCCAGCATCTCTGCCTTTGACAGCTTTCTCCAGCTTTATAAGCTCTGTCTGGTCAACACTGTCCACCAAGCCAAGATTTGAGGCCAAAGTTACTGAAACTTTTTTCCCTCGTTTCAGGTCAACAATTCCACCAGTCACCACCTGCCCCTCTAAAATTCTGGTGGCTGTTTCCTTGTCAAGAAGTCCGACTGCAACTGCATCCTTTACAGAGCACAGTGTGTGGGTACGGGGGTCTAAGACGCCACTGACGGCTTTGTCTGCCATGAGGACTTTATGCAATAATTTCTCATCCATCAGCCCTTCATCAATGACTTCTTCAGTTGTCAGAGACTCAAAGGTCTGAGAGTCAAAGAAACCCCGGAACATGTTCAGCTTTCCCATAAGCTTCACTGCCGTGTGGCTGGGCATGATGCCTTGAGCTACTGCTTCATTTAGTAAGAGCTTTTCACCGGTCTGTTCATGAAATATACCACCTTTTTTGAGCTGTGCAGATAATAAATTTAAGGTAGCTTCTTCAGGCAATTCTGAGGGATGACTGCATGACTGGGAAGTTTCAATCCCATCATCTTCCTCATTGGTCTTTTCTAACACCTTGATACAAGTATCTGAAATGTTTGCTTCTTCTTGGCTTTGTTTATGGTCATCCCTAGACAAAGATGTTTTATTTAACACTTTCTGTTTGTCTGGACAATGAATATTCATATCTTTTTCAGACTTTGGTTCTGATTTTAAGCCTAGCGTTTTCTCTACCTGAAATTGTGACTTTTTGCTTTGGGGTTTTATGAGTGGTTCTCCAGTTTCATCTGGAATACATTTAATCTCAAGAGGGTTTGCTAGTTCTTTCTGACAAGTAAATGAAATCTTTCTGAGAGCCTGCCATTCTTCCTTTGGTGTTTCAATAGACAGAAGGTCTTCGTCAACCACCGAGGGTACGCTTTCTGTCTCCTCAGGAGGTACCGTCAGGAGTCCTTTGCTGACAATATCTCTGGTAGACATTTCTGTGTGGCTTTGTTTTTTGACACCTATCAACTGTTTTTGCAACTCTGACTTGACTTGACTTAGGACCTCCAAAGTGCCAACAGCTGGATTTCTCACTCTTTCTTCCCCTACAAACAGATCCTTTTCAGGGTTCTCTACAGAAGGACATGCTATTTCTCCAGCAGCCTTTTTGCCTTTTACTTCAGTGTGAGCTTTCTGATCAGAGTATTCTTCATTCTGAGACGAAAACTGGAATTCATCATGTCTCACAGTCAACCCATCACTGAAAGTTTCTGTGATTTTCACATTAGCTGATTCTTGGAATTCCTCAGGAGTTCTTAGTCCTTGAGGCCCAGTCCCAGACACTGCTGGAGCACTTGTTTGAGCTTCATCTCGGGATGCTAATGTCTGCATCAGCTCTTTATCTAACAGCAGCAGCCTCTGTCCATTCCGCACGTTAATGTAGCTGTGAGTCATCAGCTGAAACAATAGCTTCTCCCTCTGGTTTGCTACACCCTCAGTTTGGTCCTTGTTGCATGGCAGAGCTGCTGCTCCAGAGTTAATGCTCAAGTTGTTTTGTTCTGAAGAGTCTGCTAATTGCATGTGAGGCATCACATCTGGTATACAAACTGATTTTAAGTTATTGGCAAGATCTTTGTCCAAGATACCGTTTTCTATTGCTTTCTCCCAGGAACAAATCTCTGTGGTTGCTGGTAAAAATAGAGCCTTAATATGTTGCCGATTGCTAAGGATTTGATGTGCTAAATCAGTAGACACAATACCTTGCTCTAGGGCATCTGTAATTGGGAGGATCTCTCCAGATTCAGGCCACAGTAATCCCATAAATGACCACAGGGACTCCAGAATCACAAGAGCAATCTTGGCAGCTACCAGGTCATTGCTCACTGCTTCATCTACTGTCAGCCTCTGTCCAGTGACAGTGTCTATGATGCCTCCTGTCTGAAGCTGCCTTATGAGAATAGCACAGGCCATATCTTGGTCAATCAAATTATGTCTTACAGCCTCATGCACCGTGAGTCTGTGTCCTGTTCTTGGATCTACTATGCCACCAGCAAAAAGCTGAGCTTCTAGTAGTCGGACAGTGACCTGCCTATCTATTAGCCCTTCCTGAACTGCTCGGAAAATGCTGACTTTTCGGCCTGATTTCAAGCTCACCATTCCACCTGCCAATTGCTTGACAGGTAGCAATTTCAACCCTGATTCCTGGTGGACAATACATCTCTGCATCAGATCCAGCAAACCGATTTTCTCAGCTGTATTGGGGTCTATCAAATTCTTGGATGATCTCAGGTGAGACTCTAACACTGAATGAAGCCAGGCAGAAATGAAGCCTTGATGAAAAGCCTCTTCCAGATTAATGCAGTTCTCACCAGGGGATAGACTGAAACCTCCGGCTGCCAGGTAAGCTTCTAAGATTTTGAGTCCAACTTTCTCACTGATTATCCTCTTTTCAATTGCTTCCACCACAGAAAGAGGGCCTTGGCTTTTAGTAAACCTGTGTATTAAGAACAGGGTATCCTGTAGCTCCTGGAGCTGCTGGTACATCTGGGAATTAATGAGGTTTCTGGCTAAGCCCTCCTCCAAAGAGAGCTTTTCACTGGTCTCAGGGGCAATGAGGCCAGACGTGATAACTTGGGATTCCAGGAGGACAAGGCCTGTGTCTTGGTCAATGAGGCCTTTTTGCATGGCTCTGAAGATGGGAAATATCTCCACTGTGCCTAGGTCAATCACCCCAGCAACTGCTCTGCAACCCTAAAAAAAAATGAAAAAGAAAACTGAATCAGAGCCAATGGCAGAGCACAGCTGTTGAAAGAAGTAACATATACAATTCTGAACACAAGAAAAACCTATTCTAAATAAACCTCAACATGTCGGAAATATTCTGAAGCAAGCCTGGCAGTGTTAATGTTAAAAAAGAACGTTTCTAAACTGCAGGATGTTTAACAAGGCTAGAAGTTCACAGGTTACTTGAGGAATGGTAGCATTAAGCATATCTAAATAACAAGCTCTATAAAGTGGCAGCAGTGAAAGTGAGAGGACAGCTATTTCTAAGACTAAACCATCAAAAACTGATGAATACCCTTTCCCAAAGACTGAGAATTCAATCCCACATGACAACTTCTTGGTGTTACAACCCATGCAGAACACTGTGGAAATAGCACTTTCCTGTTGATGCACAGGACTGGTCCATAGGATGAGAGGAGAGATTTAAGCAGCCCAGCACTCACAGAACAGTTGTGCATGCCTGTAAGTGGGCCTGTGAACACTACTCAAGCAACTGTCCAACAGTTGGGACAGCCACACTCGTGGAAGCCAATGTTAGCTTCTCCCAAGGCAATAGCCTCAAGTAAATTTGTTCTAGGACTAGGAAGTAGCAAGTCAAGGAAGGGACAGAGCAGGGACCCTTGCCTCTGGAACCACCAGTAACTTTTCTTCTGGTCAAGGCTGGAACAGGCAGTACAATATGATGACAGCTACCACCCATTATGAAATTTATTGAGCAATGATATTTAAGCTTCACAATCCTATGAAAAGAAGTGTTTTAATCTTTAATTTGCAGAAAGAAAATGAGGCATGGAGAGGTTAGGTAACTTGTCCCACATCACAAAACTAGTGAGTTTCCAGAAGCAATCTAAGGTCTGCCTCAAAATCTTGTGCTATTATACTGCCTCTCCAGCAGTTCCAGAGGAGCACAGAGAACAAGAAAAGGAGTCTTATTTGACACAGGAGTTAGGTCCTACAGTCAGTGAATAAGGCAAACCTTACACACTGTCAAAGTTACCCTTGCAAATCCCAGAAACAACCCCAACAGAATTCCCATTTTAAAACCTTTTATGACAAAGTGATAGAATACAGATTTTAAATCACCAAGTGTATAACCACTTGATACATTTCATCACTTTTATTATTAACTTTTCAACTCTTCTTGTTTGCATTTATTATCTCCATTTGATACAGATGATTCTATTTACCCCTCTTTGGTCAGCGTTACTTTCTTGTCCTTATTTAACTCTAATTTATCTGTCGAGAATCTTGTTAAGTCAATGCCAATCACTTCCTGTCTCTTAAATGCATTTCATTCTATCTCAGTGAGGAAGAAGAGAGCCCCCTAACAGCAGAGACTTTGCCCATTCAGGTCTAGGAACAGTGCCTGCAGTTCAATAGATATCTGATGAACAAAGGAATAAATGGGGGGCCGGTGCTGTGGTGTAGAGGGTAAAGCTGCTGCCTGCAGTGCTGGCATCCCATATGGGCATTGGTTCAAATCCTGGCTGCTCCACTTCTGATTCAGCTCCTTGCTATCACCTGGGAAAGCAGTAGAAGATGGCCCAAGTCCTTGGGCCCCTGCCCCCACATGGGAGACCCGGAAGAAGCTCCTGGCTCCTGGCTTCAGATCGGTGTAGCTCCCACCGTTGCAGTGAACTGGGGAGTTAACCAGCGGATGGAAGACCTCTCTCCTCTCTGCCTCTCCTTCTCTCTCTGTGTGTAACTCTTTCAAATAAATAAATAAATCTTAAAAAGGAATAAATGGGTATGTAGAAAGAAAACCCTTCAAGTCATTAAGCCATTTCCTTTGGATTTTAAAAACATGCACTGAGGATTCCATGCTTGATAGGTTTTAAAGGAGAATGTAGAATGGTCAGCAAATGAAGGAATGGCACGATTGACTCTGACCTCTATTCCAGTGTATGAGGCTACTTCAAAAAGGTCACAGAACAATGGAATTAAAAGATGTTTATTTTGGTGCAAGATATTTTGAAATTCCTGCATACATGGAATCATCAAATGGCTGCAAAAGAAGGGCTGGGCCAGGAGCCAGGAATTCCTTCCTGGTCTCCCACATGGGTGGCAGGGGATCAATAACTCAGGCCATCCTCATCCTCCATCCTCCAATGTCTTCTCAGGTACATTAGCAGGAAGCTGGATGGGAAGCAGAGCAGCTGGGACTCAAGACTGGTTCTCTTGATATGAACCCTGGCATTGCAAGAGGTGGCTTAACCTGCTGTGCCATAACACTGGGCCACAAACTTCTTGATATGCCCTTATATAATGTTTAATTAGTGGAATAATCAACTGAGTTTGCCCACTATTTTATAATGTTGTTTGCTATTCTGCTTTCTTCGTTTTCTGACACAAAATGTAGAGTTCAATTTATGTGTATATTATGCAAATTTACTGTGTCTATTTTACAGAAGTTGAAACAAAAAGCTCACCAGCATCAGGCTCTTTGAGATACCTGAAAAATTCCTTTTAGAAAATCCATAGAAGGACTACTCAGAAACAGACAATATGACAAAGCAAAAGATTCTCCTGTGAGATTCCTGAGTCTCAGAAAAGCTGACATGGAAGAAATTTAGCCAAAGAGAAAAGATTACACTGTTCCTTCCAACACCCGCACAATGTGAGGACAGGCAGGAAGCACTGAGCTGGGAAGTAATCCAGAAAAATCCATTTCAGTCCTACCAAACATGGACATTCTGACCTAACCACGCATTAAAAGACAGGGAGAGGAGGAAAGAGAACATAAACGGCTTCTACTTACCAGAGTTGCAGGGCGTGCACGCCTTGGGCAGACAAGAGAGAGAGCCTTACGGAGCAGCTCAGCCGTGTCACACATACAGTGTAAGCTTGGTGTTAGCGTCCAGCATGCGACTGTTTTTTGGTTTTTATTTATTTATTTTTTTTTCAAAAAAGAACCCCAAACAGGTCGTCCTCTTTTCCCTTTGTGCATTTGTGCTTAAACTCCAAAGGGTTAGTGAAACTTAGAAGCAAGGATGTCAGTTAATCAGAACACTATTCACACGAAACACGCACAGTACAGGGACACATCATGCTCAATGCAGTGGTGCTCAGCAGCTTGCCTTTCTTTCCTTTTTTCTCCCCCATCTCGTTCCTGCCCCACTTTTTAACTTTCAAAATGAGAACTGGTTGTTCTCTGCAAGCAATTGTTAAAACTTTTCACATACTCCCTTATATGGTGAAGCAACAAGCCATTAGATGTGGGCTACCTTACACAGAGAATGCAACACCAGCACATTCTTTTTGGAAATACACCATCAAATCATAGCTGGTCCTGTCTTGTGCTCTTTGTAAATGTAGCTCCTGTTGCATACATCTAATATCCAAGGATCAGAATCAAGGCACATTATATCTGAAGATTACTTTAAGTATTAACTGGACCAAATTTGATTACCACATGAGCTGAAATTTTGACCTGCCCGACATAAGTTGGCCATTGCTTCACAACATAGGAAATAAGCAGGCAAACACACATATACACCCCAGAGACACATGTATATAATATGGTGAGTGTACACATACACATAAGGATCCAGAAAGGACTCAGGACAACCAGCAGGAGCTATAATGACGTCCACATGGTCTGGGAAATGAACATGGAGTAGGAACTGGTAAGGATGCCACATGATGGGATGGGATGGGTGAGGGAACCAGCGTCTCAGTCAGTGAAGCTAATCTAACAGTTTGCTTTGAAACTGAACATTTCCCCTTGTTTGCTATATGGAGGAAAGAGGTCTATAGCTTTTTCTTCTCCGTACCCAGATATCTTGGCTACCAGGTTTTGGGGGCAAGGCCATAAAGAAGTAATCTTTTCCCCTGTGACCATATATTATATAGAATATATGTGCTCCCTGACTTGTCTGCCACAAAATGGCAGACAACAATAAAGGTGGAATAGGTCTAAAAGCTGAGCCATGAGTGCCTTCTAGTGTGTTTGACTGACCAACACATCGTGGAACCCCAGTAAAGAAACGCAAGACAAATGGCTGCTAAGGTGAGGTTAAGAATTAAATTACACTGGTCATGGGTAGCTAGTGATCATGACTCTCAATCAGCAAAGCTGCTTTCATACATTACAGATACCCTCCCAGTATTTAGCATTTAAAACTAAAAGTACCTTTTGCTCAGTCTGCTGAGCCAATTGGCTCTGAAGTTGCTGAAGCTGGTTTGCAGAACCGTCACAAAGGTCATGGTAAGCCTTATTCAGGCCACTCAGTTGCTCAGATATCTGTTCCTTCTCTTTTTCTGAGAGCCTGGAAAATGAAGCAGCACAGGGGAAAAAAAATCTCAAAAATTTCCTCTAACGCTTCAGAACTGTTACTTCTTTGACATGGATGGATTATGTGGTCATTCTTCCATATCCACTGACAACTCTGGCATCTTGGTCACTGTTTTTCTATCTCACATAAAGTACTACTCTTGGTGATGAAAATGCTATGTCACCTCTCTGGTGACGGAGATCGATCCGAATGACCTCCTCTCCACTTTAGTCACACCCTTTCATAGCAAACTTAGACCCTGCCATCATCAGAAGTAACTACACTTCTGAAATAATAAACTTAAGAATCTACTACATGATTACAGCCCTACCTTTGTTTCATATTTCTTTACCTCTTTTATACTTATTCTCTTTTAAAATAGAAATATTTTAAATAACAGAAGAACATAAGAGAACTCTCACTTATCCATTACCCATCTATCCAACTTTACAAAATTTTACTCTTTTGCCATATTTGCTTTAGACTCTAAGAAAGAAGACATTACTGAAATAATTAAGCCTGCTGTGTATTGGTCACCAAGACCATTCCTTTTCCTTTCTTGCCAGAGGAAACCACCTCTTGAATATGGTGTATCTTACAACTTGCTTTTATCATTCTATACTACTTTTTTAAAGATTGATTTTACCCGAAAGGCAGAGTTATAGAGACAGGGAGGGGGAGGGAGAGAGAGAGAGAGAGAGAGAGAGAGAGAGATCTTCCACCTGCTGGTTCACTCTCCAAATAGCCCCAATGGCTGGAGCTTGGCCAGGCCACAGCCAGGAACTTCATCTGCGTCTCCCACATGGGTGGCAGGGGCACAAGTACTTGAGCTATCTTCCATAGGGAGATGGACCAGAAGTGGAGCAGCTGGGACTAGAACTGGTACCCATATGAGATGCCAGTGTCACAGGTACCAGCTTAACCCACTACACCAAACACCAGCCCCTTACATTTCTTTTTTTCTTCTTCTTTTTTTTTTTTTTTTTTTTTTTTAATTTAGTTGAAAGGGAACAGAGCAACGGGGGGTGGGTGGGAGAGAGACAGCTATTCAATCTGCCAATTCACTCCCCCCAATGGCTATAATGACAGGCTGTGCCAGACTGAAGCTAGGAGCCAGGAACTCCATCTGGGTCTTCCTTGTTGGTGACAGGGCCCAAGTACTGGAGTCACCATCTGCTGCTTCCCAGACTCATTAGAAGGAATCTGGATCAGAAGTGGTGCAGCCAGGACTCAAATCAGCACTCTAGTATGGAATACAGGCATTGCAAGCAGTAACTTAACCTGCTGCACCACAATGCCACCCCCACATTGTATTTCCAAGAATGAATTATGCTGACTCATATTAGAACTATCTATCTACTCTGAGATTTCCCAAGGCTTCCTTGACTCCTCTGTTTTCTCTTAATCTTTTAGTCCTCTCTGCTATGTTCAGTTTCTTCCCTTTGGAGTTCAGATCTCCCAGTACATCTTCTTAATCAGCTCTCTACTATTATTCTTGCTCTTTCCAGTCACTGATCTGATAAAGCCTCAGTCTCAGATCAATCACACTGGGCTTCTCTGCTCCCACATCCAGGCCAATAAATACATCCAGCAAGGGGGGAAAGTCCTGCAACCATGCAGAGATCCTACTGGTTTCCAACCTCAACTGAGCCTCATTCCTTCCTGACAATCCTCTGGCAACTTCCCAGTCAAGCCCCTTGCTTTTCCCCTTAGCCTCCCTCTCACTTTCAGGAAATCCCTCTGCCTATTTCAAAGAGAAAATACCGACCACTAGACATTAATTCTCTCATTTTCTGGCTCCCGTCCTGACAAATTTACCTCTTTCCGTACCTTTATTAATTTCCTATCCCTGTTACACCAGAGGAAATGTTGTCCCACCTCCTATTTAAGTTTGTGCTTTCTTTCCACTGGTGAATTTCATCCTCTCACACCCTCTGAAGAATTTCATTATCTTTCCCCTCCCCTTTTTTTTAAAAAAAAGATTTTATTTATTTATTTATTTGAGAAGTAGAGTTACAGTGAGAGGGAGAGCAGAGAGAAAGGTCTTCCATCCTCTGGTTCATTCCCTAAATGGCTGCAACGGCCAGAGCTGCACTGATCTGAAGCCAGGAGCTTCCTCCAGGTCTCCCACGTGGGTGCAAGGGCACAAGGATCTAGGCCCTCGTCTACTACTTTCCCAGGCCATAGCAGAGAGATGGATTGCGAGAGGAGCGGCCAGGACTAGACCCACTGCCCATATGGGATGCCAGCATTGGAGGTGGAGGCTTAATCTACTGAGCCTTAGCACTGGCCCCGGCCAAGCTTCTTAAAAGAGCACTTTAATTTTTCTATCATGAACTTCCTCACCTCTCATATGCTATTCCTCTTACTAAATCTGGCATTATTACCTACTTTCTCACCAGAGACTTCCAACTTGCCAAATTTAATAGACACTTCTCAATTTTTCTTAACTTCAGAGTACTCCCTTCTTTTTGGAACTTCGTTCTCTTGGGTCCTGAGTTATCATTCGAAGTTTCCTTTTCCTTCTCTGAGTTTTCCTTTATAGCAGGCTGAGAAACTCTGAAAACCGCTTTCAAGTTAATCTTGCCTTATGGTTCTGCCATTAATCCTAAGCTTATATATGCACCTGCCCTTTAGACATCTTTAGTAGAACTACATAAGGCAGGCCGGCGCTGCGGCTCACTAAGCTAATCCTCCACTTGTGGCGGCAGCACACCGGGTTCTAGTCCCGGTCGGGGCGCCGGATTCTGTCCCAGTTGCCCCTCTTCCAGGCCAGTTCTCTGTTGTGGCCAGGGAGTGCAGTGGAGGATGGCCCAAGTCCTTGGGCCCTGCACCCGCACAGGAGACCAGGAGAAGCATCTGGCTTCGGATCAGCGCAGTGCACTGGCCGCAACGTGCCGACCGCGGCGGCCATTGGAGGGTGAACCAACGGCAAAGGAAGACCTTTCTCTCTGTCTCTCTCTCTCACTGTCCACTCTGCCTGTTAAAAAAATAAATAAATAAAAAAAGAACTACATAAGGCAAAAAAATTAATGCAGTAAATATTTTCCTTTTTTAAAAAAAGATTTATTTATTTATTTATTTGAAAGTCAGAGTTACACAGAGAGGAGAGGCAGAGAGAGAGAGAGAGAGAGAGAGAGAAAGAGAGGGAGGTCTTCCATCCGATGGTTCACTCCCCAGTTCACTGCAATGGTGGGAGCTACACCGATCTGAAGCCAAGAGCCAGGAGCTTCTTCCGGATCTCCCACGCAGGTGCAGGGGCCCAAGGACTTGGGCCATCTTCTACTGTTTTCTCAGGCCATAGCAGAGAACTGGATCAGAAGTGGAGCAGCTGGGTCTCGAACCAGTGCCCATATGGGATGTCAGCGCTTCAGACCAGGGCATTAACCCGCTGCATCACAGCGCCAGCCCCGCAGTAAATATTTTCTAGATATTTCAGCTCTGATGTCCTACATGTTTTTCACACTCACAGTATCCAAAAACCAAATTCACCCTCTTCTCTCTCAAACTACTCTATCTCCTTTGTTCTCTACCTTAGTGTCATTATCATACAACCAGTGGCTTAAGCCAGAAGCCTGGCCATTCTATCTGTTGATTTTCATTTATTATTAAAACTTAATACCTGGGGCTGGTGCCGTGGCTCACTTGGTTAATCCTGTGCCTGTGGCACTGGCATCCCATATGAGCGCCAGTTCTAGTCCTGGTTGCTCCTCTTCCAGTCCAGCTCTTTGCTGTGGCCCGGGAAGGCAGTGGAGGATGGCCCAAGTGCTTGGGCCCTGCACCCACATGGGAGACCAGGAGGAAGCACCTGGCTCTTGGCTTTGGATTGGCGTAGCTCCGGCCGTAGTGGCCATTTGGGGGGTGAACCAACTGAAGGAAGACCTTTTTCTCTGTCTCTCTCACTGTCTATAACTCTACCTGTCAAACAAATAAATAAATAAATAATTCTATTTGGAAAAAAAAAAAAAAAAACTTAATACCCACCACCCTTGATAGAACTTGAATCTCTGTCTTCTCTTTTCCACCCTGCCTCATTTCTCACCCACTGTCAACCCATCTCTAAATAACTACTGTAGCAGCCCTAAACAAAATGCAGTTATGTTTAAAAACCTTCACCACTGGCCGGCGCCACGGCTCACTTGGCTAATCCTCTGCCTGCAGCACCGGCACCCCAGGTTCTAGTCCCACTTGGGGTACGAGGTTCTAGTTCCGGTTGCTCCTCTTCCAGTCCAGCTCTCTGCTGTGGCCTGGGAGTGCAGTGGAGGATGGCCCAAGTGCTTGGGCCCTGCACCCGCATGGGAGACCAGGAGGAAGCACCTGGTTCCTGGCTTCGGATCATCGCAGCACGCCAGCCATGGCAGCCATTTGGGGGGTAAACCAACGGAACAAGGAAGACTTTGTCTCTCTCTCTCTCTCTCACTGTCTAACTCTGCCTGTCAAGAAAAAAAAAGAAAAAGAAAAAAAAAAACACACAAAACCTTCACCACAGCCTATTAAGATAAATACAAATTCTTCAGTATGAACCAGAAGCTCTTTATAATTTGGCTCTTGTTGTCCTACATTTTTCAGTGTGAATTCTCATCATGACTCTAAGATTTAGCAAGGTAGAGAGGTCCCCAGATGAGCCATAATTTCTCATTTAATATTCACTTATGGGGGCTGGCACTGTGGCATAGCAGGTAAAGCCACTGCCTACAGTGCCAGCATCCCCTGTGGGCACCGGTTTGAGTCACGGCTGCTCCACTTCTGATCCAGCTCTCTGCTGTAGCCTGGGAAAGCCGTAGAAGATGGCCCAAGTCCTTGGGCCCCTATACCTGCATGGGAGACCTGGAAGAAGCTCCTAGCTCCTGGCTTCGGATCAGCACAGTTCCGGCTGTTGCGGCCAACTAGGGAGTGAGCCCTTGGATGGAAGACCTCTCTCTCTCGCTGCTTCTCCTTCTCTGTTTAACTCTGACCTCCAAATAAATAAATAAATCTTAAAAAAAAATACTCACTTATGACCATGTTTGGCCAAGAAGATCTGTGATGTTTTAATGGCCTCAGAGACTTGTTCTCTCTTGGTTGTCAGCTCTTCTGACAGAACCTATGTAGTGGAAATAAAGAGAAAAGGTTCAAAACCCAAGCATTACAGAATCGAAATTATTTAAAATAATTTTGTAAAAATCCCGAAGCTTAGGCCAGACTATTATTACCAATGAGCTACAGCTGATTAAAAAGTTGGCCATATAGACAAGGTAGCTTCTTAAGTTGACATCTATTCAGGTAATAATCAGTCTGAAAAGGCCCATATGTGAACTGTGTTATTCCACCAAATGCATTATCACATATTCTCCTTCCCACCAGAGAGAGCTGGGCCACCTTCTACTCACCTGCTGTTCCAAAATGGCTTTCTCAATGTCTGTTGATTCTTTGGTCTGGGATGAGGTAGCTTTGCCTTGCGTATTCCTTGCTAGGGTAGACACCCAACCCAAAAGTTCTTTAACCTTCTCCACGTGTTCCTGTTTTTCCTCTTCTACCACTTTCTACAATAGGAAATAGAAAATCAGTACCTTGATCAATCTACTAGGAGATATGCATAACTTCAGATTTTGTAAAATCAGAAGTGAGAGTTACCTAAAGCAGCAGGTGGTCAGAAGAACTCTAAGTTACATGTAACTGACCCGGGCTACGGCATTGCTCACAGTAGTCTGTAATACTTAATTTAGTGCCTTTCTAAAAAAGCATCATTTTTACATATGATAGGCATTTAATAATAATTATTATTGAATGATTAAAAGATAATTATTCAGGGCTGGTGCCATGGCTCACTAGGCTAATCCTCTGCCTGCGGTGCTGGCACGCCAGGTTCTAGTCCCAGCTGGGGCACTGTGTACTAGTCCAGGTTGCTCCTCTTCCAGTCTAGCTCTCTGCTGTGGCCCGGGAGGGCAGTGGAGGATGGCCCAAGTGCTTGGGTCCCTGCATCCGCATGGGAGACCAGGAGAAGCACCTGGCTCTTGGCTTTGGATTGGTGCAGTGCCGGCCATGGCAGCCATTAGGAGAGTGAACCAACAGAAGGAAGACCTTTCTCTCTGTCTCTCTCCTACTGTCTGTAACTCTGCCTAGCAAAAAAAAAATTAAAAAAATATGATAATTATTCAAGGGTGGATGCTGTGGCACAGCAAGTCAAGCTGCCACTTGGAATGACTGTATCTCATGCTCGAGTGCATGGTTCAAGTACAAGCTGCTCTACTTTCTGTCCAGCTTCCTGATAATACACATCCTGGGAGGCAGCAGATGATGGCTCAAGTACTCCAATCCCTATCACCCCCATGGGAGATCTGGATGGAATTCCAGACTCCTGGCTTTGGCCTGGCCCAGCTCCGACTTGTGGGCTGGTCTGCTCCTGATGTGAACCAGTGGATGCAAGATCTTTCTTTCCCTGCATTTCAAATAAGTAAAAATAAGTAAAACATTAAAAAAAAATCTCTTTAGGGGTAGGTGTTTAGAGCAACAGTCAAAGCACTGATATGCATCCCATATCAGTGTTTAGGTTTGAGTCCTAGGTCTGCTTCTGATTCAAGATTCTTGCTAATGTATACCCCAGGCAGTAGCACTGATGGCTTATGTAGTTGAGTCCCTGCCACCCATACTGGAGCTCTGGATTAAATTCACGTCCTGGCTTTTGCCTAGTGCAGCCCTGGCTGCATGAGGCATTTAGGGAGTAAACCAGCAGATGGAAGATGTCTCTGCAGTCTGTCTCTCTCTGCCTTTCAAATAAAAATACATAATATAAATATTTAAAAAAGAGATCCACATATAGCATCTTATTCATTTTCGTAATTCTTGGTTTAGAAGTGAAGAGACTGAAGTCTACAAAATTATATGAGCTAATATTTATTGATTATAAAGGAAGCTGTGCTAACTTACATAGGCAAAAGATGGTAAAGTTAACGATTTCAATAGCACTCCTTTTATAAGAGTGATTGAGTATGTGGAAACTTATTTAGCAAAGACACAGAATTTTATAATTACAAAAAGATTAAATGTTCATTACAAAAAATGTAAACAAAAAGTAAGCCTATAATATATGTACTCTTAATTTTATTTCCCCAGAAATTTGTTATTTATGCTTTTAAATGTATTTCTGTGACAATATTGTGTCTTTGTGGCATACACTTTTATGTTACTTTATTTTTTAACATTTATTTATTTGAAAGACAGAGTTACAGAGAGAGGAGAGAGTAAGAGAGATCTTCCATGCACTGGTTCACTTCCTAAATGGCCAAAATGATTGCGCTGGGTCATGTGAGTGCAGGGGCCCAAGGACTTGGGCCATCTTTTGCTGCCTTCCCAGGGGCATTACAAGGAGCTGGATCAGATATAAAGCAGCCTGCACTCGAACTGGTGCCCATGTAGGATGTTGGCTCTATAGGCCATGACTTTAACTTGCTGAATCATAGTGCCAGCCCCACATGATTTTATTTTTGCTGAGATAGTTATACATAGTGCAAATTCTTTTGTACATATAATAAATTATAAGAATATTTCAAGGAGTACATGGAAAATGGAATCACAAGTTCATGTTAGAGCATAAAAATTTTTAAAACCATGCAGTTTTTACCTAATGCATTTATCATAACTTTAAAAAAAAGATTTATTTATTTTATTTGAAAGGCAGAGTTACAGAGAGAGAGAAAGAGATCTTCTATCCACTGGTTCACTTCCCAAATAGCCACAATGGCCAGGGCTGGGCCAGGCAGAGGACAGGAGCTTCTTCTGGGTCTCCCACAAGGGTATAGGGGCCCAAGCATTTGGGTCATTTTCCACTATCTTCCCAGGAGCATTAGCAGGGAGCTAGATTGGAAGAAGAGAAGCCAGAAAACGAACTGGCGCCTATATGGGATGCTGGTGCTGCAGGCAGAGGCTTATGCCATGGTGTCAGCCCCTATCATAAACTTCTTGAGGACCCCCTACAAATATCTTCCTATGTCAATTCACTCAAATCTATTTCATTATTTTTATTATTTATTTAAGATTTACTTTTAATTTATTTGAGAGGTAGAGTCACAGAGAGAAGAGGAGAGAAAGAGAGAGAGAGAGGGAAAGAGTTCGTCCATCTGCTGGTTCACTCCCCAAATGGCCACAACAGCCAGGGCTGTGCTAGGCTGAATCCAGCAGCTAGGAGCTGCCTGTGGATCTCTCACGCGGGTGCAGGAGCCCATGCACTTGTGGAGGATGGCCCAGGTGCTTGGGCCATCTTCTGATGTTTTCCAGGCACATTAGCAGGGAGCTGAATAGGAAGTGAAGCTGAATAGGAAGTGAGTCTCAAGCCATCACCCATTCGGGATGCTAGTGTCACAGGCAGAGAGTTAACCTGCTTTGCCATAATACTGGGTCCTATTTCATTATTTTTAATACTTCCATCGCATTCCATGGGATAGAATTTGGGAGTTTATAGTATTTGACTTAAATTATACTTGGAGCTGGGGGCTGGCTCTGTGACGCAGCGGGTTAAGACCCTGGCCTGCAGTGCCAGCATCACATATGGGCACCGGTTCTGGTCCCAGCTGCTCCTCTTCCAATCCAGCTCTCTGATATGGCCTGGGAAGGCAGTGGAGGATGGCCCAGGTCCTTGGGCCCCTGCACCTGCATGGGACCCGGAAGAAGCTCCTGGCTCCTGGCTTTGGATCAGCGTAGCTCCAGCCGTTGCGGCCATCTGGGGAGTGAACCATCGGATGGAAGATCTCTCTCTGCCTCTCCTCTCTCTGTGTAACTCTGACTTTCAAATAAATAAATAAATCTTTAAAAAAAAATTTACACTTGGAGCCAGTTGTGGTGCAGTGGGTTAAGCTCCTGCCCACAGTGCTGGCATCTCGAACAGGCACTGGTTTGAGTCTCGGCTGCTCTACTTCCAATCTAGCCCCCTGCTAATGTGCCTGGGAAAGCATCAGAAAATGGCCCAAGTACTTGTGCCCCTGCACCCATGTGGGAGACCCAGAAGAAGCTCCTGGTTTCTGGCTTTGACCTGGCCTAGCCTGGTCATCGTACTCATGTGGGGAGGAAGATCGATTGATCTCTCTCTCTCTCTCTCTCTCTGTAATTCTACTTTTCAAATAAATAAATGTTAAAAAAAAAAAAAAAAACACAAATTATACTTTATTGAAGAATTTTGTTAACATCTGTTCCTTTATATATTCTTATATTTCTATAATAAAGACACCTGGAGGAGTCTTGGATATAATATAATCATGTCTCATTAGCTGTGGATTCTGTATTTGTACATTCATCTACTCATTAAAATGTATCTGTAATTTCAAAATCCATACTTCTGACACTTCCTGGTCATTCACAAGTGTACAGAGTGACAAAAACATTTCAGTTGCTCGGTGCCATGTTATCAGTAGAGGGAAGACACTGGGGCACACAGCCTTCTTGTTTCAGCTCTGAGGTGCTGGTTCTAGTCCCAGCTGCTCCTCTTCTAATCCAGCTCTCTTTAATAGACCTTTCAGTCTATTAAGGGCCATGTTTCTTGCAGCTTTGTGGTTTTTGTTGGTAATTTTACTGTTTGAAATGGCCCCAAGGTAGGGATGAAGTGCTGTCTAGTATTTCTAAGCACAGGAAGGCTGTCATGTGTCTTATGGAGAAAAAACATGTATCAGGTAAGTTTTGTTCAGATGTGAGTTACAGTGCTGACGGCCATGAAGGCAAAGTTAGTGGGTTAACAATCCATATTAGATGTCTTTAAACAACAAGATTATAAAACAAGATTTTAAAACAAGATTATCTATCGATCTGTTGACAAAAACACAACCAGAGGCTTGCAGAGGCCTGCAGGCAGCCAACTCTGTATTTCCCTTAGGAAGCCAGGGCTCACTGATGCAGTAACTTTAGAGGACATGACGACCGCTAAATCATTAGAATCAGTGAGGTGCACTCCACATTCTGAGGGATGAGGCACAGGAGTTTTAATTGTACTTTTAAGACAATTTAGGACCTAACTTTCCTTACCTCCTCCTCCTCCAGCCGCCTAAGCGCATCACTGATGTACTTCACGTGCTGAGTTGTTAAGGTCACCAGTGCTGTGTAGCGAGTCCTTAAATCCATGAACTACGGTTCAAAAGGACAAATTAAATGAATTGTCTTCCAGAGAAATACATGTAAATAGTGGAAAATATAAGAAAATTTTCGTGACGTTGTATATTCAACAGAAAGGTGGGCCTGAATCACAGTGCAAGGCCCAAATGAATCTTTCCTTAAGGGAAGATGGCTTATTTCCTTTTCCCTCCCTTTCACCTCTTGTGTGATGGCATCTGAGGAGGAAAGCATACGACGGCGCTTGCCCGGGGATTTCTGCTGTGATTCCACAAAAGCTTTGTATGTCATCAGCTGTAATTCATAGTCCTGGGAAAGGAAGAAATTTCAAAAATTGACTTGGGTTTTATAGCTAACATATACCATGCAACAGAACACAACATTTTGTTGCTATGAAGTGTTCTGGTGATAATTCAGATGAGAGGTTAGCAAACTTTTCCTGTAAAGGACCAAACAGAAAATACCAGGCTATACTATCTCCATCACAACTACTCATTGTTGCTATTGTAAATAAATGCAGCCATAGCGGCGCCGCGGCTCACTAGGCAATCCTCCGCCTAGAGGCGCTGGCACACCAGGTTCTAGTCCCGGTCGGGGCTCCAGATTCTGTCCCGGTTGCCCCTCTTCCAGGCCAGCCCTCTGCTATGGCCAGGGAGTGCAGTGGAGGATGGCCCAAGTGCTTGGGCCCTGCACCCCATGGGGAGACCAGGAAAAGCACCTGGCTCCTGGCTCCTGCCATCGGATCAGCGCGGTGCGCTGGCTGCAGCGCGCCGGCCGCGGCGGCCATTGGAGGGTGAACCAACGGCAAAAGGAAGACCTTTCTCTCTGTCTCTCTCTCACTATCCACTCTGCCTGTCAAAAAAATAAAAAAATAAAAAAAATAAAATAAAATAAATGCAGCCATAGACAATAAGTAAATGAAAGAGTGTGGCTGTGTTACAATAAAACTACTTACGGACATTGCAAATTCATACAATTTTCATGGCACAACATATTATTCCTAATAGTTTTTTTTCTAACCACTTCTCACCGGTCATATAAAAAAGCATGCAGGCTGGATTTAGCCTATGGGTCATAGCTTGCTGAATCCAGAGTTTTTAATGCTATTTTCTAGCAATGCTTTCATCGCATTCATAAGGAAACTGAAGCCCAGAGAGGGGAAGTGAATGTCCCTAATCAGCTCAGTGGGTGAACAACAGATTACAGTAAGATCCCTGACCCAAGCTCTTCACATTTCATCATTCTATTCTGCCCCTTCCTCTGCAACCCTCACAGGACTGTCCTGGTCCAGGCTTTCTTCATCTCTCCCATGGGTGGGTGCAGCAGCTCTTACTTGCTACCAGTGCTTTTCTTTTGACCTCCAATTTATTCTTCATCCCGCCACCAGAATTATTTTTCTGAAACACAGTGATGCCCACATTGTTCCTCTGCATAAAAGCTTCAGTGGCCTTGAGCAGAGCTTCTCAAATATAAACATGCAAATAAATCAACTAGGGATCTGGTTTAAAATGCAAAATTTGACTCAGTAAGTCTGGGTTTCCACATTTCTGACAAGGTCCCAGGTGATGCTGATGCTATTGGTTCAGACAACATTCTGAAGAGCAAGAAAAAAAGATGTAGCCCAAACAGGTGAACAAGGCTTTTCATAAATGGGCCTCAGCACCCCTTTTTCTTTCTTTCTTTTTTTTTTTTAAGATTTATTTATTTTAAAGGCAGAGTTACAGAGAAAGAGATCTTCCATCTGCTGGTTTTCTCCCCAAATGGCTGCAATGGCTCGGGCTGGGCCAGGCCAAAGCCACGAGCCAGGACCTTCTTCTGGTTCTTTCACATAAGCCCAAGAACTTGAGCCATCTTTCACTGCTTTGCATGCATATTAGCAGGGAGCTGGATGGGAAATGAAGCAGCCAGGTCTTGAATCGGTGCCAGTAGGGGATGCCAGAAATGCAGGTGGCAGCTTTACCCGCTATACCACAAAGCCGGCCCCTCCCTGTTCATTTCCTATGGTCACTGCTCCTCATGTATCATACAGTTTTTTAGTCATAATAGAGTTCCTGTATTGTATGACAAAAGCAGTTATTATGCAGTTCCTTTGCCTAGAATGCACTGCTTCTATTGTCCAATTAGAAAACTCTAGGGAAAAGGACAACATGTAATAGTAGTACCAATAAAAGAGTATTAATAATAATGATAATTAAAGTGGGGCCAACACTGTGGCACAGCAGGTTAATGCCCTGGCTTGGAGTGCTGGCATCCCATGTGGGTGCTGGCTCGAGACCTGGCTGCTCCACTTCCGGTCCAGCTCCCTACTGTGGCCTGGGAAAGCGTGGGAGACCCGGAAGAAGCTCCTGGCTCCTGGCTTCGGATTGGCACAGCTCCAGCCGTTGCAGCCAATTGGGGAGTGAATCATCAGATGGAAGACCTCCCTCTCTCTGCCTCTCCTCTCTGTGTAACTCTGACTTTCAAATAAATAAATAAATCTTTAAAAAAATAAATAATAGTGAAAGCAATTGCTACCGTTTATTGAATGCACTCTAAGTTTGTGGAATTGTCTTATGTATACATTATCTCACTTAATCTTTACAACCACTCAAGCAGTTGTTGTTCCTATTTTATAGATAGAGCAACAGAAACCCAGGTTAAGTGCTTGTTCAAAGTCTCAAGCCTGTGGGACAGCATTGTGGCTGTATGTGACACTGGCATCCCACGCAGACACTGGTTTGTGTCATGGCTCCTCCATTTCAGATCCAGCTCCCCTAATAGTCTGGGAAAAAGAAGCAGAGGAAGGCTCAACTGTTTGGACCTCTACCACCCACGTGGGAGTCGCAGAAGAAGTTCCTGGATCCTGGCTTTGGTCTGGCCTGGTGCTGGTCACTGTAGCCATCTGGGAAATGAACCAGATGGAAGATCTCTCTCTCTGTGTCTTATCCTCTCTCTCTGTAATTTGACTTTCAAAATAAATTAATTCTAAGAAAGTCTCAAGCCTGATTTTTTTCTGATAACAAGTTTTCAGTCATGAACTTAAATGTATTCATTCAAAAAACATTTCTTGGGGCCGGCGCTGTGGCGCAGTGGGTTAACGCCCTGGCCTGAAGCGCCAGCATCCCATACGGGTGCTGGTTCTAGTCCCGACTGCTCCTCTTCTAATCCAGCTCTCTGCTATGGCCTGAGAAAGCAGTAGAAGCTGGCTCAAGTCCTTGCATGGGAGACCTGGAAGAATCTCCTGGCTCCTGGCTTCAGATCGGCGCAGCTTTGGCCATTGTGGCCATCTTGGGGAGTGAACCAGTGGATGGAAGACCTCTCTCTCTCTGTCTCTACCTTGCTCTGTATCTCTGTCTTTCAAATAAATAAATATTTTTTTTAAAAAAAGACAACACAAACAGTATTTAAAAAACAAAAAACATTTGTTGATCACCTACTATGTGCCTACCATTGTTTTGAGACACATACAGTGGAAAACAAGAGAGAAAAAACTTTACTCCCTTGGAACTTACATTCTAGTGGATAAATAAATAAATAAATAACCTCAAGTCATTTTTCTTTATTGATGCTTCAGAGAAAAAGAGAAGGGCCAGATCATCCATGATCTTTTTATTTTTTAAAGATTTATTTATCTATTTGAAAGACAGAGAGAGAGAGAGAGAGAGAGACAGAGTTAGTTCTTCCATCTGCTGGTTCACTCCCCAAATGGCTGCAATGGCTGGGGTTGGTCCAGGATGAAGCCAAGAGCCTGGAACTTATTCTGGGTCTTCCACATGAGTGGTAGTGGCACAAGCACTTGGGCCATCTTCTGGTGCTTTCCCATGCACATTAGCAGGAAGCTGGATGGGAAGTGGAGTAGCTGGGACTCGAACTGGGGCTTGCATAGGAGGTGACAGTGTTGCAGGCTTAACCTGCTGTGCTACAATGCTGGCCTCTCCATGGCTTTTTTTAAATCAAATAAGGATTTTGAATTTTATTATGAGGACAATCTGAAGCCACTGGACAGTCTTAAGCAAGGAGTGATATGATTTTGATTTATTCTATTCTATCCATTCTGAAGTACAGATTTCCCCCTATATTTTATTATTTTTAAAATTAGGGTACTACTAACATAATCAGAGGCATGTCACAGAATTGGCAGTTTTTTTTTCCCCTGGTATGCATGAAATTATGGCATAGATTATCATTGATGATGTCTAAGATTCAATGACGGCCAGCACCGCAGCTCAATAGGCTAATCCTCTGCCTTGCGGCGCCGGCACACCGGGTCCTAGTCCCGGTCGGGGCGCCGGATTCTGTCCCGGTTGCCCCTCTTCCAGGCCAGCTCTCTGCTGTGGCCAGGAAGTGCAGTGGAGGATGGCCCAAGTGCTTGGGCCCTGCATCCCATGGGAGACCAGGATAAGTACCTGGCTCCTGCCATCGGATCAGCGCGGTGCACTGGCCGCAGCGCGCCGGCCATTGGAGGGTGAACCAATGGAAAAGGAAGACCTTTCTCTCTGTCTTTCTCTCTCACTGTCCACTCTGCCTGTCCAAAAAAAAAAAAAAAAAAAAAAATTCAATGACATGTCTGAGACTCAGTGACAAGGATAGCCCACCTTCTATGTGGGAAAATAATCTATGGGAGCAGGAACAGAAGCTAGAGACTGGCTCAAGGGTAATGCAATAGTTTAAAGAAGAGTCCTCATCTGGATGTGAACTAGAGAATTTGAGAGGAGGTAGTCATATTTGGGACATATTTGAAGAATCAACCAATAGAGCACTTGATCACAGATTGAACATAAAGATTAAAACAAAAGAGCTAAGAATGAGTCCTGGATTTTTTGCCACGGCAACTGGGAAAAAATGGTGATGCTATCTCCCGAGATAAACCAGACAGGTGAGAGGATATTTGAGAAGGAAACCCTAATATTCTGTTTTTGTTATGGTAAGTTTAAGAGGCCTGTGGTCATACAAGTGGAGACTCCTCAAATCACAGCCAATCTCTGGTACCTCTCTGAGCATCCCTAAACATGGGCCGCTGGACGTGTACATCTGCATTAACTGAAGAATGGGGCCAGCCTCTTGCAGAAGAACTCTGCTTAATTTGTCCTTAAACAGAACAACAGAGGGACAATGCAGATTTTCCTAAGTTGGAGATCATTTATGTTCCTTTTAAGATGTGGTAAAGTTACCTTCACAATAGTTGAGTATTGCTGGGAAAATTTTTGACACTGGTCCAGTTTTGTCTGATTTCTCTCGATTTCTGCAAATAGATCCTAGGAACCAAAAAGCACAACATTATCACAATCATTATCACCACTGAAACAACGGAACATTTAGCATGTTCTGAGGCAGGTACTTCCAATCGCTTCCTGCATTCACATCACTGGGAAGGCTGATCAAAACACAGAATGCTCAGCCCCACCCAAGAGTTTCTGAGACAGTAGGTCTAGGGTTGTACTCAAAAACTCGTGCTGCTACCATGTTCCAGGTGAAGTTGATGCTGTTGGTCCAGGGTCCTGGCTTTAAGAGCTACTCTTCTAAGTATTTATTGTGTTTCACTCAATCGTAACAACAATAGTCTTATAAGGTAGGTTAAATAAATAAAAAACTATATTCATTTTAAGGATGAGGAAGTATTAAGAGGTCAAGTAATTTGTTTGACATCTCATAGCTGGTAGGTTAGTCAGGTAATTAGAATCTAGGTAATAAAACTTTGAACCTCATACTCCTGACTACAATGCTAAAGAAAGAAAAAAAGCAAAACAACAAGAAAAAAGGCTTTAAATAATTTTCTTCTGCTCATAGCTCTCCTTGGGTTTTCAAAACCCTACATTCTAATCCTAGTAAAATAAAATGTAATATCAATAAATAAAATATAAACATTTAATCTATTTATCTAGTGATTTCAATACATAGTCATAGAAATCCAGTATTGAAGAGTTCTTATAGGACTTCTGACCCAAATGTAAAACCAGTATCTCGAGATCATCTGTATGAAACCCTCTAAGAGTGGGATGTCCTGACATTTGGGGGAAGCTTTAATTGCTAGAACATTGTCTATTTGACATTTATGATGAGCGAACTCATCCCCCTGCAACTTCCACCACGCTACTGTAACACCTACCGTCTGCTGGCTGAGCTGCTCCGACAGTACTCTGCTGTCCTCTGCCTGGCCTGGCTTCATCATTTCCTGCTGGGCAGTGGTTTCTTCTATCCACTTGATGAGAGTTCCATGGCAGGCTCGGTAATCTCCCAGAACTTCCTGGATACTTTCTAGTTCAGATTGGCTGTAGAAGCAAAGGGAAACTGCTATCAGAGACCTTAGTATAAATACAAGGAAGTAAATGAGGCAATTCCCTCCTATGCGCATATGTCTAGTTGGGCTTGATTTCAGAGGATACATCTTTATTTATGGGGAATGGCAATGCAAAGCCAACAGAGTCCAATTCATCTACCCAGCATGTGGAATAACAAGTGAGTAGAAAACATCTGTGCCCTAAAGGCCTGGCATCCCCTAATAAGCCCTGTCACCATCTAAGTTGTCAAGGATCACCATAGCTGCCCATAATGTTCCGCTGGCTATACACTTCTGTATCCTGACAACAGGGTAACTTCTAAGAGTACCACAATTATGACTTACGAATTACTAAAATTTTTCTGGGGCAAGAAAGCAGAGAGGAGTGAAAAATAGTAGTCATTTATTGGCACTTCCAATTATATCATTTCTGTTAGTCTAATCAACCTTGGAATTATTATTCAATTAGAATCAATTCAAACATCTAGGAGTTGCTAAACTCCTCTCCTTACATTTTTTCCTACCCAGGTTAGTCTCAGAAAGGGCAATTTTCTCCCTTTCCTATTTATATCTGTCAACAGAAACAGGACCTCAAGTAACAGGGATTAAAAACCACTGAATTACCAAATGAGATAGAAGCAAAATCTGCGAAGCCTCACTACAAAAATGACTCACATCTGGATTCAAAGCTAATGAAACAAGAACTAAAATCTAGGTTCTGTCCTTAAAAAAGATCACTAGGTAACCTTTCAAGTCTATCTTCTAAGAAACCACTGTCATCAGTGTCTTAATTAAATAAGACCTGGGAGACAGGAGAGGCACGGTTAATAAGATCAATGCTACTAATCCAAAAGGAAGCCATTGGTCTGCATTGGGGTGAGTGATTTCAACATTCTGTCACTTATCTTGTCCAGAATTCATACTATTGTAAAATATCTACTACTCCCTATCAATTCCTTTCTTTAAACTTGAATACACAGACACAGCTTTATTATGTTTAAGTCCCCAAACTCTAACTGGAGAACAAGTTGGAACCATCACTCACCGGGTCTCCAGCTGGGCAATGACACGGTGCCAACGCTCCTGCAGCTGGGAGCCTTTCTCCTGGTAGCGCTCCAAATCCAGGTTTCGCTCTGGTGTCAGACGATTCAGCTGCTCTGCCACTACCTTGGCCTTGGAAATTTCCTCATCCAAGACTGAAAACACTGAATTCTTGTCCTTCACATCACTAAGCCAGTGCTATAAAAACATGAACACAGGAACAGATTAAATATTTTCCATGCCAAAAACAGTTCAGACTAAGGTAGGAAACAAGGATATTCTCTAGAGTTGACCCTACGCTGTATTTATGATTCAGAAATTAGGCCCTGAAGTATTTGTGTCAGAAATGCCTCCAAAAGTCATCTAATCAATCCTGATGCATGTAGGGAGGCTGAGGGCAGAGAGTACCACACAGAGAAATGTACAAAGAACTTTACCACTCATAAGCTATGAGAGTAAACAAGTCAATTAACCAGTCTGAGTCTTGATTTTCTCATCCATAAATGGAGATAAAAATCCCTCCCCTATCCATTTCACAGAAAATTGTGAGAATCAAATGAGGTAATAGCTAAGTATGTTACAAACTTACACCTTAACCATTCATTGTATCTAATTAAATTGGGGGGAAGGGAGAAAATAAATCAAAGATAAAGTACTGGTCAGCGCTGCGGCTCAAAAGGCTAATCCTACACCTGCGGCGCCAGCATACCGGGTTCTAGTCCCGGTTGCTCCTCTTCCTGTCCAGTTCTCTGCTGTGGCCCAGGAGTGCAGTGGAGGATGGTCCAAGTGTTTGGGCCCTGCACCCACATAGGAGACCAGGAGAAGCACCTGGTTTCTGGCTTCAGATTAACACGGTGAGCCGGCCACAGCGGCCGTTGTGGGGGTGAACCAATGGAAAAGGAAGACCTTTCTCTCTGTCTCTCTGTCACAAAAATAAATAAATAAATAAATAAAGTCCTTTCTCTTTTTCTTTTTTTAAATTTTTTTGATAAAGTTCTTTCTTTTTCCTTTTTTTTATTTTTTTGACAGGCAGAGTGGACAGTGAGAGAGAGAGACAGAGAGAAAGGTCTTCTTTTTCCGTTGGTTCACCCCCAATGGCCGCTGTGGCCGGCGCAACGCGCTAATCCGAAGCCAGGAACCAGGTGCTTCTCCTGGTCTCCTATGTGGGTGCAGGACCCAAACACTTGGACCATCCTCCACTGCACTCCTGGGTCATAGCAGAGAGCTGGACTGGAAGAGGCGCAACTGGGACAGAATCCGGTGTGCCAGCACCGCAGGCGGAGGATTAGCCTACTGAGCCGCGGCAACGGCCCTTTCTCTTCTTTTTTTAGCTAGGCATATTTCTCAGTTTCTTCTTCTTTGCAAACATATTAAAATATACTAAATGACATTCTCCCTAATTCAAATACAAACTTCAATCAGCTTCATGCCATCCAAAATTGCATTTCTCTGCTAACCCATGGTGGTGTATATGTTATCAGCCTTCTAAGAAACTTGGAGCCACCAACCCGTAATGTAGACCGATGGGACTCCAAAGCTGAGAGATCTGCTGGGACTGCTTCTTCTTGACTCAGCTTGATTTCATAACCTTTGACCAAGAGTTCAGCATCCTGCATGCTACGCATTATAACATCAATTGTCTTCAATCTGTGGGAATAAAAATCAACATCCCTCATGAATACATGGATTTGAAGATCTGGATTACATAGCTACTTGTACTACTGAGAGGGTCACAATATATAACTACCAAAATCAATGTCACCATTATTAGATAAGGGCATGGTTTTCTAAAAACAAGAAAGCATAGTACTATTTCTTTGAGTTTAATCAAGCTCAAAATGAACTTCTAAGTGGTACCAGGACATACACACGTGTGGTAGACTCAATGGAGAAAAGGCCTGGGGCTGGAAACCTACTCAACATCTTGAATAGCCTAAGATGGCCCATTGATGGAGATGGTTGGAGAAGGGAAAGACCTTAAAGAGTTAATAATATCTAGTTCAGCTGGAAACCTTTCTTTCTTTAGTCTATCTTCCTTCCTCTTAATGCCCTTAAGCAATATTTTCACAGGCATCTAATCAAATGGAAATCAGGTTCAAAATAGTTTTAACATGGCAAATTAACTCTCCATTCACTTGATTGGTTCAAATGAGTCTACTTTGTGTTATTAGGAACTAAAGACAAGAGTTACTCATCATGAATACACACTCCTCAAGATCTACAATCTTTCTGGATTATTCATGAAATATTTCAGGCCCTTCTCTTTCTCATTCCAGTGGGAAAATACTGCCCTTTGGACCCAAAACCTCAGCTCACTCACTTATTTAGATAGACAGTAGAGAGACCATAGACATGGTCCATTTTCTCCACCAGTAGATTCAGTTCAGAGCGTAGAGTTGGAACACTTGAACCAGATGGGGACTGATGGAGAAAGCTGTTGCATTTCACAGAAAAAGCATCCAGGTCTGACCTCAGTTGCTGCAGATCCTCTTGTGTGTGCTATCAGGAACAAGACATACAACAAAGATGGGTAGAGAATTTAATGAGGAAGCTAGAAAGAAGTACTTATTTTTAATAGCAAAATACTGGCCAGCGCCCACGGCTTGCTAGGCTAATCCTCCGCCTTGCGGCGCCAGCACACCGGGTTCTATTCCTGGTCGGGGCGCCGGATTCTGTCCCGGTTGCCCCTCTTCCAGGCCAGCTCTCTCCTGTGGCCAGGGAGTGCAGTGGAGGATGGCCCAAGTGCTTGGGCCCTGCACCCCATGGGAGACCAGGATAAGTACCTGGCTCCTGCCATCGGATCAGCACGGTGTGCCGGCCGCAGTGCGCTGGCCGCGGTGGCCATTGGAGGGTGAACCAACGGCAAAGGAAGACCTTTCTCTCTGTCTCTCTCTCTCACTGTCCACTCTGCCTTTCAAAAAAAAAAAAAAAATAGCAAAATACTATAAACTACTTAGGAGGCAAGAATACACACAAATAGCTTCTAAACATAATATGGGGACTATAGATTTTTCTTCAGGCTAAAGACAAAAGGAAATATAAATAATGTCAAACTCCAGTTTAGTAAGTTTATTTAATGCAGTAGTATGAGTTACTAATTTTGCAACTTCTATCTGTAAATACTAGCTGAACAAAATATACTGTGGGTCACAAAGCAGGATTTTTCACTCTTAGGAAGAGAGCTACAAGTTTGGAAAGGGGTAAGAAGCAGCCCAGTGCTACTGCTTTGGAACTAGATGGAGACAGATACACATGAATTCATGGATGTATGCGTTTGTGTACATTATGTGTGTTTGACACAGATCAATAAATACATTTATCTATGTGAAATATACATATGTAAATACACAGATACAGGTATGTATGTACATGTATACATATGTAAACATATAAACACAGTTGAAGTATCCCTTACCAAAATGCTTGAGACCAGAAGTGTTTCAAATGTTAGATTTTAGAATCTTTGCATATGCTTATGAAATTTCTGGGCGACAGGACCCAGGTCCAAACACAAAATTCATTTATATTTCTTTTTTTTTTTTAAAGATTTATTTATTTGAAAGACAGAGTTACGGAGCAAGAGGAAGAGACAGAGAGAGAAATCTTCCATCTGCTGGTTCACTCTCCAAGTGGCCACAATGGCCGGGGTTGGGCCAGACCAAGGCCAGGAGGATCCAAGAGTTTCTTCCAGGTCTCTCACGTGGGTGCTGGGACCCTGGCAGTTGAGCCATCCTCTGCCATTTTCCCAGGTGCATTAGCAGGGAGCTGGATTGGAAGTGGAACACCCAGGACTCCAACCAGCGCCCATATAGGATGCCAGCATCACTGCTGGCCCTTCATTTATGTTTCATATCACCTTATACACATGAACTGAAGTCAACTTTATACAATACTTGAATAATTTTGTGTAAGAAACAAAGTTTATGTATGCAGAACCAGCAGTTTTATGGCTGCATATTGGCAGTCAAAGAGTTTCTGATTTTGGATCAGTTCAGATTTCAGATTTTTGAATTAGGGATGCTCAACTTGTATAAATGCATGCATATATGTAACATGTATGTATGTGTGTATGCAAATATTTGTAAACATGCTTTCTCATATTCTCTGCTGAGCAGGTCTATGGTCAATGACATCTCAAAAACAATCAGCACACAAGCACCCAGATCTTGGGTTCTAAACAACATTCTCCATACGAAAGCAGTAGCACTCCTTGGAGAGATAGCTGATTCCAAGGTTGGGGCAGGCAAAGGCAAGATGAACTTCAAACATCTTGTTTTGTCAAAAAGTTAGGGCTCACAGATGGATGAAGTCATGTTAAAAGGACATAGAAGCCTTGAAAGGGCTCCCATTGGCTAAATTTAGAGCATCAAAATCATAAAAGATCAAAATTTACACACCACTGAATAAAACTAAGAAATTATGAATGTAAACTGACATAAATAAAGGAAGAAGGGAGAGAAGGTGAGGAGGAGAGACAGCAGATTGACTGTTCTCTTTCCAAAGAATGAAATTTGTTTTTAAATGTAGAAGGAATAAAAGAATCAGAAAATCAGGTTTTGGCAACTGTGATACTGATGAGTGATTCAATCAAGAATCAGCAATGGAGGGGTCGACATTGTGGTCTAGTGGGTAAAGCTGCCACCTACGATGCCGGCATCCCATATGGGCACTGGTTTGTGTTCTGGCTGATTCACTTCCAATTCAGCTCCCTGCTACTGGCAAAAGCAGCAGAAGATGGCCCAAGTGTTTGGGCCCCTACACTCACATGGGACACCCAGATGAAGCTCTTGGCTCCTAGCTTCACCTAGTTCTACACTTGCCCTTGTGGCTACTTGGCTACTTTAACCAATAGATAAAAGATATTTCTCTGTCTCTTCTTCTATGTAATTCTGATTTTCAAATAGATTAAAAAAAAATCAACCATTGTTAAAATTAATTGGTGAAAATCTGATGAAAAATAGGATATTTACAAAGTATCAAAATATCTTTCCATAGTATCCTTGGTCATTACAAAGGAGAGAACAGTACCGACTAACCAAAGTTAACATCAGTAGCAAAAGGATATTTCAGCATTGCACATCTTCTAATAGGAAACACCAAAATACATTGTCACACCTGTGGCATTCCTACCAAAAACAAATAACCTAAATCGAATCATGAGGAAGCCTCATATAAATACAAAGAGAGGGACAAAATGCTCTACAAAATAAATGGTCTGCATTCTTCAAAAATCTTAAGTTCAGGAAAGATGAAGAAAAGCTGAGAAATTATTTCAAGTTAAAGAAATCTAAAGAGATACAGTAACTAAATGCAATGTGTGATCCTGGACCAAAAACATTCCTTTTTTTTTTTTTTTCAGGGAGAAACAAAGGAGTATATGTGGCATTATTAGGTCAACTGATGAAATTTTAATGAAGTCTGAATTTGTATAACAGTATTACATCAATTTTAATTTTAACTGATCTATAGTTATGTGAGACTGTGTTTTTGGAAATAAATATACACTTAAGTATTTAGGGGTAAAAGAACACCATGTCTGGAACTAAAAAAAAAAAAGAGTACTATAACATATATAATATAGAAGAAATGATAAATCAAATGCAGAAACATGTTAGGAGTGGGCATTTGAACTAGCAGTTCAGATGCCAATTGGGTTGCCTGCATCTCACACTGGAATGCCTAGGTTCAGTTCCCAGCTCCAGATGCTTACTCCGGCTTCCTGCCGATGAAGACCTTGGAAGGTAATTGCTGTTTTGTCAACCACACATGGAAGACCTGGATTCAATCTGTCACTCTCCGCTTCGATTTGGTCCAGCCCTGGCAATTTTGGGCATCTGAGGAGTGAACCAGTGGATAGGAACTATGGCAGAGCAGTTAAGACACTGCTTATGACACCCACATCTCAAACTGGAGTGCCTGACTTTAAGATCTTGTTGTGCTTCCAATTTTAGTTTCCTGTTAATATGCACCCTGATGGCTCAAATATTTTAGTCCCTGCCACACACATAGGAGATTCAGACTGAGTTTGAGGCTCTTGGCTTTGGCTTGGCCCTGCTCGATTGGTGCAAGCATTTGAGGAGTGAACCAACAGAGGAAAGATCTTTCTGTCTGTCTCTCTGTTTTTCCAATAATTAGACAGGAAAAGGAGGGGAGGAGGGAGAAGAAAGAGATTAACATTTGGAGAATCTAGATGAAAAGAGTATGTGCTAAAACTTTTTTGCACATCTAAAATTATTTCAAAAAAATGTTTAAAAGTTGGGAGAAGGTCTTTTAGAACAGCTGGATATTGATCTTCATTTTTTATCACATTCTATTTTTCAGGGACAAATAGATTCAGGATAACCCTATAGAAAAGTACAAGACTTCCATATTCAAATTACAGGCTTATATGATATGCCTCTTACAGGCATATTACATCCCTTTCATCTTTGTCTTCAGGCTTAAGAATAACTGAAAAAGGTTAAAAAAAAAAAACACTCCTCTTCATTAGCCATTCTGTTCCATCTCCTTTAAGCTCCCAGATCAAATTTAATAGTCTTCATAGAGCTCCTTTATACCATTCCAAGCAGAAAGATTCATATGTCTGCTTGAAAATCTGGAACTACACTAGTTATTATGACATATCTTACACTGAACTCTCTGTGACTTCAACCTTTTCTTCTTCTTCTTTACATTACAAGCCAAAACAAGGACCTTGGCTTACTTTTCATTGCATGCCTCAGAGGACTTAATAAAGCTATTCATATTTGCTGCTTTTGTTTCAAGAACATGACCCTACATTTTTATAGCTTTCTATTTTCTCAGGAGGCTCATTCTACGTATTATGCCACTTCTGTGACTTGCATTTATCATCTCCATCTTATAAGAAAGAAAACTAAGGAGGAAAGTTAATTTGCTCCATACTGTGCATCACAGCCCGCTTGAGAATTTGATTCCTCCCTTCTTTCCTTATATTTATTAAGTCCTATGATCAAAGGTAATCATACCTTTGATGAATATATATGAATATATATAATATACATATATACATATATATATATAGAGAGAGAGAGAGAGAGAGAAGCATCTCTAAAATGCAGAGCTTACAACAATTCACTAGTCTGCTTCTCAACTCTGTAGGAAGTTAATTAACATTCAGCAATACACTAAGCTACAATCCTGCTTCTCCGCAGAAAAGGCATGTATAGGCTGCAGGGCAGAATTCCTGAACAGGGCTATCGTGAGTCTATTTGCTGCATTTCTTAGGATCCATCCTCTTTTGCCATCCAATTGATTCCAAAAGCATTTACTCTGCAACCAGCACCCACCTTGCTCCCAGGGCTTACCTCCTGCTCTGCAATCCTTAACGCACTTTCCTGCCGGGCATCTTTGTCAGTCCTAGAGCTGGCTGGAGACTGAATTCGTTTGACCAGCCTCTGTTCACACTCCTCCAGGCGTAGCTGGATATTCTTCAGCTCTGAAATGTACATCTTGGCCACAGTCTCCTCTTTGTCTTCTGTGAATGCACAAGCACAGAAGACCATTAAGCTCTGCATCTAAGATCAGCATACCTGAGGGCATCACTGGCTCTAGCAGACTGGACACTGCACAGATAAAAGCAAGGTCTTGCTTAGAGGATCCTTTGTCTGACCCCTTATATTACGTATTAGTGTTTAAGGATGCAAATATGTTATAGCCACAAGAAAATGTGGCAGGCTGATCAGCAATAACAACTTAAGTTTCAATAGGCCTCTTCTTCCATGATCTGATTTTGAGAGCCCATCTCTACGAATTTTCCTCTACCTCAGGTTTTTAGCAAGTCAACTGGGGAGAGGTGGCAATGCCACTCTCCATTTTGAAAGAAGGGTCTAGCAGTTTCCTTCAGGGTTCTATTCACATCTGCCTCTCTCCCCACAGTATACACACACCATTTTCCATGGACTTCACTAGGCGCTGGAAGTGGGCTTTACAAGCTTCCACTTCCTCTTCCAAACGCAAGCGATCAGCCACGGAGAAGAGTACAGAGTCACGACTGTCCTGCAGAAAGTCTTCATAGTGGGCCTGCAGGTTCTGCATAACCTGGTGGCACTCCCCTGGTGCTGAGGATCGAAGCTAGTGGGAATAAGCCAGAAGAAATTTCAATGATGTGAACATAACCCTTTTTTTTTTGAGTCTAACATATATGTAAAACAGTACACAAACCATGATTGTAAACATGTTGATTTTCATAAATTCAATTCACTCACACGGCCAACATTCAGAACTACAACCACATGCCTTTGCAAAGAAGACCAAGATGTTACTTATTTTATTTATTTTAATAGAAAGCTTTTATTTAGCATATATAAATTTCATAAGTACAACTTTTGAATTATAGCAATTCTTTCCCCCATACCCATCCTCCCACCCTCAAACTGTCCCACCTCCTACTCCCTTTCCCATCCCATTCTTCATTAAGGTTCATTTTTAATTATATTTATATACAGAAGATCAACTCTATACTAAGTAAGATTTCAACAGTTTGCACCCACACAGACACACAAAGTATAAAGTACTGTTTGAAGACTAGTTTTATCGTTAATTCTCATAGTATAACACATAAAGAACAGAGGTCCTACATGGGGAGCAAGTACATAGTGACTTCTGTTGTTGATTAACAATTAACACTCTTATTTATGACATCAGTAATCACCTGAGGCTCTTGTCACGAGCTGCCAAGGCTATGGAAGCCTCTTGAGTCCACAAATTCTGACATTATTTAGACAGGGCCATAATCAAAGTGGAAGTTCTCTCCTCCCTTCAGAGAAAAGTACCTCCTTCTTCGATGGCCCCTTCTTTCCACCAGGATCTCACTCACAGAGATCTTTCATTTAGGTCATTTTTTGCCACAGTGTCTTGGTTTTCCATGCCTGAAATGCTCTCATGGGCTTTTTTAGCTAAATCCAATGCCTTAAGGGCTGATTCTGAGGCCAGAGTGCTGTTTAGGGCATCTGCCATTCTATGAAGTTGCTGTGTGGCCTGCTTCCCATGTTGTATCATTCTCTCCTTTTTAATTCTATCAATTATTATTATTAGACACTTGGTCTTATTTATGTCATCCCTTTGACACTTAATCCTATCATTATGAACTTAAACTTATCATTTTAACTAGTAAGATGGCATTGGTATCTGCCAACTTAATGGGATTTGGAGTCCCATGGCAAGTTATTAGCTTTACCCCTAGGGGTAATGCTACTTATTTTTATCAGGGATTTCTTTAACAATTCAAGCTGTTGTTTCTAGTTCCTAGGGCCCATAGTCCCCTAACTCTAAAACTATCCCTGATGCCACTGCATTCTATTTGAATGGGAAGAAAATATCACAGTAATGAAAAAAATCTCCTTCTGGAAAAACAGAACCAACAGGATGCAAGCCTGGGGTAAAGTTTTAATTACCTTTTCCAGGTTCCAAGTCTGTACAAGGTCAAGGTCCTTCCGAAGGTAGTTCCAGGAGATAAGGCTTTTGGTGTTAACATGTAGCTGGTGCCAAAGGGCCATCACCTTCTGGTAAGATTGTTCCACCCTACAAACAACACAGAACCTGGCTAAAGCTTTTTCAATACTTGAACTTTTTTTTTTTTTTAATATATTTATTTGACAGGTAGAGTTATAGACAGTGAGAGAGAGAGAGATAGAGAGAAAGGTCTTCCTTCTGTTGGTTCACTCCCCAAATGGCTGCCACAGCCGGCACTGTGCTGATCCAAAGCCAGGAGCCAGGTGTTTCTTCTTGGTCTCCCATGCGGATGCAGGGGCCCAAGCATTGGGCCATCCACCTCTGCCCTCCCGGGCCACAGCAGAGAGCTGGACTGGAAGAGGAGCAACCGGGACTAGAACCCAGCACCCATATGGGATACTGGTGCCGCAGGCAGAGGATTAACAAAGTGAGCCATGGCACCGGCCCCTCAATACTTGACCTTTATAGTTTATAGACCTTTTAAGGAAAAATGGGATTGCTTGAATGAAACTGAGTTTACATGTTGAGCAGAGAAAGGCAACACTCAAATACTAATCTTTGGAACTAAATTGAGATCTTCAATTTGGATTTGCTAGAGTATTATGTATGTTAGCATGTATTTAGCAATCTCACAAATATTACAAAAATGTACTAAATTACAGGAAGCTAGAGAGAAAAAATAGCCAGGGAAAGTAATAATAGAGAACAGTATAGATAAAATAACCTCATTTGCTGAAAAATGACATTGATGCTTAAAAAAATTAAATTTCTGTGTTCTATATATTTATAAAAATGCTAAAATGTGTACAAGTTAACAGCAACTTAAGAGGTTCATCTGGAATATAAAAGAAAACTGCAGTTGAATGGTTTGAGATTTTTTAGAATGCATTTATCTGAGGGGCAGAGTTACAGATAGAAGGAGAGACAGAGAAAGGTCTTCCATACACTGGTATACCCCCCAAATGACCGAAACGCCTGGAGCTGGACTGATCTGAAGCCAGGAGCCAGGAGCCAGGAGCTTTCTCCGGGTCTCCCACATGGGTGCAGGGGCCTAAGCACTTGGCCACTCTCTACTGCTTTCCCAGGCCATAGCAGAGAGCTGGATCTGAAGAGGAATAGCTGGAACAGGAACTGGTGCCCACATGGGATTCCAGTGCTGCAGACAGAGGCTTAGCCTACTAAGCCACAGCACTGGCCCCTGGTTTGAGATTTTTAATAAGCATTCCATGTCTAGCTGATTCTCTCAACTTCTAAGACTTAAAAACATGAAGATACATAGACACACTCACACCAAGTTACTTTGAATTTGAGTTGCGACCAAAATACAAGATAAAAAGAATAGGATAAAAAACCAGAAGCTAGGATATCAGCTACATAACAGACTCAGTTTATCTTCCCTCTCTCCAAAAATCCCACTAAGATTTTAGTAAAGTTGAAGTTAAAAGTTCATGGGACCAGCACTGTGGTGTAGTAAGCTAAGCCTCCACCTGCAGAGCTGGCATCCCATATGACTGCCAGTTAGTGTTCCAGCTGCTCCTCTTCCTATCCAGCTCTCTGCTATGGCCTGGGAAAGCAGAAAAAGATGGCCCAAGTGCTTGGGCCCCTGTACCCACATGTCAGACCTGGAGGAAGCTCTTGGCTTCTGGCTTTGGATTGACCCAGCTCTAGCCATTGTGTGCATTTGGGGAATGAACCAGCAAATGGAAGACCTTCTCTCCCTCCCTGTAACTGTGGCTCTACCTCTCAAATAAATAAATAAAACTAAAAAAAAAAAAAAAAAAAAAAAAAAGAAAGAAAGAAAGAAAGAAAGAAAGAAATTAGGGGGCCAGCGTTGTGGCACAGTGAGTTAAAGCCCTGGCCTGAAGCACCGGCCTCCCATATGGGCGCTGGTTCTAGTTCTGGCTGCTCCTCTTCTGATCCAGCTCTCTGCTATGGCCTGGGATAGCAGCAGAAGATGGCCCAAGTCCTTGGGCTCCTGCACCCACGTGGGAGACCCGGAAGAAGCTCCTGGCTCCTGGCGGATCAGCGCAGCTCCAGCCATTGGAGCCATCTGGGGAGTGAACCAGCAGATGGAAGACCTTTCTGTCTCTACCTCTCTGTAACTGTCTTTCAAATAAATAACATAAAATCTTTTAAAAAAATAAATAAAAGAAATTAAAAGTTCAGGACATCTCAAAAGAAATGAAAAATAGAAAATAATAGAACCCAGGAGAACTGATAACAGAATTAGTCCAATATCTGACATACGGGGATTCTTCAAAGCAAGAACAGGAAAAACACAGAGAATTAAAACTGTAAATAATCCAGTAAAAATTTATGCATATTAGAAAGACGAGTTTCCAGTTTGTATTTTTTAGCACAATGATTGCAAAAAGACTCACTCAAAGGTACGGCATTCCTTTCAAATGTTAGTGATAAAGAGAAGTGCTTAAAAGCTTCCAGAGCAACAGATTTCATTCACAAGGCAAGTTACCCCTTAAAAAAAGGATAAAGAATGAAAATGACACTATGTGTCTCTTAGTTAAGATACCCTGGAAGTAAGAAAACAACAGAGCCACACCTTCAAGGTTCAGACTTTTCCCAAAGAATGTTGTATGTATGTCTACATAATAGTGAAGGGAGAAGAAAGACATTTTCAGACATGAGAGGTGTCAAAACAACTACTTCCCATGCAGCCTTTTTCAGTAACCTACTGGAGAGTGTGCTACCGTAAACCAGGCCATGAATCAATAAATAAGATCTGGAAACTAGGACTCAATAGGCCCAGCAGAGAGGTGAAGCAAATCCCCAGGTGAAGGAGAATGCCAGAGAGGCAGCACTGAATCACATCTACAGAACAAGGCCAGACAGAAAGGAAGAAGAGAATGGATAGGCCAGAGAGCTGTTCCCAAGAGAAAATGAAAGGGAACTTCAAAAAGTTCACAGAAAAATGGAATGAGAAGTCTATTTTGGTGCAAAAAACTATTTTGAAATCCATGCCTAGCTTTTTCATAATATGCATTTTGCATTAACTTTTGGAAGGCCCCTTGTAAGTATAAAATCTGTTAAGCAGTATTAAGTGTTCTTAGTGTTTTTAAGCAAAATAAAGACAAACAAGGAGAACAGAAAGGGACATTTGCAGTGAGTGGGGATGGTGGCCCATGAGAGAGACTGGACGCACTGGATGAAGTGAGGAGTGAACTGCGCGGATATCTAGAGCAAACATGAAGTACAAAGCTCCTGGATGAGGCAAGAGCAGGTTAGCTGTGCTTGGGAAACAGGAGGAAGACCAGAGTGACTGCAGCAGAGCACAGGAGGAGCCCAGAGGAGGAGCAGTCCAGAGAAGGCAAGCTTGTTACAAAGATCCCCTGGAGTATCACCTGGCTCAGCGGTAAACAGTTTAACAATAAAATTAAAATTACCAATTTAAACAAAAAATTGTAACTTAACTACATTTGGGACATGAAGAAAGGAGCAGTGTGTGTACAGAGAGCTAAATGTTAATCTCCTAGAGTAAGAAATTAATTTCTGAAGTTGAAAAAAATCAGGAAAATTATTCAGAAACAGAGTTAAAACTCCAAAAGATCTGTTGAAAGAGTTGAAAGCAGTTGACTCTGGGAAGAACACTGGGGTCAGGGAGGAGACTGTTTACTTTTACTATAAGCTCTTGGATATAATCCAACTTTCTAAACTATGTACATACACTACTTTAATAAAATACAAATTAAAGAAAATTAGCTGGGGCCAGCACTGTGGTGTAGTAGGTTTAAGCCTTTGCCTGGTGTGCTGGCATCTCATATGGGTACTGGTTCATGTTCCGGCTGCTCCTCTTCCAATCCAGCTCTCTGCTTATGGCCTGGGAAAGCAGTGGAAGATGGCCCAAGTAATTGGGCCTCTGCGCCCATGTGGGAGACCAGGAAGAAGCTCCTGGCTTCAGATCAGCCCAGTTGTGGCCATCTGGAGAGTGAACCAGAGGGTGGAAGACCTTTCTCTTCATCTCCCCTTCTGTCTGTCTGTAACTCTGCCTCTCAAATAAAATAAAAATAAATAAAATCTTAAAAAATAACTACCAAAAAACTGAAAATTAGCTCTCACAATAGTTGATTTTCTAAAAGTAAGCTATTTACAAGCAATAATCCTTTCAAAAATAACTATCACTGAATATACCTCAATTGAACAAAAACATTTATTGAAGATCTGTTATGTAGCTGGCAGTGTCAGACTCATCATCCCTAGTAAGAGGCCTTTCTTTCCCAGAAACACACAATTTGGTCACTGTGTTCAGGGAGATCACGACCACAGGCTCATCCCTCCATCCGTTCACCCAGGACAAACAGCAGAGTGGACAGTGAGAAAAGTTACCTGCTGGCCATCTCAATGGCATCCTTGTTGGGTGGGGGGATGAGGAAGCAGACTGATGGCACCATTGCCTCATTCCCTGTGGGGCTGATCACTTTCCATTTGGTCCGCTGAGAATTATCTTCTAGCACACACTCATCATTTTTGCAAATCGTGATCTAGAGATACAAATTCACAAGTTATTGCTAATGGACAAAACAATAACCCATTATTACCTGTTGTCTGATGCCAGAGCTGTAAAATCCTTTCAAAAAATCTGATTAAGATATGTTATCATCTAGTAAAGGCTCTTGATTTCTTAAATCTACAACACAGGAAAAGTTATGAAATGAAATAAATCAAGGAAACATGTGTTCATTAAATGCCTGTTACATGTCAAGTAACTTAATACTTGAGAGTCATAGAGATCATAAAAGTCCTCAAGAGCAATCTCTGAACCAAAAACTATTAGAGTAAAAATGGTCTTGTGATCCTTCCTCCTCCTTTCCTATCCTTCCACTAAACCCCCTGTAAATGGTTAAATATTTTATAATCAATTTTCTCTTGAGAGACAAGTAACCAACATTATGATCCCTGTTTTATAGACAGAAGAACTGAGACAAAGAAGAGTGCTGTCTCATTTTTCCACTCATTCACTCTTCCATTCAACAAATATTTATTGAGGGCCTGCTATGTGCCTAGAAGTGTTCTAGACACTAGCGATGGAAATGGTACAGTGGCAAGTAGAACAACACAGTCTGTATTTCACACACTGAGGTGGGACCATATGGTAAACCATGTTGTTTGACAAATGCAATTTTCCAGGATCAGTGGAAAGGACGGGACCCTGTCTTGGCTTGAGAAGTAGACAGATTATTCAGCATTGAAGGCCACATTAGGGAGTTCAGACTTTCTCCCAAAACCAGTGAGAAATTGTAGGAGTGTCTTTTTCTTTTTTTTAAGATGATGATTGTTGTAGGACAAAGTATGCATTAAATGAGGAGGCTGATACAATATCCAAGTGAATGAAACTTATGATCGAATGTAGGATAGCAGCAGAGAGACAGAAAGAACATGTAAGGGATATTTACAGATTAGTACTGACTTGGTCCGACTCGTTATGGGGGATAAGAGGGGACAGCAAGCAAAGATATCTCCCAGGTGTCACAAAGGAGCATTTTCTCCAACACTTAGGCACCTATGTGGTTGGTGAGGCCAATCACTGAGGCAGGAACAGATCAGGACTATAGAGTTTGTTTAAATGATAGAAAAGATGTGAATGTCAAAAATTCTACAATTTGATCTTTCCCTATTATCATAACCCTAACTGAAGGTTTCCTTTTTCTCTTCTCTCTTCCTTCCCTCTGAAGCCCCAAGTTACCCTTTTCACCTCCTCACCTCGATCTGCCGATAGTCACAGATGGCCTTAACAGAAATGGTGCTCTTTAGCACATGGTCTGGACTGCGTGGCTTTAGCTGAACAATGGTTTTTGATCTCCCAACAAGACTGGCAACGGAACTCTTGGACTGTATAAGCTGCTCCTTTTCATCCTACAAAATAAACAAAACAAAAAGACATGTTACCACTCAGGGTGACCAAGCCAACAAAGAAAACTGAGTGCTCCACTCCCCTAAGAGAATGTCATTTCTCAGTTAAGCAGGGAACCTTGGTGGAGCCATCTTAGATTAAACTTTAGACAAGGATAAAGGAAAAAGGAGAGAATGTTTCTGTCCGCTATCAAGTGCTTTTGCACCAAAAATTTGCAGCTTCCTCCCTGTTTCTCTTTCAATGAATCATAAAGCCACATGCAAAAAAACAAACAAAAACAAAAATGAACTTCAGCTGCCAGATATAGTGGCATATAGCTAATAAAGGATTTCCCAAGTTCAGAGAACATGGCAGTTAAAAACAATAATAATAATAATGGCATTATTATTATTATTATTATTAAATTTCTCACTGGCAAAAACCAGTTCTTAACCTTCCTGCTTAGGAGAAGCTAGACACTATTTAAAAATTTTTAAATTATTGTATCTCCCACACTGTACTTCACATATCTCACTTTCTTAAAATGAGTTAAACTTTATAGAGAAAGATCATAGCTCTTCAACCAACAATCCATAAACAAATGCTATTGGTGAAAGCATTATGATAAATGGATTTAGGGTTTACCTTTCAATATCTTGCCATGCGATATTCACGTGAATCTGATTGATTTGAAAAAAGTATCATGCAAAATTGAAACACTCAAATCTCTGCAAACTCAATTATCTTAAAAACTAGTAAAATTCTTGTCACCAAACTTGATAGCAATCTACTAAAATTCCATTAGAGAATAAAAGATAGCCTTTATCTATTAACCATGATGGTTCAAGCCCATTTTGTGGCATAAAAGTCCCCAGAAGAGGGCTTTCTTTGGATGGATGTAGATGTGATGACAGCGAAGAGTTAATAATGTTAAGAAATGCCATTAAAGAATTAAGAATATGCAAGTAAAGAAAAAAAAGAAATGCTTAAATAAACTACCTGTGCCTGTCCCCGGGAGCATGATTGGAAGAAATACAACTTTAACTTCTTAGTTAAGAGAGAGGAATAGAATATATCAGGGAGGCAGCCATACGTCCATACTTGAGAGCTGCTCTACCCATTTCAGTTTCCTTGCAATAAAGATGTCAATTTCTCTCTAACCCACAGCCAAACATCTCAAGCTCCAGAGATCAAGTGCTCAGCGTGGTAAAAGTTCTGAAAAGAACCAGAAGCCAGGACAGATGCTCCCGAACCTGACAGACAAGCCGAGGAGCAGACCCAGGTGACTCCATGCCCCGATGACGCCGCCAACCCGATGCCCCTGACCTGGAGAGGAGGGAACACAGCAGCGACCCTCGAGAAGAGAAGATATGACAATTGCAGAGGAGTTACCCTACGACAGGAAGACACTCTGTGGGAGGGAGGAGATAATAGCCAAGGATTATATTTCTCCTTCAATACTGTAGTACCCCTGAGAGAGACATTTTAGAGACAACATCTGAAAAGTCAGATTTTTATCCTTCATGCCAAATAAATTAACAGATTATTTGCTCAGGTGAAGCACTGAACACAAAGTTTACTATAGTTGAAGTGTTAAAAAAATCAAATAATAATCCAAATGCCCAAATCTCACCCACCAAATAAAGGAACTGTTTGGGGTTATTCTGGTTCTCCTCTTTATACTTTCCTATGGAAATGTGAGGATCCCCTAGCTTCTCATGCAGGAAAAGCAATTTCCCTTTTGCACACACATTTCTATCTCAATTTGAGATGCAGCTTGAGCCCTGTTGCCAACTCTGTGTAACAGACATTCAACAAATGTAAATAGTTTTGCTATTAATTTTATAGCTAGCCCCTCAAGAAGCAAGTATTTTTTGGAGAAAACAAATATAAAATTATTTGGATAAAATATTAGACTTTTTAAAGTTAATATGGCTATATAAACTGGACAAATACTGTATTACATCTAAATAAGATTTTAATGTTAGCCTTCATTAAAATTAATTTTCATCATTACCAAAAGAAAATTACCAAGGAGGAAAAATTTGGCTCAGAACTATTTCATTTTTTAAAAATTTTCTTTTGCATAAGAGAGTAAAAAAGAATTTGATGTTAGCTAATCTGCTTCAGGCCCCTCCCCCTTTTTTCCCATGCTCTATCTACCTCATTCTAGGCCCCAACTTCTGCACTGAAATAGGGACAATGCAAAGAAAGGACAGCGAGCACTAAGTGGCTCAGGGAGATGACTAGGACTCCACTTCAGTAACATACCCAAAGAAATCTCACCAGCAACTTACTAAGGAAAGAAAAGGAAAAAGGAAGGGGACAGAAGAAAACTGGGTAAACTTTCTGAATATGAGCTAACTGTTTTCTTAACCATGGCCCATCGCCCTGGAGCTTTCAAGGATATAAACAGCAGCCGCTGACAGGGTTTACTCTGTTGCTCAGAAGTAACCATCCCCACTGATACAACACCCACCATGGAGTCCTGGAGCAGGTCCTCGAGGCGGGACAAGCTGGTGTTGTGGTCGCAGGAATATTTGCGCTTGATGGAGTCTTGGAGGTTCCTCAAGAATGACTCCAGGTCCCGCGCATCACTGAAGAACTGTGGGAAGGTAAGGAGGGCATGCCTTCTGCTTAATGCACTGGAGGTGCGGACTAGGGAAGTGTGACTTCTGTGCGGTCCAGCAGAGGGGTCACTGCATCCCTGTCAGTGCACCACAAAGCGCACCCAAGCAGCAGCCGGAGGACTGAGCCTTACAGACAAGTTGGCCCGTTTCACCCCTCAGAACCCACTGTTCTTTCCTCTTGACTTCTGGCTACTGACAACCCTGGGCTGTGAGGGATATTGCATGAAAAGCCTGGAGGTCAGGGGATCAAACGTTTCAATGACTTAATATGACTACAAAATGGTCACAGAGATACATAGGTAACAGCTGATTCCTCCTCCACCCTCACCTGAAAACAAGCAGTGGAGTCTTTCTTGCTGTGATAGGAAGTGGTATGGCCACATGACTTGCTTTGCCCACAGCACGTAAGTGTGACAAGGAGGAAAGAGTGCTCGTGCCCTGGGGCATGCTCTCCTCTGCTGCGGAACACAGTTACTATACAAAGAGGGTTGTCAGATGCTACAGATGTAAGGCTTTCCATCCTGACCCCTCCACCAACTGTCAGATATGTGAAGGATGCTGTTTGGGACCAAACAGCTCCCAGCCTAACCTCTAATGGTGAAAAGCATTTAGCTAAGCCCTGACCAAACTGAACTAATTAAGTGATGCTGTTTTAAGCAACTATGTTTTGGAGTGGTTAGTTTATATAGTAAAAGCGAATTGATAGAAATGTGTTCTTAGCTTCACCTTCATGCACACACACGTGCACACACACACAACAGCCCACTATACCTGAAAGTAAGCAGTATTCTCTTTGACATGCTGCTCAACACACAAGCACAGCTGCTTCATCCACTGCAACTGGGACTGAACAGCAGCACTGTAAGCCTGCAGCAACACACAGACAGGAGGGCACGAGTTGAACAGGCCTTATCCATATATGCAATGCTCTCTTGACTCGCCACCAAAAGAGACACTGCAGATACCTGTCTGGCACCTGATCAATGCTTCCAATGAGAAAGAGGACTGCCTCTTATCCAACATCATTCTGTTAGAAGGGTTACACAGAAAAGGCTTCTTCCACATTCAGTTGCAATTAAATGATCTAGTCACAGAACCTAGGCCTAAAGAAATCCCTCCTGGATTCCTCCACAGGTTCTCTTCTCAGGGAAAAGAAACCATACCAACTAGAGGCAGGGTATACACAGGTAGTTATTTGAAGAAATAGGGTCCAAGTCACCTTTCTTCCTGAAGTTAAGAGTCAGCCTCTCTTCTGTTGTTTTTCCTAGTATGATCCTTAGACTATCAAAACTGCAGGCTTTTGAGTGATGCAGGAACAGTGGAAAAGGAAGAAGACCCAAGGCAAATGATCCCAGATACTACCTCCAGGTCTTTCAGCAGAACAAAGACTCTTATTTGAATACTTTTACAACAACCACCTCTGAGCATCTGACCTTCATACATTCTCAAGCCACATACCTCCACTGTCTGTTTGGCTGGGTGGTTCTCAAGTGACAGCAGTTCTGCTGTATCTTGGAGAGACCGGAATACATCCTGTTTCTCTTCCAGTTCCATCATCAACTCCTGAAAACAGAATTCAGTTTTATGGAATAAGTGTAATAAAGACAGAGAGTACAATAAAGAAAAAGCTACATTCCTTGTCCTCCTATAAAGGAAACTACAACAACCCAGGGTTGGTTCCAAAATGAGATGTGTAAGTATCATGTGCCAGAGGACTTCAGTGTAGGACAAGTGCACTAGAATCACTGGGAAATGATTTCCAAAGGACACAGGACCTAGCCAGACCTGAGCAACGTGAGGGATCACAGAATGAGCACCAGAGGCAGAGAAAGAAGACAGCACGGCTAGAGTGGACAGTTCACATTAACTCCCATGCCAATACGTGACACATCAGTAGAGCAGTTATCACTCTCCAGTTGGCTTTACACAGACTATTCCCACAGCCTACAAGGCCCCCTTCTGGCTCTAACTTCCAGTAATACTGCATGACCCAATTTAAATGCCAGCTCTAATCCTCACAATCAGATTTATCCCTTCTCTTTGATGCTTTCAGAGTACTTTCTTTGTATGCCTAGCACAGCCTGACTTCCGTTCTCAGATTATTTGCATCAATTTCTTCCTTCTTCAATCAGGAAAAGCTCGTTTTTTATATAAAAGCTCATATTTTTAAGAACCCTAAATGAATGAAATTGAAGTATCTAAAGTGAGTGCTAATAAGAAAGCTTTCAATTTGCATAGGGTTTATAAAATCCTTTAGAGACCTCTGAGAGTGGGAATATTGAAAGCAGCAAAAAAAAAGATAAAAAGAAAAACCTGTTTGTCTACATCTTTCATTGAAAAGTAAAGATTATCTCTTTGTCCAAAACTGAATTTTCCTTCCCATTACACAAAAGAGATTCAGACCGAAACATTGTTAATTAAGAATGGTTATCTTTTTAGAAGTGTACCTATGAGGGGCTAGTGCTGTGGCACAGAGGGTTAACACCCTGGCCTGAAGCACAGGCATCCCATATGGGTGCCGGATCAAGACCTGGCTGCTCCACTTTCCATCCAACTCTCTGCTATGGCCTGGGAAAGCAGTAGAAGATGGCCCAAGTGCTTGGGCCCTGCACCCAAGTGGGAGACCTGGAAGAAGCTCCTGGCTCCTGGCTTCAGACTGGCACAGTGCCGGCTGTGGTGGCCATCTGTGGAGTGAACCAGCGGATTGAAGAACTCTCTCTCTCTCTGCCTCTCCTTCTCTCTCTATGTAACTCCAACTTTCAAATAAATAAATAAATATTTTAAAAAAGAAGTGTATCTATGAAATCTGTTCTCTTTATATTAATAAAATTTAAAAATTAATTAAGAAGAATTCAGAAATTTATGGAAGCTAGAAGTACACTACAGTTAGATAATACTAAGCTCTATACTAAATCTTTGGCCTAGATTAACTTATTCAATCTTAATGTTTTATTCAACTCTTTAAAGTGATGCTGTTTTCCCACTTCACAAATGGTCCAAATTAAATGATTTGAAGAGGGACATAGAGCTAGTTAGCACAGAAATAAGAATTTGAACCTGTCTTTCTCACTCCAAAGCTTATAACCTTACCACAAAGGGTTTGCCTTTGAATTGACTCAGCTTGCAGAGGTCTGCTCCATTCACCCAAGACCCTGTCCTTCTAAATAAATCACTTCTACAGCTCTACTGCCCATCTCTCAGTACACATTTCTCACATGCATAGATGCAATGAGCAGGGTCTCTATTTTTGTCTATCAAAGTGCAACTCTGGAAACCCAAGCAGACTAATCCTCTTTCCTTCTGGTGCTATTAAATAAATATGACAGGCCTGCTGTGCTAGACTCACAGAGAAGTAATTTTTCTTGGCTGAGATATTGGGATTGTTGTCACTCCAGTCATATGCTAGTTCCTCCTCCTCCTTCTCATTCAACCAGATCAACTCAGCAGTAGCTCTGGAGACAAATTTATGCAGACTCTGAAGGTGCCTCATTCGGAAGCTAGAAGTTTCCTAGACAAAGCAAAGATTATAAAGTTAGACTGACAGTCTTTGCATCTGTAGAAGATAGCACATTTGACATAAAAGGAAATAACAACACAGGAAGCAAATTTAGTTTTGCTTTTTAATCTCTGGGTTTGTCTTTATGGAGTCAAGTTTAGTACAAATTTGACATAAAACTCTCAGAGGGGCTGGTGCGCCGTGGCACAGTGGGTTAAACCACCACCTATAGCACCTGTAGCATGATGTGCATGCTGGTATGAGTCCTGGCTGCTCTTCTTCTGATCCAGCTCCTTGCTAATGTGCCTAGAAAGGGGCAGAGGATGGCCCAAGTGCTCAGGCCCCTGCACCCATGTGGGAGACCTGGATGAGGCCTGGCCCAGACCTAGCCAATGCAGTCATTTGGGAGTAAACCAGCGGATGGATCTCCCTCTTTTTGTCTTTCCCTCTAACTCTGACTTTCAAATAAATAAATAAATCCTTAAAAAAAAAAAAAAAGACTCCCACAGAGCCATTGTCAATCCTAGACAGCAGACACAGCACATAAGGCTTTTACAGGGGTTTCTGGATAAAGAATGACCCTTTGGCTGGCGCCGCGGCTCACTAGGCTAATCCTCTGCCTTGCGGCGCTGGCACACCGGGTTCTAGTCCCGGTCGGGGCGCTGGATTCTGTCCCGGTTGCCCCTCTTCCAGGCCAGCTCTCTGCTGTGGCCAGGGAGTGCAGTGGAGGATGGCCCAAGTACTTGGGCCCTGCACCCCATGGGAGACCAGGATAAGTACCTGGCTCCTGCCATCGGATCAGTGCAGTGCGCTGGCCGCACCACGCCAGCTGGGCGGCCATTGGAGGGTGAACCAACGGCAAAAAGGAATACCTTTCTCTCTGTCTCTCTCTCTCTCACTGTCCACTCTGCCTGTCAAAAAAAAAAAAAAAAAGAAAAGAAAAAAAAGAATGACCCTGGGCCTGTGCTACTCTGGAAAATCTTGATACATAGAAATAAAAAACAACAAGTAGGTGGGGAGTCCCCTCTCTATCAACCACAAACTTTTAACTTTGGTGTCTCAAAGCACAATAGCTAGGTTAAGTTCTATTTATTTAAAACTTTCTGGAGCAAGTAGTTTCTGACCCATTAAAGAAAAAATTTTACCTACGAACATAGTAAATGATACAACCTGATAAACAGAAAACCCAAACACAGCCAAACCATAAACTTTTCTGAATTGGGGAAGACAGCTGTCTGGAACGTAAGAGTCAGTCAAAATTTACCTTCAGTTTACAATACTGTGTCTCCAGCTTTCCAAGTGTTTCAACATAACTGGTATGGAAATTTTGGGACATTTTTCCCTGATAAGAAAGGAATGAAATAATACTACATTAGAGAAAGAGTAAGTAAACTACATGTTATGGTTTCAACTATGTAAATATTATGTCTGCATATAGATAAGGGTTGGCATCCCTAAACAAACAGAAGCTGAGACAAGTCTGAGTCAGATCCTATAGGCTGGAGCAACACTAGGTGGGCAACAGCTTAGCATGATGATTACAACCAACAGACTTCCCCATGCTGTGTTTCCAGTAACTGTGGGAGGCTTCTAAGCAAAACTTGTGTTCAGTGAACCCCAAACTACTCTATTGCTTTTCTGAAGGGCAGAGTTGAAATTAAAAATGGAAAGACAGAATAACAAAAGAGAGGAGAGATTTAATAAATGGTTTCTCCACACTGGCTCTCTACTATAGAAGGTGAAGGGATAAGAACATGAATGTCTGCGGTCAGAGAGCCTGAATCTAGATACTGCTTCTAGGATGTCTTCGCTTTTTAGTAAAAAAGGGGTTAATAAAAATCCTTTCTGGCAAGGTTATTTCAAAGATTAACAGACACACTTCACATAAAAAGGAAATGTATTGTAAAGTGCTGTTCATGAATATTCATTATTCTGCCTTTCTAGAGATCCTTCTCCTTAGAGACAGCTGTACTTTGCACACTGTCCCATTACCGCTTCCACCTCTGCCCCTCCCATAATGTGGATTCTGAATGATACTCACCTCATACAATCTGGCCTCTTTGACGCTTGAGCCCAGTTCTTCTACACTGGTGTGGATGTGCTGCTGTGTTTCAAGCTGCAACTCCACACTAGGCAGGTCATTACCCCACTCTGCTCGTTCTAGTTTCATCTGGAAAAGGAAAAAATGGGTATAATTTACTGTTGCACTGGCAGGGAACAAAATAGTCAGAATCGATGTTTGGACAAAAGTATTATCTAAATCACCTCTATCATTCCATGGCTCTTAAAGAAAACCACACCATAATCCATAATCATCCCCATGGAGCTGGAGATCAAACCCCAACAGCTAAAGTAACAGAGGCAGCCTTTTGCTGCCACATATAGAAATATAGTCCTGAATTTATTATTCAGAAAGGAGTCTTAGAGCTGGCATTGTGATGCAGCAGGTTAAGCCAGTGCTTAGAATGCCTACGTCCTGTAGCGGCATTCTGGTTCCAGTCCTGGCTACTACTCTTCTAATCCAGCTCCCTGCTATAATGCCTGGGAGCTAACAGATGGTGGTTCAAGTAGCTGAGTATTTGCCAACCACTTGGGACACTCAGAGATCCTGGCTCCTGGCTTCTGCCTGGCACAGCCCTGGCTTTTGCAGCCATTCCAATAGAATATCTCTCTCTGCCACCCCTTCATATAAATCTTTTTTTTGTTTGTTTTTTTTTGAAAGGCATCTTCATGGGATGAAAATGCTTTACTTAACAGCCTAGTTTTTCCCTTTATGGAGTCTCTTTATTTCACAATCAGAACAGATACAAGGGTATTTCAAAAAGTTTGTGGGAAAATGGAATTTAAAATAAGTTTATTTTGGCATGCAAAAATGTTTAAATCCATGCACTTTTTTTTCATAATACACATCTTCCATGAACTTTTTGAAGACCACTTGTAGCTTCACTCATGGAATCAACTACTGGCCAATGGAAGATACTTTTAGCTTGTCTTTGGATATTTTTATTTATTTAGCTTGTCTCTGGATATTGGCACATGGGACATATACCATCTGCAAAAGGGAAGAATATAAAACAAAAGGATTAGAAAGATAAGGACAACATCAAATTTGAACCATTATCCTAGAATACAACAAATCATGTCCCTTGGAATTGTGGAACACAGAAACATTGTTTAAACTTAAGAGCTAAGACCAACTGCAGAAACTGAAGAATAAATTCCTCTGTCTATGAGGGAATTTCAGAAAAGATAACAGATTCATAAACACTGAAATTTTCCCATAAGCTTCGACCTATAGCACAGTTAGCTGATTTCCAAAGAGCTTCAAATTAGAAAACAATGGGGTATGCAGTACAGAATTGGGAGGATTTGAGTTGACCTTGTCCACTTAAGACCTAAGGAGAAGGGACTTAGGTCCAGACAGCATCAATAATTATGGGAATCCAGGGGTCAGCATTAAGGTGTAGCAGGTTAAGCTATGATGCTGGCATTCCATATGGGCCCCGGATCAGGCTGCCCTTCTTCCAATCCAGCTCCCTGCTTATGCTCCTAGAAAAGCAGTGGAAAATGGATCAAATGTTTGGGGCCCCCTGCCACCCATGGGGGAGATTCAAAAGAAGTTCCTCGCTCTTGGTTTCAGCCTGCCCAGTCCTGGCTGTTGTGGTCATTTGGGGAGTGAACCAGAAGATGAAGATCTCTCTGTAACTCTGCCTTTCAACAAAAATCTTTTTTTTTAAAGATTTATTTATTGGAAAATCAGAGTTACACAGATAGAGAAGGACAGGCAGAGAGAGAGAGCGAGAGTGAGAGTGAGAGAGAGAGAGAGAGAAAGGTAGGTCTTCCATCTGCAGGTTCACTTCCAATTTGGTTGTAACAGCCAAATCTGTGCCAATCTGAAGCCAGGAGCTTCTTCTGGGTCTCCCACATGGGTGCAGGGGCCCAAGCACTTGGGCCATCTTCCACATAGCAGAGAGCTGGATCGGAAGTGGAGCAGTAGAGACTCAAACTGACACCCATATGAAATGTCGACATTGTAGGCGGTGGCCACAATGCCAGCCCCATAAATAAGTATTTTATAAAACTAATTAAGGGAATCCATACAAGGGATACAGAGTAATAAACATTAGTGCATTGTATTAACACTGTGGACATATACCTACCTGCATCTCTTCTACCCAAGATAGTAGTTCATACACAAATCGGAGATTGCCTTCATCTTCAGAGGAAGAGATTGACACAAGTTCAGCCCGAGTCATGGGCTTGCGGAACCAGGAGGTAGAAGAAGAATGGGTTGTCTTGGTTAAGGGTTCTGCTTTCAGATGAGTAGTGGTTAAAGTAGAGGGTGGAACCAATTCAAGTGAAGTGAAATGGCCTTTCTGGTACAGGTTTGTACACTCTAGACGCAAGGTGACCAGCTCATCCTGCAGACGCATGACCCTGAAATGGAAGAAGAGAAAAAAGGAAGACACTTAAATCTATAACATATTTTGTTTAAATGTTTATTTATTTGAAAGGCAGAGCAATAGAGAGAAACAGGGAGAGAGACTGAGATCTTCCACCTGCTGGTTCATTCCCCAAGTGCCTACAACAGCCAGGGCTGGACCAGGTCAAAGTTAGGAGCCCAGAACTCCATCTGGGTGTTCCACATGGATGGCAGAGACCAAAGCACTCAAGCCATCATCAACTGCTACCTTCCAGGATGTGTTAGCAGGAAGCTGGATTAGAAGCAAACTAGCTGGGACTCCAATCAGTATTTGGGCATCTCAAGTGGTAGCTTAACCTGCGGTAACAACAGCCATCCCTGTAACATATTTTTAAATATAAAACTTTCCCTAATCCATATGACAAGAACATGGTAAAAATAAAAATGAGAACATATCTGGAAAAGTGTTACATGAATGCAAGGTGATATTACCAACATCTTCAACTCGTTCTGAGTTGTCTTTAAGGCAAATGCCAAATTACAGTTCTAATTGGAAGGAATTAAATCAATATCTATTTAAAGAATGCCTGAATGGTATAAAGGAAGAAAGCAAAGATTAGAGGTGAAGAAATGAGGGTCCAAGTCTTGTTTCTGTAAAAAAAAAAAAAAAAAAAAAACTAGCCCTGGGGGCCAGTGCTGTGGCATAGCAGATAAAGCTGCCACCCACAGTGTTGGCATCCCATATAGGTGCCAGGTTGAGTCCCAGTTTCTCCACTTCTGACCCAGCTCTCTTTTAATGCACCTGGGAAAACAGTGGAGGATGGCCCAAGTGCTTGGGTCCCTGCACCCACGTGGGAGACCCAGAAGAAGCTCCTGGCTACTGGCTTCAGTCTGCCCAGCTCCATCTGTTGCAGCCCAGTGGGTGGAAGATTTCTGTTTCTCCCTCTCTCTCTGTGTAACTCTGCCTTTCAAATAAAAAATAAATAAGTCTTAAAAAAAAATTAGCCTTGTGACTTTAGACAACCCTCTTCCACACAGTGGGTCTTGGTTTCCTCCTCTATAAAATGAGTGCATTGGATCAATGCTTCTAAAACAGCTGTGCTATCACAAACTAGCAGGTCATGCTGAAATCAGGGTGTGTGTGTGTGTGTGTGTGTTGTAAGATGCCACAGGGACTGGGGGACTCCTACAGGTATTTAGTGGGAGGGGTATGCAATAAGGGGAGATTGTCCTCTAACATGAAAATTTTTCTGCCCAAAGTATGTACTTACAGTATCTCCATCAAGACCCTGACTGCGCTCTAAGTTCCAAATTATAAGACTCAGGGCCTGACTCTTGATCCCATCTTGATCCTTGAACTTCAGCAATAAGCAAGCCTTTCATTTGAATCTCGTTTCTCACCTAAAAGCCAGCTCTTCTAGTTGGTAGTAATTCTCATCCCGTAGGATCTGGAGATCCACTTGCAGCTGCCTGATGAGACCTTCACACTCTTGAATGTACATGATAACATCTGACTCACACTGTACTGGTTGTCCCGATTCCAGGTGAGCGGCGTCCTGAGACAGAAAGGGAGAGTAAGAATGAGAAAACTTCCACTCCCCCCCCTGCTAAAATGGAAGGAGCCAAGCAGTCCACTGCAATCTCAAGAAAAAAGCAAACGATACGGCTGGATTCCACACCTGTTATCTTTGACCATTAGAGCAGAGAGTAGGTGTGGAGCACATGTGACAGAGGAAATAGGACAAAACCGTCAGAGACTCACAGCCTGCAGTGTATTCTTGGCTAGTGTCAGTTTTTCTTCACAATTCAAAGCACCATTCTGGATTTTGTTTGCAATCTGTAGCAGCAATTCTAGCCTAAAATAAGGAAACCACAGTCAAGTGCAAGTTCAAGCAGCTGAGTAGTCACATCAGATCATCCTCAGGCTCTGGACTCACCTCTCTACAGCTGGCCGAAGGGATTTCTCTCGCTCCAGCATCTCAATGATGAGCTTTCCCCACTCTTCTTCCACATCATTAGGGTGATAACCTTGAGGCAGTTTAATTCGGCCAAATTCTATCCACACCTGAAAGAGACACTCCTTCAGTACAAAACCACAGCCATGTCCTCAGGCCTTTCTTCGCTTACTCATGTACATGCTCAGTGCTTCTTTATCCAGCCATTATCTAACATGATTAAAGTTGATGAGTTAGCAGTGTCTCAACTTGAGGTGAGAGCAACAAAATCTCTAAAATGCAGGGACAACTTGCTCTAAATCTTTTCATTCCTTCTACATATCTTCATGTCCTCTTAATAACCCCCATCCTGGCAAGGTTAAATGCCCATTTCTACAGCTCCACATTCTCTAAGAATCCAATCTGAATGGAAGCTCTTTGTTTTCATCCTAAAGAAAGATTTAGCTTCCTTTCCTCTGAGAAACAGGTTAACATCCAGAAAATTCAAGATTTCTAGAGCAGGCCTTTGGTCTAGTAGTTAAGATGCCAGTTGAGACACCTGCATCCCATATCAGAGTACCTGGGTTCAAGGCCTGGCTCTGGCTCCTGATCCTAGCTTTGTTGATGCAGACCCTGGGAGCCAGTAGTGATCAGGTTCCTGCTACCAACAAGAGACACCTAAATGGAGTTCCTGATTCCCAGCTTTCACTCATGGCCTGCCCCAGAGAGATGCAGTGGAATGAAACAGCATATGGGAGCTTTCTTTCTCTGTCTCGCTGCCTCTCAAATAAATAAATAAATTTTAAAAACCAAGAAACTCAAGATTTCTGAATACGATACACCATTTTTCTGTAAGTTCTTTTGAAAAAGCAGATGGCAGTAGGTTAGGCACTGTGGCACTGCAGTTTAAGCTGCTGCTTGGGGGGCTTGTGCTGTGGCGTAGCAGGTAAAGCCACCGCCTGCAATGCCAGCATCTGATACAGGTGCTGGTTGGAGTCCTGGCTGCTCCACTTCCGATCTAGCTCTCTGCTATGGGAAGCAGTAGAAGATAGCCCAAGTGCTTGGGCCCCTGCACCCAGGTGGGAGACCCAGAAGAAGCTCCTGGCTCCTGGCTGTGGATCAACCCAGCTCTGGCCATTGGGGCCATTTGGGGAGTGAACCAGAGGATGGAAGACCTCTCTCTCTCTCTCTCTCTGTGCCTCTGTCTCTCTGTAACTCTGCCTTTCAATAAATCAAATAAATCTTTAAAAAAAGCTGCTGCTTGGGATGTCATATCTCATATCAAAATGTCTAGGTTTGAGTCCTGGCTGGTCCACTTCCAATCCAGCTTCTTGCTAATGTGTCTTGCGAGGCAGCAGAGAACTAGATGGAGTTCCAGGCTCCTGGCTTTAGCTTGGCCTAGCCCTGGCTGTTGTAGGCATTTGGGAAGTGAACCAATGAATGGAAGACAGACAGATATCTCTCTTTTCCTCTCTGCCTTTCAAATAAATAAATGCTTTTCTCCCTCCCTCCACCCCTCCCTCCATCACCTACCCCTTTCAGAAAAGAAGCAATTAACAGTACAAGCCAGCAAACCCCAAGACTCAGCAAAGGACAGCTTTCTTACCTCTAATAATTTGTACAACTCCTCGATTCTTCCTTTTTCTCTCTCCTTGGCCAGAATTTCTGTTTCTTTGAAGTGTATGTATTGGTTATAAAGTGCCTAGAAAATTAATATTTGGTAAATGAATGAATGGAGATAAGCACCTAGTCCACTTTTTCATTTCAGCTCATCCAGAAGCCAGCAGAAACAAGCTGAGACTTACTCCCTAGAGGAAATTTATAAAAATAGTTTAAGTTCATGGCTTTACCTTTAGTTCAACAGGGTTTTGGGGAAAAGATTTATCTGACATCAGTATAGTGTGCTGTTTGATCCATGGAATGAGGGAATCCACCCGACTTTGGTATTCTTGCCACCTGGAGTCCACTTCCTATTGTCAGAAAGTAAACGTCATATACCTGATTAGCAATATCCAAAACAGGCACAGGAGAAGGTAGTTCAGGCCACCCCAAATCACATAAAATCTTTTCCTTCTAATTGCTTAGAAAGTTGCTCAGTTTATTGCACACAGCTCCAATTTCAAAGCTCCTCAAGGGCTCTCCGGATGGGACTCTATTTCCTGACACCTTAAGTCTACACTACCACTAAAAATATTTAGACAAGAGTCATGCTACACCTAGACAAGCTGGTATCAGTGGCTGAGAAAACAATGCCTTACAATGAATTACCGCGGGGAATGATGAGAGGGACATTCTTTGCTGGCATTTAGCATCAAATGACCTGGGCTGGATGATTCAAAATTAGAAATATTGAAACTTGTTCCCAGAGACAAAGACAGTGTCCACGTACATCCAGTCTACTCTGTATAAAAGTGCTCTGTGTACAGTGAGTTCTTGAGAACATTATCTTATGAATGCATTCCACCCAAACAAATCAAAGCCAGAAGGTATTTTAGGAAATGTTCTCTTACTGTGGCACTGATCCCTTCTCCACCCTCAGGGACTTTAGGGAAGGCATCATAAATTGAAGACACATAAGTGATTACAGACTTTTCATCTGGAGATGGCACATCCACATCTAAGAGAGAATGGGCAAGAAATCCCTCAGTTGGAACAAAGCAATCAGCTAGGAGAAGGTACAGTGAATATATGCCAAACTGAGCTCAAGTTAATTAAACTCTCACCTTCTGCGTCCAACAACCGGGTGACCCCCAGTCTTTCTGCTACTTCAAAAGCCTGTTCCAGGTTTTCTCGGTTACTCTGGATTTGCACCCTCTCCATATCTACCAGATCAGGTCTGTAAAAGGCCACCATTTACACATCACACAAGTTCCCACAAAGAAAACCTCTCAAATGTCCCCAGAGCCCAAAAAAACATTGATAAAGTTAGAAAGCAGGAGGTTTAAAAGGGCACTAATCCCATTTTAAAATTACACATCAGGAGCCTGTCCTCCCTAATTCTAAATTTACACAACAGCAGGTTCATGGATTGCATGAGAAAGGAGTCATAAACCAGTACAAAGTGAAAACTGGGGCATGTTTATGACCACTAAGAGCTCAATAATTTTTATTTTTGTCATTCAAAATTCCTATCTTCCTCACTTCAGCCACCAGCTATTCCTCAACCACTCTAAGTAACTACTTCAGATCCTTTGCACTTGCAAAGGGAATGCAAAAATGTTCCTCCTACTGGAACACCCAGACCCCAGAGGCTCATTTGGCTCATTTTTCCAATGTCCTTATCAAAAAGTCATCTCTGAATCTTTTGTCCAAAATACAACCCTTTGTCACTCTATCCCTCCACTGCATTTTTCACTGTAGGACAGCATACAGTTATGTACTCCTTATTATGCCCATTGGAGGCAGGATCTGTAAGAGAACCCTTGCTGTTTTATTCACTGCTGTATATGCCCGTTGTTTAGGAGTTCAATAAATATTCATTTTTCAAATAAATAAATGAAGCGGCCTTGATTCTTGGTTGAGGGGGAAATGACATTATAACTACTGACCAAATAAGAGATGAGAAGGAACTCCTCTAGGGGCATGGAAAGCCACTGTACTTACCTATATCGGTGAATAAGTGCATTGAACATCTTCCCGTCACTCCAGCAGGAGGAAAAGTTTGTGCATTTGATTCCTGTATAACCAGCTGTCACCTTCTGAGTCCACAGGAGTAGTTTCTCCTTGGCTGACATGTCCCCTGACTCCCCACTAATGTAGATGTCAGAGATCTGCCAAAAGATAGGACACACAATAATTAAACACAAATAAGATGAAGGCTTTTAATCTTCTCTTCTCCATATAGTATAACTCTGGCAGTGCTTCAGATAACAACTCCAACCTATGATACATTTTCTTTTGTAGTCGAAGAAATGTAAGTTAAAACCATGTGTGGCTATTTTCCACCTATCAGACCAAGGTAGGCTGTTTCTAAATAATGATACTACTTAGGATTGGACAGAATATCTAAAGCTGAGTATTCTTATACCCTGTGACCAGTGAGAGTATAAATGGTACAACTTGTCAGGATGTCAGCTTTGAATCAAGTCTTAAAGGATACAAACAATTTTATAAGAAATTACCAGAGATAGGTATAAAAGGATTTTTTAAAAAGATTTATTTACTTGAAAGGCAGAGTTACAGAGAAGCAGAGGCAGAGGTAGACGCAGAGAGAGAGAATCCTCCATCCGCTGATTCACTCACCAAATAGCCACAATGGCCGAATCTGGGCCAATCCAAAGCCAGGAACCAGGAGCTTATTTCAGGTAGGATTTTTTTATATAATCTTTACCAAATCATGATAAACATGGCATAGCAAAAAAAAAAAAAAAAAAAAAGTTATAAGGAGAGGCCAGTGCTGTGGTGCAGCGGGTTAAAGCCTTGGCCTACAGTGCGGGCATCCCATATTGGGTGCAAATTTGAGTACTGGTTGCTCCACTTCTGATCCAGCTCCCTGCTAATGTGCCTGGGAAAGCATGAGAAAACGGCTCAAGTGCTTGGGTGCCTGCACCCATGTGGGAGACACAGAAGAAGCTTCTGGCTCCTGGCTTTGGATCTGCTCAGCTTCAGCCACTGCAGCCATTTGGGGAGTGAACCGGCAGATGGAAGACACCTCTCTCTTTGTCTCTGCCTTTCTCTAACTTTGTCTTTTAAATAAATAAAATTTAAAAAATTGTAAAAGTTATGAAGAGCTTCAACTCTAATGAGAGATTGATCTCAAAGTATATAACATATATGGGATAGAATTCTTTGTAGAACTTTAAAACATGTGCTTTAAATATGTTAATGAGGGGCTGGCACTGTGGCACAGTGGGTTAAAGCCCTGGCCTGAAGCGCCAGCATCCCATACGGGTGCCGGTTCTAGTCCTGGCTGCTCCTCTTCCAATCCAGCTCTCTGCCATGGCCTGGGAAAGCAGTAGAAGATGGCCCAAGTGCTTGGGCCCCTGCACCCAAGTGGGAGACCCGGAGGAAGCTCCTGCCTCCTGGTTTCGGATCAGCACAGCTCCGGCTGTTGTGGCCATCTGGGGAGTGAACCATTGGATGGAAGACCTCTCTCTCTGTCTCTACCTCTCTCTGTAACTCTGCCTTTCAAATAAATAAAATAAATCTTAAAAAAAAGTCAATGAAAACAGTTGTCAAATTTTATAAAATATAAAATGTATATGTGTGTGAATGTGTATGTACACATGTAGTAATCCTGATTTTGAACAAAGGATATAAAAATGTATATTTAAGTATAAAGAGATCCTGAAAAAGTTCAGGGAAAATGTGTATTATGAAAAAAACAGTGCATGGATTTCAATTTTTTTAACACCAAAAAAAGATGTGCATTTTATTTTAAAAGATGTATTTATTTATTTGAAAGGCAAAGTGACTAAGACAGAGAGATTTTCCACCTGCTGGTTCATTCCCCAAATGCCTGCCTAGAACTCCATCATGGTCTCTCTTTTTTTTTTTAATTTTTTTTTATTTTTTGACAGGCAGAGTGGACAGTGAGAGAGAGAGACAGGGAGAAAGGTCTTCCTTTGCTGTTGGTTCACCCTCCAATGGCCGGCGTACCACGCTGATCCGATGGCAGGAGCCAGGTACTTATCCTGGTCTCCCATGGGGTGCAGGGCCCAAGTACTTGGGCCATCCTCCACTGCACTCCCTGGCCACAGCAGAGAGCTGGCCTGAAAGAGGGGCAACCGGGACAGAATCCAGCGCCCCGACTGGGACTAGAACCCGGTGTGCCGGCGCCGCAAGGCGAAGAATTAGCCTAGTGAGCTGCGGCGCCAGCCCATCATGGTCTCTCAGGAGGATGAGCCATTACCTGTTGCCTCCTAGGCACATCAGCTGGAAACAAGACCAGAAACACAGAATAGTCAGGTGCTCCAATGTGGGATGCACATCTCCCAAGCAGCAGCTTAAACTCCTGTACCACAATGCCTGCCCCTAAACCTTTAATTCTATTTTTCTATGAACTTTTTGAAGTACCCTCATGTAGTCATATATATGTGTATATTTATGTACACATATGTATATGTACATAATGTAATACAAATATCTTTTTATATATGAGTGTAAATACTAGAAATATACCAAGCTAGTAATAATAATTATCTATGAGTGGCATCATTATAGTTAATTTCCATATTTTCCAAATCTTCCATAGAAAGTACATTTGTATATAAGAAATCTACAAAATATAGACCAACTTTAGAAAGATGGAAGTATTGAAGAGGGAAAAGTGTATGTCTTTGAATCCACACAGACCTGGATTTGAATCCCAGCATGACCAACTAGAAGCTTACTTAGCAAATCTTTAGAGTGAGAATAATATCTACCCTCTTTCCAAGATTGCTGTGATAATCAATCAGACACACATGAAAGCACCTTGCGCAAACTCAGGGTCATACTCTACAAAGGGTTTCCTTCCCTCTCTCTACCTAGTAGAGATGATGGTCTGCCTTCAATTTTTTTGGTCTAAGTCCCACAGCATGGATAGTTGTATCATTTAAACATTATTTTGCATTACTGACTATCATTTAATAAATATAATTTGTCAAGACTATAGGTTTCCTGAGGGACTGGCACCACATCTTAATCAGAATTACAGTAGCTTAAAAATGAATAGCAGAGGTGTGCATTGTGCTGCAATGGGTTAAGTCGCCACTTGGGATGCCCACATCCCATATTTGAATGCCAATTCAAGCATGGGCTACTCTGCTTCTGATCCAGCTTCCTGCTAATGAGGCAGCAGATGATGGCCCAAGCATTTGTGTTCCTACCACTCATGTGGGAGATGTGGATGGAGATCTTGGTTCCTGGTTTCAGTCTAGCCTAGTTCCAGCTGTTACAGGCATTTGGGGAGTGATCCAGCGGATGGAAAATTTTTCTGGTGTGTCTCTTATACTCTCTCTCAAATTCTTTCAAATAAAATAAGTAAATCTTTAAAAAATAAAAATTAAAAAATAAAGTTGAACCATCATCATAACCAGGTAGCATTTATTTCTTTCGATTTTTTAAAAAGATTTATTTATTTACTTGAAAGTTGGAGTTACACAGAGAGAGAAGGAGAGGCAGAGGCAGAGAGAGAGGTCTTCCATCTGCTGGTTCACTCCCTAATTGGTCGCAATCGCCGGAGCTGTGCTGATCCAAAGCCAGGAGCCAGGAGCTTCTTCTGGGTCTCCCACATGGGTGCAGGGGCTCAAGGGCTTAGGCCATCTTCCACTGCTTTCCCAGGCCACAGCAGAGATCTGGATCAGAAGTGGAGTAGCCGAGACTCGAACCAGCGCCCATATGAGGTGTCGGCACTGCAAGCGGTGGCTTTCCCCGCTATGCCACAGCACCGGCCCCATCTTTCAATTTTTAAAAAGAGAATACAATATTAAAAAATTTATTTGTCAGGGCCATCGTTGTGGCCCAGAGTGTTAAGCTGCTTCCTGCAACACTGGCATCCCATATGAACACTGGTTTCAGTCCTGACTGCTCCAATTCCTCTCCAATTCCCTGCCAGGGTGCCTAGGAAGGCAGTGAAGAATAGTCCCAGTTCTCTGGCCCCTGCCACCCACATGGGAGACCTAGATGGAGTTCCAGGCTCCTGGCTTCAGCTTGGCCTGGCCAGGCCCAGCCCTGGCCGTTGCAGACATTTGGGGAATGAACCAGCAAACAGATCTCTGTCCCCCTCCCTCCTCTGTAACTTTTCCATTCAAATGAATAATAAAATAGATCTTTTAAAAGTTTTATTTATTTGAAATGTAGAGAGAAAGAGACAGAGACAGAGACCTCCCACCCACGGGTTCACTCTCCAAATACTTCCAATAGCCAGGGCTGGGCTAGGCTAAAGCCCAGAGCTGGGAATTCAGACTGCGTCTTCCACTGTGTGGCAGAAACCCAGCTTTAGCCATCACCTGCTGTCTCCCATGGGTACACATTAGCAGGAATCCAGAATTGGGAGTGGAGCTGGAACTTGAATCCACTTTGATTAGGGATGTGAGTGTTCCTAGCAGTGCCATAACTGCTTAGCCAAATGCCTACCCCTTCAGACAGTTGGAGGGACCGATTATTGACATCAGCCTGATACTACTTTCACAGCATTGCACCTGATAACTTTAGAGACAGGATGTTCTGTAGACATGCCCATGCCTTCCCTGCTACAAACATCCAGCCTCAAAACTGTACTGGCTTTGCTGTTGTAGTATTATGGGAAGCGAATATGCATTTCCTAAGCACTGTCCCTATCACCTGACTTAATCCTTGTAAGGATCCTATGTGAAAATTACCCTGTGTTAATGATGATGAAAATAGAGGGGCTGGCACTGTGGTGTAGCAGGTAAAGTAGCCGCCTACAGTGCCAGCATTCCATATGGGCACCGGTTCGAGTCCCAGCTGCTCCATTTCCAATCCAGATCTCTGCTATGGCCTGGGAAAGCAGCAGAAGATGGCCCAAGTCCTTAGGCCCCTGCACCTGTGTGGGAGACCTGGAAGAAGCTCCTGGCTCCCAGCTTCAAATTTGCCCATCTCTTGCTGTTGTGGCTACTTGTAAAGTAAACCAGAAGACGGAGGACCTCTCTCTCTCTCTGTCTCTCTATAACTCTGCTTTTCAAATAATAAATAAATAAATATTAAAAAAAATAAAAGAAACAAAATGGACAAGAGGTGTAAGTGATTCACCTGAGTTTACATTCCTAGTATATGCCTCCTTTCAAATGCATATCTAGGGGCCCATGCTGTGGTATAGCTGGTGGAG